ACAGTCGCATAAGTGCGATGATAGGCGGAGTGTGACCGCCGTGGTAGCAGTGAGTCCAAGAGAGGATTTCTCCTATTGGATGGGAGTCCGGTAGTGTGGCCGCGCGCGCTGCGTTCCTGTGGCAAATGAAGTCCAGGGTGTACTCCAGAGGGGGAATGCTGGCGTGAAGGTCCAGGATGTCGCTGGCTGTGGTGCGCATGGCCCCGGAGATTGCCAGTGCCGCTGTACGTTGCGCTTTGACCAGAGTTCTCAGCGTTCTGACTGACCCGACCCGTCGTTTGCGCCCCGCTGGCAGGCGGACTGGGGTGTACCACACGTCTAGTGCGTAAGTTAGTTTGGGGATGGCGACTGCCAGGTAGAGTTGTCGGAGGAGCCTGGAGCTGATGCCTCCCCCGACACGTCCCAGTCTCTTGAAAGTGTTGATCCATTGAATTGTTTTGCCAAGGGCTGCCGCCGTTTGCTCCCTCCACTGGAGATGTTCGTCGATGATAATCCCTAGGATCTTGTAGGAGGTCTCGCGCGCCACCTCCTTATCTAACAATGTCAGTACGGGGTGCTCAACTTGCCTGGGTGTGAAATTCATGATTCTGAGCTTGCTCGCCTCGAAACGTGAGTTGTGATTGGCAGACCACTCATAGGCGCCATGCCGACGAGTCATCATGTTCTTTAGCTTGCGGTGTGCACCCTTGATGGTATTTGCCTCTGCTATGAAAGTGACGTCGTCCACGTACGCGATGGCTGCCTCTCCTTTTGCGGCTATTGGGATGTCTACAAGGTCAGCGTTATAGAAGAGGTAGAGAATCATGGAGATGGGGTCTCCTTGCCCGATCCCGTTGTCGACGTTAATCCAGTCAGATTTGTAGTCGTCAAATACCATCGTAGTTTGTCTGCCGACCAGAAGGCTCCGTATGAAGGAGACGAAATTGGCTGGGATTCTTCGCTTCCGTAGATTTGTAAGAAGTTGCTCCGTCACTGCGTTTGGGAAGGCCGCCTCAATGTCAAGGAAGAGCGCTGACACCACCTTCCCCCTGCTCCAGGCCTGCTTGATCTTGGTGGTGAGGGTGTGCAGTGCGTCGCTTGTAGTTCTTCCGGGTCTGCCTCCGAAGTGGTGGCTTGGCAGCAGGTCGTGCTTTTCGCACATTTCCACCAGGTCCTCCGTTACCAGTGCCGTGAGGACTTTGGCCATGGTGTTGAGTAGGGCGATTGGTCTCCAGGCCTTGGCGAGGTCGTATCGTGGTTTGCCTGGTTTTTTCAGCACGATGGTGGTCCATCTTTTCCAGACCTGTGGGTAGTGATTCAGTCGGAACACTGCTTCGTATATTCTGGTCAGTATCGGTGCGAGTGTGTCACTACACCTCATGAGGACCACATTGGGGATGCCATCTGGCCCGCAGACTTTGAATGGTTTGAGTCTTGCGATCACGTTCCTTGTCCTGTGAATCGATGCCGCGAAATCGTGTTCCACCGGCTCCGGGAGTACCTCTGGTACCGTAGCTGTGAAGTTAGCCGGGCGTTGAGGGAAGAACATGTCAGCGAGCATGCGGCCCTTCTCTTCATTGGAGGCAGCCTCCTTCTGAGAGCCGTCGGGCATGTTGAATTTTAACGAGGGGACACGCACCTTACCTCCATCCGATCCCGGGCTGGAGATGTACTTGTTGGCGATCCAGAGTTCCTGCGGGTCGAGGTCCTCCAAGAAGTCTTCCCAGTGCGCTAGTTTAACCTCTTCAAGTCGCTGCTTGTACTTAGTACCAAGTTGCCGAGCTTCGTCATGAATCGGAGAGGGGACATTCCGCAGCTTGTGTGAGGCGCGCTTAGCTCTCGTGTACTGGGTGCGTAACGAATCCAGTTCTGCGTTCCACCACCTGCGGTTGAAGGGGGCGGTGCCACTTTCCTTGATGGTGTCTGCGATGGTTTCCTGTAGAAGCTGTGTGAGTGTGTCAACGGCCTGGTCGATATCCTGAGGTGTGCGCAGGTGGTTAGGAATCCCTGCGAAGGGGAGACGGGATGTAAGCTCCTCGTTGAAGACTTTCCAGTCTGCTAGTCGGAAGTTGCGTGTTCGGCGTTCCTCGGCAAGGTTGGTGGAGAGGTCGAGGATGGTATCCACCGGGTAGTGGTCAGCGCCTGCGGGAGATTCCCCAGGGAGGACCTCGCAAACCAAAACTCTGTCCATAAGATCAGCTGACACGAAAACATTATCTACCCGATACTCTTTCTTCGTCACCATATGCTCCAGGGTGGGAGTTCCGGGTTCGAGGGCCATCTCCATGTTGAAGTCACCTGTGAGGTCAATGAGAAGCTGCGCATCCTCGCGGGCCTTATCTGTGAAGAGGTGGTGGTCAGCCGGATTATCCCACCACTCATGGTGACGATTGAAGTCTCCTGCCCAGATCATAAGGGGGTTCCCATGTTTTCGTTGCAGGTCCAGGGCGGCTCTCCGAGTACTGTCCAGTGCGCTTGAGTGGTCGCAGTCGTTGTAGATATTGAAGATGTAGATGTCGCCGGCGTTGGAGGTGAGGCGCAGAGCCGTAACATCACCAGTGCCTGGTATGGGTAGCTGGTCGTATGCGTCAGTACTGATCCTGCTGTTTACCAAGATCAGGGAGCGTGTGGGGTGAAGGTTGTCGCCCTGTGAGTATGGATATAGCGTGATCCAGTTGCGGTTAGTACGTGTAAGTTGGGCGTGGCAGAGGTAAGGTTCTTGAATTAGTAGGATGTCGTATTCTTCGTGGAGTGGGGAGTTAGAGATGGTGTGCTGCGCTGTGAGAGATTTGTTGAGATTGTATTGTCGGATTCGTATACTGTTGGGGGATTCGTCAGTCATGAGTCAACGGGCGTGGGGGACTTCTCTGTTGTTTGTGGGGGGGGGTCCTGATCCATGGGCGGGTCCCAGGAGGAGTCCGCCCAGTCGGTGCCGGGGGAGTGGCGAGTGTGAGGCCGGCGAGTGAGTGCGGCTTCTGGGCGTGGTTTAAGGCTGTCTGCGATCGATGTCTGGCGAGGCTGGATCTTCTTCGACTGCTGCCAATCGCAGTCCAGAAGAGTGTGGGTCGGGACGCGCCCCGAGTAGAGTGGGGCGCATCGCTGAGTCCAGGGTTCTTCTGTGGGGAAGAAAGGGAGGCGGTTACTCTCAAGGCGTTCGTCAAGTGCTCGTTGTAGCTTGAGGCGGCTTGGACAGGTTCGCTCCCAGCTTGCGTGCCCCCCAGTCCTACACGCGATGCAGGCGTGAGCTTCTTTGCGGAACAGTTGGGGGCAATCCCCGTCTTCATCATGTTGCTGGGCACAGGTGGCGCAGGTAGTAGAAGTGGCGGTACAACCACTGGCGATGTGGCCGTAGTTTTGGCATTTGAGACACCGGAGCGGTTCCACTTTGCATTTGTGACAGCGGTAGTTGGTATCCATGAAAAGAAGACCCTGTCGAAGGATGAGGTTAGCACTGCTAGGAGAGTTAAAAGTGATGGTTGCGTGTCCGAATTGCTGATTTTTCCCTCGTCTTTCAGCTGGTTTCATCCACTTTATGAGGATGATAGAGTGCGGCGGGAGGTCATTCTCCTCTTCGATGTTTCGGCAGGTTTCCTCGTCGTCGATGCTGTGTTCCACCGGGAGGTAGAGGGCCTTGACAGTATATTTCTTTTCCCTGATAGTGGCTCCTGGACTGAAGGCGGCGACAAAGTCCTCGAGGCGCCCCTCCGTGGTGATCCACTCTTTGGCAGCTGCAAGGTTAGCCTCTAAGAGTATCCCACCTTTTTCAAGTTTCGTGCAGCCAACGAAAGCCCAGGCGGGCTTGCCTCCGATTCGGTGAAGTGCCTCGGTGGCTTCTTTGGCGATCCTGATGGCCCCCACTGTAGCGGGGTAAAGAGGGGTCTTACTCGTGGGTGGGTCGACCAAGATGCGCCTGCGGTCTCGCTCCAGCCTGGCTTGGGTGGAGGGTTGAAGGAGTGTCTGGTGTGGGGACGGGGGTAGAGGGGCGTTAGCGGCGACCACGTTGGCGAAAGACTTGGGGGCATGCTCCGTTGTGGCTTTTAAATTGCCGGCGGTTACCTTGAGGATGTCAGTGCTTTTGTCCAGTTCCCGACTTGCCTTAAGTACTCCTTGTTTGATTGCGACCAGGGTGTTTGTGGAGAGATCATCTAGTTTTTTGGCAAGGTTCCCTGAGATTTCTTTGGCGGCATCCCGCAGGGTAGTCGTGGCTTGTTCCGAGGCTTGACGAAGGAGGAGCTCGTTTTGAATAGTAGCGAGGGCGTGCAAGAGCTCGCTTGTTCCTGTATCTTGTAGGCGAGCCGCTATCTTGAAGAGAGAGTTAGTAACGAATTGCAGATCCATTTTACCTATAAGGCGGAACATCCCCGAATTTCGAAGATGCTGGGTAGCTATATCGAAGGGAGTGTCCGCCGTTATTTGGGGTACCGGGGGCTTGGCTCGTTTCTGCAAGTGTTTGCCGGATTTGCGTGTGGCGGGGGGAGGCGAGTCTGTCGTGTTTGCTGGGGCAGCAGCCGTGGGCGAGTGGGAGGCTGCCGTGGGGACGTCCTTACGCTTGAGGCCTGCCAGGGAGCTGGTGGAGAGGGAGAAGGGGAGTACGCTTTGCTGTAGCGGAGGGCGAGGGTGGGGTGTCGGTGTCGGTGTCTCTAGATGTGGAGGGGGGTCCCGTCGTGCTGGCGTAGGAGCGGGGGTGTGAACCCTCCCTCCCGATTTACGCAATGCTGCTGCTTCATTGCCGGCTTTCAGCGCTGCCAGGGCTGAGTCGAGTGCAGTGTTGTCGAGGGCGGGGTGAAAATCATCTTCATCGTCGCTGTCCTCGTGTGAGGCCTTGCGCCGCGTGGCCTGACTACTGGTGGCTGGTCTCACGCGGTTTGGTACCACGTTACTGTCAGCTGAGCGAGTAGGGCGTAGCCAGTCGCTTAAGTTAAACCCGGGCTTGCTTCCCGGGTTGTTGCTGTTCATATTACCTCTATATCTTCCCTTTTCTTGCGAACCTACCTTTGTCGAGCCCGTTGACGAACGGGCGCTTAAATTTTCAGGTCGTGGTAAAAGGAAGAGAGAGGTTCCTCCAGAAGAATACTGCCCTTATCGAGTTTTGTGCGGCTGACGAAGGCCCACGCCGCATCTCCCCCGGTTCCGTGCAGGGCTTCTGTGGCTTTCCTGGTGATGCTGTTGCTGTTGGGGGTGGCGGGGTATAGGCTGGCCTGTCCAGTGGGCGGGTCGACGAGGATGCGTCGACGGTCCCTCTCCATCCTGGCCTGCGTGGCCGGGCGCAGCAGGGTGGGTGGGGTGCTTGTGCCTTGGTCTTGAGGTGCGGCCGCTCTTGCGTAGGACCTTGGTGTGGTTCCGGCTGTGGCTTTGAAGTCTCCGGCTGCGACTTTTACAACATCAGTGCATTTGTCGAGCTCCCGGCTTGCCTGCAATACTCCCTGACGGACGGCCGTTACCGTCTCTTTGGTCAGTTCTGCCAGCTTCGCTGTGAGGTTGTTTGAGATCTCCTTCGCCACTTCCCGCAAAATGTTGGTGGCTTGCGTGACCTCCTGCTGCCGGATGATCTCCTCCTGGAGCGATGCTAGCGTGTGTATCGTTTCGCTTGTGCCAGTGTCTTGCACTCGAGCAGCAACCTTGAAGAGTACATTAGTAATGAGCTTGAGGTCTACCTTCGTCGTTTCTATCATCCCCATGTCCTTGAGGTACTGTGCTGCTTTTTCTATTGAGCTGACAGGCTTTGGGTTGGCTTGCAAGCCCTTGGTACGCTTATGCGGGCGTAAGGGCGTAGTCGCGCCCCGCGCTGATTTGCTGCTGGGCCTTGAGGCATCCGCCAAAGGAGAGCTCAGGCTCGCCTTCTCGAGTTCCTTGCCTTTACGCTTTGCGCCTGTCGTGCTCGTCATGTCGAATACCAAGGTCCCTTGACGCATGCCTGTCATATGTGGGGGGGCTGCACGGCCATCTGCTGGGGGGTGAGCTGCGTCAGTGCTGTCACTACTTGCTTTGCCAGATTCCGGGGCTGGTGTCTTGCGCCGCGCCGCTGCGACGTCGTTCTTGGCCTTGACCGCCTCAAGGGTCTTGAGGAAGGTGAATCTACTGGTTTCGCGCCGCGCTGCTACTCTGCTGGCCCTGAGTAGGGCTACCAGCCGTGACCGTAGATACAGTTTATACGTAGCCGTCTTACGGGCTCCGTACCGTACCGTTGACGTTGAATGTACTGCTTGTTACGGACGTAATGCGTGAGGAATCTTTGCCGTATACGGGTCAGGGACTTGGGCTGTATACGGCGAGTACGGGTCAAGGCGTGTGAAACCAAATGGTAGATGCGTGGCAGACCTACGCGGGCTTGAACTCGACGTCGTCGGTACCCTGAATAGCACCGAACTCGAAAACTCCGCGACACGACCTCAACACACTCCTAGGTCACCATACCCCTGCCGCCCCTGTCGTACAGGCTCCATAAAGTGCGATATCGTGGTGGGAGCACGCAGCAATGCTTGGGAACTCATGGATAGACGAGACATGTGTTGTGGAACTGTTTGAAGGCTGGTGGACCACAGAACACGATGCGCTGAGTATTTCAGATTAACTGACTTGATAGAGCGCTCATTGGACAGTCAAGTATCCACATGAACACTGTACATATGCTGCGCAGCATTCAAGCACATTGTTGAGTATCTAGTGCATGAGAAATCCGGTATCTTGTTTATTGATATAGATTGGTTTAAATAGCGCTACTCATCCTCGATTGATCCAGTCCTCAGGACGACAATAATATTCTACCTACTCGCATTGCTCTCATTCTATGTCCGATCAGTGCGCCGTTGGTCCAGACGGCGAATTACTCCCCGCCTCTCAAATACAGTGGTATCATGACCCTGATGATGCTATGGCCCTGCCAGTACCACAGGAGAGAGAAGAACCTCGTACGTACGCAACTAGGTGACATTGCTTTATTCTGATGCTCCCTATACAGAATTAGGGCGTACGCGTGGTGGTCGAATTTCACTGAAAATGCAGGACGCCATCTCCGCTCTTCAGCTTGACGACGACGGTAATCCAGATCCAGCATTGCGACGCCCTCCACGCTTGCAAAGCGGTCCGTCAAGAAACAAAACCACCGCTTCTTCCAGAGCTACCGCCGTCATCAGTAATACGGACAATGATGAAGATGAGGATAAAGACTACGAAGACTGCCCGCCTCTCATTGACATAGAGGACTCAGATGACGATGATGACAACCTTGTCTCAAATGCGGAGGTAAGCTCGTTATTGATCACTCATCAGGTGTACTGATTCTATCTCACTTACTATAGATCGCTGATATGCTTCCCACCAAGGCGGTACTTGCTGCGTCCCTCAAGTCTCGTTCACGGAAGCGTAAGCAAGCTATGAAGGCCACCGTCTCCCAGCCAAAGCGTGTCCGTGAGGATCAGCCAGTGCTCGGGAGTGGATCAACTAGTGGTGTTAACCCAGCGACGCTGAATGCGAAACCAAAGGTAGATACCAGTTCGCTTCAGATGGCCGATGCATAACTAACATTGATTAGGCAAAGCGTGGCGCGATCTATTTATTCTACAAGCAAGTTACCACCGATGCAAACGGCAAAAAGAATGATGGGGACCAGTACTTCAAATGCTTTCATGGTAATCGCAAAATACTCAAGATCACAGCAGCGATGAAAGGCAATACAAATGGTGAGTACTTTAGAGTATATTTCTCATACACCGCTAATAGTAAATAGGTTTAACCCAGCACTTGAAGAACTTCCCTCTCCTGTACAAATTCTACGAGGTTCTGAAGCTATGGGGCGCTGATGGAGTCATTACTCCAGATGAAGTGAAGATCGCCAACGGAACAGCAAAAATGGATGCCGATGCCATGGCTAAGTACGTCTCCGGGCTTGAGCAAGAGTCTGCCAGCATTATGGCTGCGTTTCGACGCCAATTAGAGAAGGATAAAGTATGTCACGCTCGTCCGCATTGACACCATTGCTTATTAATTTTCTAGCCGACTTGGGATCAGACATCGTTTGGGTCACTGCTTGCTGATTGGATGGTTTCTTGCGACCAGCCATTCACCGAGGTTGATCGCCCCGAGTTCCGCAAGCTTCTTGAGTTTGTCTCGTATCACAGCGGCAATACAAATCCTCTCCATATCCCACACCGAACATCTATCCAGGAGAAGATCATGAAACGAGGTGCCGAAGTGATCTCGGAAATGAAGGAGATGTTTTCGGTGAGAACAGTCCTTCACTTTGACACGCAACCTCACCGTGCATTTGTAGAGCCTTGAGAGCAAAGTCTCGATCTCTTTAGATGCATGGACATCAAGCAATCAGTATGCTTTTTTAGCCATTGTCGCCCATTATATAACTAATGATGGTGTTCTTGGTGAGTCTGCCCACTTCGTTGATGTCACTTTCTAATATCCAATAAGAGGAAACACTCATCGACTTCAAGGAGATGATAGGGGAACACTCAGGGGACAACATGGCCGATGCCGTTTGGGGGACACTTGAGAAATATGGGCTGATCGGTCGTGTACATGAAGCATTCTCTTTACGAAATCAATACTAATTACTTACAATAGACTATGGCATTCGTTATGGACAATGCCTCAAATAACAACACTCTTATGGATGCCTTGCAACGGAAACATGAGGCACTGGGCCTTCAATTCTCAGCTACCGATGCTCGCCTCCGGTGTCTTCCTCACACTATACATCTGGCTGCATTGAAGGTATGGATTCTTCTCCGCACTTAATTAAGAAACATGAGCTGAAATATTGTAGCTCCTGGAAGGTATCGGTGCTATATCCAAAAGCGAGAGCGCATGGGCTGCAGGACGTAGTGGGGACTATCAAACAACGGTCTCCTCTCCTGATAGCAGGGATGTGGACGACGATGCTGTGTTCCGGGAAGACAACGGCACTGAAGAACTTGATTTCTCATGCACAGTAACAAGGGTACTATTCGTTATCTATAAGTGATTGTATTAATAGACTGAAATTGATTAGCTTTGCCGGATTGTACACTCAGTACGATCTAGCCCTCAGCGCCGAAAGTCCTGGCTTAATGACGTCTCTTTGTCACTTCAAAAGTCTGGATCACCCAGATCATCACTTCCGTTAATGTTAATCCTCGATGTTAAGACCCGCTGGTCTTCGACACATCAAATGATCTGTAAGTTACAATTCACATCTCTGCATGCTTAACTATTTATCTCTATTACTCTAGGCCGTGTGTTAGCATATAGAGAAACCCTTAGTGACTTCATAGGAAAGACAGTGAACCGGGACCTGCTGCAGTACGATCTCACTCCGGCTCACTGGGATGCAATTGCGCTCGTTGAAATTTGGCTGCGGAACTTCCATGCTGCCACCGTTCAGATGTCAGCAACCTCCAAGCTGATGCTCTCGCAAACCTTTGCCGTCCTTCGAGGACTTCAAGAAACACTACGAGACACCATTCGGACACTCCCAACAGACACCCCGACACAGCTCCGTGATGCACTAGTGGACTCTCACTTGAAGCTCAGTGAATATTATTCAAAGATCGATGAATCTCCATACTATATGTGGTCTTCACGTGAGTAGTTTCTTCGATGCACTATAGTATTAACCATTCTGATCATCGTGCTTAGTCCTTGACCCACGGATTTCTTACGACGGTCTCGCTGAAGACTTCAAGGAGTCCCCTGAGCTCCTAAAGGACCTTAAGGCCTCGAAATCCAAGCTCGAAGCTTACTTCAACCGACACTACAAGAAGACTGTTCCGATCCCCTTGTCAGCAGCAAGCTCTGCTCAGTCGGTCACCTCGGAGGGTTCCGAATCATCTGAAGTTCAAGTTGACTTCATGGCACGCTATCGGCGCAAGGAACATACGACTATAAATGAATTGGCCGAGTACTGGAAACTCCCACAAGAAGATATGGATTCTTGTGATCCAATAAACTGGTGGTATACCCGCCGTTTTCAGTTCCCCAACCTCTACTGCCTCGCTCGTGATCTGTTGGGCATTCCAGGTATGTTCGCATGCTCACCTGCCTTCACACTAACCAATTTGACTGGTAGGCTCTGCCGTCGCTGTAGAACACATATTCTCGGCTGGAAGGGACACCATATCTCTTCGGCGTGCAAGTCTTAAACCTCAGACCATCGAGACACTGATGTTACTCAAGCAGCGCCTTCGCATTGCTCGCCACAAGGTCTCCAATTAAGTAGATATGTACAACTACATAATGCGGGAGAAATAGTTATATTGGTTATCGTAATTACGGTCGTATCACCGTACAATGTCCGTACCGTACCGTCTTGGTAATCTGCGGCAAGCGTATACGGATGGCTGAGTCCTATCATTGCCCGTACTTAGGGCGTAATCATACGGCCGTGACCGTATACGGTACGGGTAACAGCCCTAGCCCTGAGCTTGGATGTAGGTCGCTTGGTGATCTGATGATCACTATCGCTATCTTCAGTGTCGTTGTTGTCGTTGTCGTTATCGTCGCTTTCGTCCTCGATGTCATTATCTTGATGTGTGTTGTCGTCGGTATTCATGGGTATTCCTCCTTCATTTGGCGCTGTGGTGTTGTCTGATGGTGGTGGTGGGCGGAACCAGTTCCGTAGTGTGGTCCCGGGCTTACTGCCCGGGATTGTGGGGTTCATAGGACCTCTTCTTGCTTCCCTTTCTTGCGGACTTACCGTGTAATGTTGCCGGCCTAGGCGGGCGCTTAGTTTGATGATCGTGGTAAAAGGAAGAGAAGAGCCCCTTCCTCTCTTTACGCTCGCTGGATGCTCCGATAGCATGGTTTCCAATCCATGTCGAAAGCGGGAGTTTCGCCAGGCTTTGGAAGAGGGACATCCATTTTTGCTGGATGGTTGAATGGTTGAATGGACATGTGTAGCTTCGACGCAACTTGCGTACTTTGAGGTGTGTCTACACAATTTTTCTGCCCTCTCATCTCTGAGTATTCACGACTGATTGCTATTGCTGTATGCAGAGTGTCAGTGTCTGCATGGTGTGTTCTCGCGCTGCGGGCTACTATGGGTGCCGCCGTTTCGTGTCTGCCCGGGCGGACCAAATTTGACGCACCCATGCCCACATACCACAAACTCAATATGTCTCTAACAAGTGTCTTCCTGGGGGACAAAGTAATATTGCATAGGCTGCGATTGGGAATCACGACGGTCGGCCGAATCACATTTACTTGGCTAAAAAGCGACCTTCGACTCCCCTCGGGTCATACAGACACTGGGCCTGCGAATTGACCATCATTCTCGTCACATCAATTCCCCGACAAGAGTTTCCACCTGTGCAAAAGCATGAGTTACTACGCGCATACCGGTCTCGCAGCGAACTCACTTCTTGGGGTCAATCAGCGTCTTCTTAATAAAGGATTTGGCTGCAGACAGGGGGATGGCCGGACACTCCGCCTTTCCTTTCACTTTGGCCATCAGACTCGAGATGCTCCCTCTCTTCGAAATCATGGAGCGTTTCTCAGGTTTGCACGAGTCCCCGGCCTACAGTGATAGAAAGACCATGAGCCATCGGCGCGCTCGAGAAACTGGATCGACGCACCTGGGCCAAAACGAACTCCCATGTCCAGAAAGAGACCTTGACGCTGGGACCCATACCCCAGAACTTGGCTTCCGCACCCACATGCCCATCGATGGCGAACTTGACACAGTAGCCGGCCTCCACTCCTGAGCCGGAAGACGGGCTTGGGGACGACGGGCGCGGCGACTTCGGACTTGAGGGCCTTGATGCCCTCTCCTCTATAGCCCGACGGCCCCGGGGGCTCGACGGCGGTGAGGACGAGCCAGAGCTCTCAGCAAAGGTCTTGGACACCTCTACCTCAGCGGAGAGCTTAAACTCGAAACCGACAAAGCCGTTGGCTGTAGTGGGCTTTCCTCCGCCCGCGGCAGCACCGAGCAGGAGTTTCGGAGTAACCGCGATTTCGACGGCGCCTTTGGCTTTTCCAGCGGCGCCATACTTGGCTCCAACCTCTGAGGAAGGGGTGAGACGACGGCTAACGAAGACCACGATGACGTACCAGTGGAATTGAAGTATGGCTTCAACTTAGATCCACTTTTGGGCGGGATCGTGATGACACCTGGATGGAGGTGAGAGGGATGCTGATGAACCCAGCGTGACGGCTCGTACCTTGTTGTACGCCATACTGCAATTTGGTTGTGAGCTCCAAAGAAGCTTCCGCCGATACACTGGCCTCGAGCTTGATACCACCCAAGAGGCCTAGTTTGGCAAGCCTGGGTGCAGAATAGTCAGTGAGTGTTTGAGCCACATACACTCGAGGTATGCGCGTACCCGAACTCCAGCGCTGTGACTCCTGGAATGCCCCAAGGTGGGTTCTCTACTTCCCAACCAAATTTGCCCTATGTCAGAGTATCGATTAGTCAACGAGATGCAGGTCGTCTGAAATTACTTGCCGTCAGTGCGACGTTGAGGGAGAGCTCATGTCGCATATGAGCTTCGAGGCCTATATCAACACGTCAATGCGTCGCCCTTTCGAATTTGAATTTGAACGCAGCAACACCCACCGTCGAAGAACCCGAAGATACGATCGAGGATGCCATTCTTACCCGTTGCAACGCCGCCCCACTTCAACTTACCCCAAAAGAAAGTATCGACCTTCCCGGTGACGGCCAATCCCCCACTGGCGGTTGTGTTGTACTTTACAGGAAACTTGCACTGCAGGTCTTCGGACTTGATTTCGAACGACCTCCACGCATCAGTGGAACTACCGAAGCTGCCGGAGTCGTCCTTCTTGACGACGTCCTTTCCGGTTGGGTAGTCGATTTTGGGTGGGGCGCCGGGTGGGCCATTGAAGTAGTAGGGCTGGATGTATGCATCTATCTTGGTGAACTTGAATGCCGGCGTGGAACCCCGGGGGGAAGTTGGCGTCGAGGGCCGCGACTTATCCATTAACTCTGACGTGTGCTGTGTAAGATATCGGATATGTTTTTCAGAGTGAAAGGTCTTACGATCCATAGCGTAATTCATGAATGCCTCGACAGCTTCCGGCGAAGCAAGGTCATCAGGAATGGCGAAGTTGGTATCAACTCCTGGTTCGGTTATTCCGTACTGCCAAATTCAAAGAGGTCAGATAGGACAGTAAATGGACACATGGGGTATAACTGACGGCAATGAAGTCGACATCCCCGTGTCTAAGTGTCGTTCAGAAAAAATATACGAAAATGAATATGGGTACATACAGGGAGTGGTCAGCTTGATCGAACTAAATAGATCGAATATGTCAGTCATTGCCGCGGGTAGACATTCGAAGGATTACCTTGTCGTCAATACTGATAGCAAGAACCTGAGGTGCGACACCGTCTCGTCGGGTCACTTGGTGGTGCGCGCCAACCGACTGGTCGTCGTGTACCCAGTACTTCGAAATCCTGGCAAACGGAGAGGACGAGCACTGGCGATTCAAGGTCCGTTAACCGGTGTCTTGTTTTCGATATGCGAGGCTTGACTCACACTCTCAGGTAGTCGGACATATTTGTGCACAGGTCCTGAACCTTCGAAGAAGTGGCTGCACCCAGACGCCTCAGTGTCGTCGTTCTGGCATACGAGACGAATGTCTTGACTGAGGGCGTTCGGGTCACAATCAAGGACCACCCATCCCGCCGCCGGGGTAATATCCGCGATGGCGTGCGGGGACTTGGCCATCTACGATGCTTTCAGCTACCACGGAATCAAATAAAGAGGTTGGAATACCCACAAGCTTGACAGTCCCCGACTGGCCAAGGTGGTCAGGTAGATCGTATGCGCACTCGCCATTGAAGCAGGGCTTCGACCAATCGTTGTGGCCGAGGCCAGTAGCGAGAGTGGCGGCTAGGATCGCGAGACCAAATGCCGACTTCATCCTCTGTTTTCAGTTGTGTTGAGACATAGGCCAAGCACTCTCTTGGAGATGTGACAAACTTACAGATGCGAGGACGTCCAGGAGGGATGGGGTGCGTACCCATCAACAGTTGCGGCTACTTTTAACTACACAGACGTTAATCCAATCTAGCAGATTTAGGCATAAGCATAAGCCTACACAAGCACGCCACTGCGATGACACCGTGGTTAGTGGTCGAAATTTGCGGAACTAAAAGAGTGATACCTTTCCATTCTATGTTTCACGGTAGGGAGGCCTGACGCTAGTTGTTTAGTCAAAATATAGTAGGCGCTTGAGTGCTTGGCCGGAGGTCATCGTGCGCTGGCAGCTAGCATTTCCTATGCCAGCTGCTGGACGGACACAGCCATCCCTCGATAGGAATACGTGCCACGTGTCAGTATGACTATACCGAAAGGGAGGAAGTAAAGAACAGGGCCACCTAAGGTGTGTGTTTATATACAATGGTATACAATATTGTGATATTGCTCGGGGTGATCGCCAAATCATGTATTTGAATCATCTGAGTTATGGAACAAGCTGGCCCCCGCCTCCGCTCTTAATATCCTGATATATACAAGGAAACTGAGTGTTGCGAACCTACGAACATAGTCGCACTTACTGGTCAAATAGTCCTATCGTTTCCCTTTCAGATAGATCGTTGGTCATGAGTCTTCCTTCAATTGCACTACGAGGTAGCGTCCGCACATCCGGCGGACTGAGTTGTAACGACGAGGAGCAAGGCGAAGCAGGTGTAGGACTATGCAGCGTGATGTGGTTCTCTATACCCGAGGTCAGGATATGTGGAAGGTAAGGGTGAAACAACGTCGTGTTGACTATTGAATCATGTCCTGACAGATATGCCAGTTGAAACGATGTATGCTGCATTCCTTTAGATAATGAAAGATTACCTGTTAAACGGCAGTACGGCTGGGATAATTCCAGAGGGATATATCTATCATTCGTCTCGCTCTCCACGAAAGCTAAAGGAGACCTCAGCTGGAGTTTTGGCAGTGCTCACCGGGATCTGTTACCTATTTCAGAGGGACTTCTCTGCGAATCCCACTCTCGTTCCCCAATTCTTCTTCGTTGGTTAACTAGGTGAGCGATATTGGGAACTTTCCATATGTATCCACGAAAGTCGTCGGAGCCAGCAGAATAGAACCCATCCGTCTCAAGGCCCATGCTACCAAAAGATCCATGCTAAGAAAGTCCGATTGGAATTATTAAAGACGGAACTACTGCTTTCGAAATAAACTCGCCTTGATGGTACAAGTATTGCAGTAGGTTCGTTGATTCGAGGGCACAGGCGGTCCATCTGGTAAGAGCAAGCCACTAAATGTCGCTATCGGCTGATATTCATGTAGGGAGTAAAGCGTGGGCAGGTGGTTCTATTTGGTGCTTCAGTCATCAAAGAGGGTCAAGGCATCTTTCGGCTTACAAGCAAGGTGACAGCAAGCATATCACCTAGTCTTGTTGATCAATACAAGAACTACGAAGGGTTGGTTCTCACTAACCATCGCAGTTGAACGCCACACTCGATGGCTCCGGCATGCCGAGGCGGCGGGAGCCGCGCTTCGACAGTGTTGTGTTGTACTTTCCAATAATGTTATTCGATTTGACGTTACCGCAACATGGAGTTATGCTCACGCTTTAGACAATCCCACCGTTCGTTCTCTGCGTTAAAGGACCAAATGCCATGCGCATATCTCGTAGGTGTACTCCGCCACGCGAATCCGTTGATAAGAAATTATGCTCTAATGTGGGATGGAAGCGGACGTCGGTGACTTCGACCGATTCTTGAAGTGTTGCCTGCGCTCGGGATAATCCGTTACCTCGTCCATCGTGCATTCGTATACTCCCGTCATCGCTGAAGGCTCGTTGAGTCAAGTTAAGTCCCAAACGGATTGGGACTACCTGGCGCTTAAGAAAAGCTCCTCGTGTTGGCTGTGACAGGTCAGGCCGCGAATACAATCACTATGGTCTTGGTAGATGATGCTGGCCGAGCCTGAACTCCCTGCGTCCAGCTGAGTGCGAGTAGCAACATCAAATCTGAATATTGGTTTGTCGGAGCCTCCCCTGATAGCGGTAAGCAGTCGATAGTGAGTGTGGTGCGAAGGTTGCATACGACAGTAAGTACTGCTTCCTAGCAGAGAATGCCAGATTGAATATGTTTCCCTTTAGTTTTGTCAGCGATCAGGATATATAACTGACAGGGCAAACATACGTGGGGTCCAGTAAATGAGCACATAGGACGATGCAAGTCATCCTGGTGGAAGTCCCAAAGATAAACTACACAATCTAAAATAGTCGTCGATTGGAGCCAAATTAGTGAGAAGCGTAGAAAGAGGTCATACCATCACCCCCACTCGCAAGGAACTGCCCATCAGATGAGAAAGCTAGAGCATTCACGCAGGAAGTATGTCCACAGAGCTTTCTGCATTGCGTACACAGTATGTTCATTGACATCCACGGCATGGATATGGATGACTTTACCGAGAATATGGCAGACCGTGATCAAGAAGAGGTTCTATCATTCGACTTCGGCCTCTTAGACGGCTAGCAAATTCGGAGTTCATGATGGCTCACTGGAAGAGGTCAGATGTCGAAACGTTGAACGTTTGAATGTGTTGTTGGAATTCTCGGGTGGCTGAGCCGCGCCGCGGTATCAGCGGAAGCAAAAATGGATAAGTGGCAGTGCACCACGTGAGTATTTGAAATTCAGGAGAGTTCAGGGGAGCAAATCGCAAGATTTGAGATCACAGATAATCACTTGACAATGAAGTGTTTCTAAGTAGGTATCTTCTACCTCGAGCCTCAGCCTCAGTCGCCGATGTATTGTCTATTCCACTTTGATTACAACTTTCCCAATGTGCGCCTGAGACTCCAGATGTCTGAATGCCTGGAGTGCCTGGTCGAAGGGGAAGACTTTATCAATCACCGGGTGCAGATCGTGAGCCTTGAGCAGCCGAATCAAGCCCTTGAATCTGCGCGGAGATAACGATAACGTACTGTCAGCAAAACCCTATGGGTGGGATCGTCGCCAAACGTACTGTTCCACTGAACCGAACAGGATGCCGCGTAATTGGGCAGCTCTCAGAATGATGGGGTAGACGAGATTGGCGTCGCCTCCCTACAATCACAGCCATCGGTTGGAATAAGTGGGTACTCGGCCGAAGCATATCCATTTACCTGAGCCAAGAAGCCAACCAAGTGGACCCAGCCAGATTGCTTGACTGACTGGAGCGACTTCAACAACGTGCCGAGCCCACCCACCTAATGGCACATATTTGTGTACTGTAAGTCCCTCGATACTAGCTATTATTAGGAGAACGTACTTCAATTACATGATCTACTCCACGACCATTGGTCTAACACAGAGTACATCAGGCATAATTCGTTTCGGATACCGAGAAGTTGGCTGCTTACAATTTCCTTGACGACTTTTTCCCAGTCGGGCGTTGTCTTGTAGTTGATCAAGTGTTTCGCGCCAAGTTTAGAGGCGACTTTCAATTTCTCGTCGGACGAGGATGTCGCAATGACTGTCGCGCCAGAGGCTACAGCAATTTGAAGCCCAAAGCTGTGGACGCGTTTTGTCGTAAGTGGCGAGAAGAGGACAGCATAATGCGCGCTACATACATAGAGACTCCCCCCGTGCCTTGTATGAGTACGTGGTCACCAGCCTTGACAGGATTGGGGCCAAGAAGGGCGTTGTACGCCGTCAATGCAGCGCCACTGTTTTAGCAAAATTGGCAAGTCAGATTTGCCACGGAACAGGATGTATCAACTGTGTACGCACGGCAGAGTCGCCGCCTCTTCAAAGGAGAGATGGTCGGGGATTAGCTCAAGGCCCTTTGAGAGTGTAATCAATATCCGTGTTTATCTCCTACCGCTTCATACGCAAATTACGCACCTCCGCAGGACAGATAACATATTGCGATAATACACCTTGAACGGGACCTCCGCTCATGGTTTTGACCGAAGCATTAGGTTCGAGCGCATCGTACTCGTCGACGTGCATCTGAGCGAAGTTACAGCATACTCGATCTCCGAGTTTCCACTTGCCCTGTGCGTCTTCGCCAACCAGGGCGATTTCGCCGCTGTAGTCAGAGCACGGCACTAGATCCTCTTGTATTCTGACGACAAAGTTGTATCAGCACTTTTGAAGCTATCGAGACAGAAGGATAACGTACATCAGATCGGGACCCCCGTACAGGCCCTTTGCTACAAGCACATCGCGATACTACAAGACAAGGTGATGAGACGAGAATATGGTGAAGTCTCCGCTTTCGGGAAGAACCTACGTTTAGCGATACAGCTTGTACCCGAACCAACACCTCATTAGTCTTCAGAGGTCGAATCGAGCTTTCCTTGAGCGTCAGGTTGTCCAAGGAACCAATCTTTATGGCAAAAAGATCGTCGATAAGCCAAAAACTAAATCATCTAGTTTCCTGAGGACACTCACCTTGGATACAACGTAGTGCTTTGTGGTCGTAGGGGGTGACATGGTTCCGTGTCGCTGAACCTATTTGCTCGCTGCATGGAATATATACTCTAAAGCAATAGAGGTTGTGGAAGTTGTGTGTAAGCTAGTTATGTGTAAGCCATTTACCGATTTCAATCCCACCACAATCGGGAATTAATCATGCCCTCACTCAGCCAACCGTTGCTAATCAAGTTCAGGCCGAATTTTGTGTTTGTTTCGCGTGAGAGGATCCGTCTTTCTGCGCCGACGAGGAGGGGTCCTATCCTTTTCGATGCGCCGCTTCCCGTAACTTCTTGCGATGCATAGGCCAGATTGATCAGCCTGCAAGCCACGCCAAACGCAACCGTATCGCTTGCTGCCGCAAGGCGCATCAGTCTGTGCCGGTGGCTGTGCGTTCGCACACTCAGGAAAGTTGAAACAAGAATCCCTTTGTAGTCAACGCTGATCATCACTGTCCATGCCCTTCATTTCACCCGTTTCATAGTAGCTGCGTAGAGCTCACTGCTAGAATATTATGCCGCTCATTACTCTGGACTACCAGGATGCCTCAACTCGCATGCTTTCACCGGTAGCACCTCAACCAGATCACTCAAAGACTTTTGTCCATTATCTACCACTCGGTGGTACGCCTGACATGGCTTTCTATCATAAGCTGGAGCATTGACCGCTCGCTATCTAGCCACCGTGTTGCTGCTACTTGCGCCACACCCCTCCGTTATCTTCGTCGTCGTGAAATATCACCTTTTAACCCTGGAGGAACCCTTGCTGCTTTTTGTCCATCTTGCTGCAATATACACGCTTTCGTTCCTCGCCTTCTCATCTCTGATCGTGTGTGTTGCGCGGGATCCTGGTCCAGTGAATTCCGTCGACGAGGCCGGTCGAGGGGAGGGAGACGGCCTGATGATGTCCACCGTGTCGGACGATGTGGATTTCAACGGACCAGGAAAGTGGTGTCGGGAATGCTGGGTTCGTCTTTAGAATATCAGCCGTGCAGAGCTGACCAAGCCCGTAGGCACCGAAACCCGAACGCACACACCACTGCTCGCACTGTGGGAGGTGTGTCCTTAAAATGGGTAATGTCGATCCCCTTCTCCCCCCCTTCTCCCCCCTCACCACCACCGCCCAGATCACCATTGCCCGTGGCTTGGTGCTCGCTGCATAGTAAGCACAGCCGACATCTGCTGGTCAGCCTCCGCGATTTTTTACACCGTTGCAGGGCCACAGAACGTACCCGGCGTTTGTTCACTTCCTGACATCTGTGACGCTGCTCGCTACGTACATTGCATTTGTGAACGGCTCCGCGCTTTGGTTTGCGTTCAACAACGTGCTCGCGATTGTAAGTACTAGGTTTGTCGGCCACTCGGCAACTCACCGCCCAAATCTAGGACGAGGCGATATACTTGCACGAACTCAGCTTGTTCTTCGCAGGCGTCATCTTCGCACTGGTCATAGGGTCTTTCCTCTTCTACCATGTATACCTAATTTCGTAAGTGGACACCTGAGCGGTACTCAGCGCCTCATCGACGTGGTTTGGCAGGACGAATCAAACTACGATAGAGAACCTTTCGCCGTTCATGCTGCTCCGACATCTCCCCCCTCTCCCCGCATCTAACAATGCTGGACGCATACTCTCGGATCCCCCATCAGAGCACGAACTTACGTATGAACAGCGATATATTGTGCGAGAAGCGCATGGCGCGATACGATTGTACGACATCGGGTTGAGACGAAATTGGGCGCAGGTGTTTGGATGGGAGCGGAGGTGGGGCTGGGTTCCCAGACTGCTACACGGTGGAGGAAGGTGAGTGACTTGGACGGCTCGGCGCAAGTATTTCTGACTCCATGATAGCAAGGGCGATGGCAGAAGCTTCGTGCGCAATCCACGCTCCGACGACATGCTCGCGACATTAGCTACTGAACTTGTTAAAGCCGGCAAGGACAATTGACGCACAGGGACATTCTTATACGTATCTATTTCTATTAATTTATGTCGCTTTGTACCGCACCATGGCATGACTGTTGCGCGAGATGACGCGATCCGGGTTTGGCGGTTTAAAAGCTTTCGCTCTCGTTTCGCATCTCCTTTCCTTCTCCTCCCAGAAACGATGGCAGTTTCTGCAGATGCCCAAACACGACACTGATATTCCCACTTCAACAGCGACTGCATCGGCACTTGACCAATGTTGCTTGGAGCTCAACATGTTCCTTTGGAACACGCTTAGAACTTGTCTATTCTAGGTGAGCGAGCACGCGGTCCTTCAATCCTCCATGGTGTCTAATTGCACAAGCCCCTTCTCCCACCCTTACGTCGTCTATGACCGGCGACCCCTTTCGCGAACTCTAGGTCCCATCGCTTCGGGGCGGAACTGCTTTCAAGCACAGTTGCTCATACGGCCGGCTCATAACGTCACTTAATCTATACCCCAAATTTGTAATCCATACTGGGGTATAATACCGTAAAACGTGCGCAGCAAGGCTTCCCAATGGCTTCACGTTTCCGTTTCCAACGATTCACAGCATTATAAAGCCCTGTCCAAATCCAAATCCATCGCTTGACAGACCACTTGATTTGCCACTTCTCCCCTCGTATCGCGACGCAGTATGGCCATTCAAATCGTCGACGTCCAGACGCTCAATCAGTCCAGACATTTGGATCTGCAGAGCGACCTCTCCCAGCAGCTTGTTGACGGCTTAACTCGGCCGCATGGCGAAAAGGAAATCCCCACCGTGCTCTTATACGACGAACGAGGGTTAAGACTCTACGACGCCATCACGACCGAAGTCTCGGAATACTACCTCTTTGGCGCCGAGGAGGAAATCCTCAAGAATAAAGCCGATGAGATTGTTCGGACGATGCACAGTGGATTGGGGGACGGGGATCCAGACTCGGAGGTCGTCCTCGAATTAGGCGCCGGGTGAGTTTAAGTTGTTATCGTCCCTTGGGGGTTGCCATAGTTGGCTGATTTTACCCACCCGGCACTGCTTAAAGTTCTCTAAGGAAGACCTCCCACATTCTCGCAGGGCTTTCACGCATCGTTCCTAGCCAGTGCGATACAGCGCCGATCACCTACTACGCCCTCGATCTTGAAGAACGCGAACTTCAGCGAGTACTAGACTCCATATCAAACTCAAGCGTTGGAGAGATGTTGCGAGGAAAAGTAGAAACGAAGGGCCTCTGGGGCACTTACGAAGACGGGCTGAAGTTTGTAGAAGACGAGGGTTCTCCCATCAGCAGCCATTCAAATTCCCCTACTAGCCAATCTTCGAGAAGAGAGTTGGGGCCGCCATCACCGACCCCCAGATCGGGATCGAGTTCCCCACTGCATATTCTATTCTTAGGTTCGTCGTTGGGGAACTTTGACCGCAAGGATAGCGTCAAGTTCTTGCAGTCCATGCCCCTTCGCCCTGGCTCAGGCGATACGCTACTAATTGGTCTCGATCACGATAACGATAAGACGTTGATCGAAGAGGCGTACAATGACCGCAAAGGATATACGAAGACGTTCATCATGAACGGGTTGAGAGCGGCTGGACGTGCGCTAGGAAACGAGGATATGTTTGAAGAAGACAAATGGGAATATGTTAATAGATATAATGAGGCGGAGCGTGAGTGGCTGAGTCCCGCTCAGCTGCATACTCAGTTAACACCTTTCGTAGGTCGGCATGAGGCATATTACAAGTCCAAGTGTCCCCAGAAACTCGAAGATCCGAAGGCGGAACATGGCTACGAGTTCCTTGAAGATGAACTAGTCAAAATCGAGGTCTCCTATAAGGTACGATACGGTGAATGTGACCCTTACAGAACCTAATATGCCGAATGCAGTACTCGGAAACCGATGCCTATAGCCTATTCACTGACTCGGGCCTCCGCCCTATCCAACGTTGGACAGACAGTGCCACCCAGTACTCCCTTTGGCTACTCGAGCGTCCCCCCTTTATGTTCCCCCTTTTGAAGTCCCCAATCGCCTTCAATGGCCTCGGCGAGATCGTCAAAAACTTTCCCCTCTCCAACACGCCCTTCGGCGTTCCTTCACCCCAAGAATGGTCAAACCTGTGGGCCGCTTGGGACTTCGTGACCTTGAAGATGATTCCACCCTCGATGCTCCACGTGAAGCCTATCCACCTGAGGCACATATGCCTATTTTATCTGGGCCATATCCCGACGTTCTTGGACATCCATTTGAGTCGCTTGCTGAAAGAACCGCACACGGAGCCTGAAAGTTTCAAGGTAATTACCTACCATTTGTTTTGGGGGCTTGTAATGATAAACACTCTTCCATCAGTATATCTTTGAGGTGATTCTACGTTCTGTGCTGTCTTCTTGGGCCGTTGATCTCATTTCATCGTTAGCGAGGGATTGATCCTAATGTGGACAACCCGGCCGAATGTCATGTATGTCCTCTGTCAATCCTAATAAAGGACGGCACTCATAACCAATTATCAGCCCCATTCAGAGGTTCCGCAGAATGAAGGCGATTGGCCTTCGCTTGAAGCTATATTATCCTTTCAAGCCCAAGTCCGCTCAAGGCTTTTGCATCTCTACGACGATGTCTTGACAGGAAAGAAGGTGTTGACGCGAAAGGTCTGTCGCATATTGTCAATGACTTTCGAACACGAGGCTTTCCACATTGAGGTATGGCGGAGGCGCTATCACTAAAAGGCGTATTTCTTGACATCGCTTTTCGTTAGACGTTGCTCTACATGCTTTTGCAAGCCGCCGGAAACGGGACTACCCCTCCCCCAGGATTCACACCTCCACCCTGGAGCTCGCTTTCCGCAAACTGGAACGCTCTCCCAGCGTTGGAAAACACGACAGTTACTCTGGGTCCGGAAATCGTAGCATTAGGCCACGACGACGATGAAAGGGAGGATGAAGACCCTGCGTTCATCACTGACGTGAAAGATCACGAATTTGCATGGGATAATGAGAATCCCAAGCGTCAGGTCGAAGTCAAGCAGTTCAAGATTGAGTGGAGGCCGGTCACGAATGGCCAGTTCTACGAATTCTACAAAGAGTATAAGGACGACATGAAGCTCCAATTACCGGCCAGTTGGTTGGAGACAGATGATAAGATGATGGTGCGTATATATTTTCTTTACGTATTGTATACGTTTTGTGGCGAAAATCCGCTCACTATACTGTGGAAGTAGGTTCGCACCCTGTACGGCCCTGTACCTATGAAAGTGGCGCAGAACTGGCCGGTCGTCATTTCGTACGATGGCTTGTCTGCCTATGCGATCGTTAAAGGCGGAAGGCTTCCAACCGAGCCTGAGCTTCGTCTCTTCCTAGATAAATTTGAGAGCGGCTACGAAGGCGGCGCAAATGTTGGGTTCCGTAACTGGCATCCCGTTCCGTTAGTTCTCCGCCTTGGCTCTTATCAGATGTTGTGTTGACCCCACTCGCTCAGCGCAACGACCGGCGGGAAGAAGTACGGTGGAAAAGGTCACAACGGCGGCGTCTGGGAATGGACTTCAACTACGCTCACGAAACACGATGGATTCGAACCATCTAAGCACTACCCAGGATTCACGGCGGATTTCTTTGACGGATGTCACAACGTGATTGTAAGTAATTGATATTGCTACCAGTGAATATGGCTTCTGATACGTTTGCAGTTGGGCGGGTCATACGCATTCATCCCTCGCATGGCTGAAAGGCGCAGTTTGCGCAACTGGTACCAGAGGAACTACCCGTATGCTTGGACGGGAGGGCGAATTGTTTACGATATTTGATGATTGGCAGGCGATATTTTACAATACATGTAAAATGGTACCCGATATGCAAACTTCCCCTTGTTCTTATCCCTATGTCTGACGACTTCTTATTCAAGCCCTTTCCGTGGAGCATGAGTGACGACCTCCGCAAGAGGGACTCGAACTCATTGAACTGTTTGGCTTTGTTTATAGATTCAATGTTATTGAACTTCATCTCAAGTTGAAATACATTAGTGCTCACGCAAAATTTCGGACTAACGGCATCGGACCCTGGTTTCGGGCCAAGTTCCTTGAATTTGGTCATCTCGATACGAATCACCCAGAGGACCGATGGTACCATTCATAGCAGGCATCCTGAAGACCGCGCTCTGTAAAGTTCCAACCTTGTCAAAATGCATGTTCACCCTATGGAGATAGACATCCTGCCTTCCCAAGATGAAGGAGGATCGCTATCCAAGGCTATCCAAGCTTCAAGCCCCACCGCTTGATCCCTTGGGGGCACGCTGTTCCATAAGCGCAATTTTCGTGGTTCTGACAAATGCCAGAATAGGACGGTACTGAGCGTCCGCATTTTTCAATGATCAGTACATGTACTGCTCCCCCATTTGCTAGGTCGGATTGCTGCCAAGGTAAGCGGGTTGATAAATTTTCCGTCGATTATACGATCTTGATCCGTATTGGAGCAGCTTTGCTGGTCACAGCAGTGATAGAAGTGGTCTCGCGTCATATGACAATCGTTGCCATTTATTTGTTGCCATTCAATTGCACGCCTTGTGCTGCCATTGAAGTATACAAAGAAGAACATTGGCTGTATTTCGGTGGAACTTGCGGCATTAATTCTCCTCGGCATGCCTATCCGTAGTCGTATAAAAAGGGAGATGAGGCATTTAATTTGAAGCAGGCACTCATAGGCAGACATGCGTCTATCGGTTGCCATTGCTCTGGCTACTGCCATCCAATTCGTTGGGGCTCACTGTATGTCGTCTCTCACAGTGCTTTGTCCTCAAACTGATCCCTGTGCAGATACTTTCCCCCAGTTCATTGTCAATGGGACCACGTCAAGTGAATGGGAATACGTTCGCATCACAGAAAACCACTGGTCTAACGGACCTGTGAGCCTCTTCTAGTTACTGAATGGCCATATTCCTGATCCAACTTAAAATAGATTCAAGATGTGACCAGCAACGCGTTCCGCTGCTTCGAACTCGACTCTACATCTGCCAGCCAAACCAACACGGCTACCGTTCGGGCTGGCTCCACTGTTGGCTTCAAGGCCTCCAACACCATGGGTAGGTCACTCAGATCGATTAAACAACCGAATTAACATCTGTCCTCGAATCGAACAGGTCATCCTGGTTATTTCTCGGTGAGAATTCATTCTGTACAGCGAGAGATGTTCCTGATCATATCTGAAGGCCTACATGACGCCAGCGTCCCCGGCCGCCAACTCGAACTCGGCTGGGACAGGAAACACATGGTTCAAAGTCTGGGAGTGGGCTCCGGGATGGTCGGCCAGCACCGGTCTGATCTTTGACTCTATGAGTGCGGTATTCCCCTGACCCCTTCATGTATCTCTTACTAACGGTACGCAAGACATCAACGAAGTGTCCTTTCCTATCCCCGCCAGCTTGCCCAATGGTACCCTTGGGCTTCTTATCGTTTGATGTTGCTAATGCCTCCCTCCCCAAGGGCAATACCTGATTAGGATTGAACAGATTGCTCTCCACATCGCCAGCAACTTCGGCGACGCTCAGGTACGCTCCGTATTTATTACTAGCTATATCTCTCACCGTATTCCCGTAGTTCTACATTGGATGTGCTCAAGTTAATGTTGTTGGAGGCGGGAACGGCTCGCCTTTCCCGACTACTTCCTTCCCTGGTGCATACACCGGTAATGAACCCGGCATTGTGCGTACATTCGTCACACTTTGATCGTCTGCTTACCTTGATATCGCTTCTAGAAACTTAACATCTACGCACTCCCTGCTGGGTACTCTGGCTACACTCCTCGTTAGTGTATTATTCTTTCTTGCCACTTCACCTTTTCTGACCACCCTCCTCAGCCGGACCTCCTGTGTGGCATGGTTGATCCAGGAGATCTCGCGATGTGTTGCTATGTACATAAGTCCAGAATCTTCGAGCTCTAATCCATGTAATTGATTCGTCCAGCAGTAAGTTGAGCTGACCATGGGACTCTCAACCATTGAAATTGAATGACTCGAAGGCTAATGAAGCCGCGAATCGTGCAGTCCATGACACTACATTATCCCAGTCGTGCCCTCCTTTTCAACAGGATCCGGCAGCCATGGAGACTGCATTGTACTGCAACTGGGTTAAAGAAGCCAACAGCCGTCGTACCGGATGCTCGCGCAGTTGCCACATGGTTTCAATGAGGCCATTGACTCGCCTCACGATACCTTTTTCTGCGTAGCATAGAATAAGATCTGCAGTCAGTAATCTCGTATCTCCGAGTCGCCTGAGAGTTCCAATCATCTCCGGGTCGCCGTGCAGTACTATTACTTGACTGCAATACCCCATAAAGTTCAAGAATATCACCATGCTGACCCCTGGTCGACCGAGATGCCTCGTTGCTGCAGAGCCCTTTAGCGCTAAGTTAAATGGGCTATCCAACTATGGTGAGTTCTTGTTTTGCCCCCATTGAGTGAGGTCGCGCTCCCTGCTCGCCATCTATTTGAGAATCGACATCGATTCCCAGAGGATGCGGCCTCGTGTTCATCAATAGATTCGGTGCGTATATATTGCTTCAACCTACAAGTGATCTGACGTCTGTGTCTCCACCCCCAGCACACTCGACCCCCCCTCTGCTGTATTACCCTCCAGCATTGTGCCCGTCATCTTACCATGTTTATTTCAATCACTCGACGTGAAGTCCTCCAAGATGCTAATAATGTGATGCCTCCCTGGGCTACGGTAGCTATAGCACTCATAATATTCGGTGAGTCCCGTAACTCATTCCGTTTGGGCCCTCTGGTGACCTTCATTTTGGATTCGCCAGCAATTTTTATGATAATTGTTGGTGTAATATGCCATCGATTCGGATGTCTGGGTTCCTCGCCATCGTCTCGCAATACACCCATGACGAATGCAACATCCCCTAGCAATCGCCATGTCTCCTATACTCCGCCACCTTCGAGACGTGTATCCCAAACACAAGCGGCACAACTAAGTCCACAAAGGCCCATGCACAGGAAAGAGAGGCCCATGTCACAGGTCGTTGGCTTGACATCGTCTGAGACTGTTAATCGAGCCATGCTGCATCCGCCACCCCCAGCGTATACTCCATCAGCAGCTCGATCAAGCTACGCCCCTATCGCACCTGTAATCGAAAAGGGGTACAGCTCTATATCTGGGTCCCGCGGTGAGTACAACCGTGATGCACTGATATCTCAGGTTCCTGATATGCCACCTCCGCTCAGTGTCTAGAAACACTTCCAAAAGTAGCACACAGTTCCCCATCATGAACAATTGATTGCCTTCGCAAGCTTCACACGTTGTAATTCTGAGATGTGCTTAATTCCCTATTGCTGTCGATTATTTATATACTCATCAGTTTATATAACAACATGACCGAGTAGATGTATATGCAATTATCTCCCCAAATTGGAGCAAGATCCAGAGGCAATCAAATTGTGTACATAAATACCAAATACATGATCGGGTGATGGCAAGTTTGTTGGCTTCAACGTCAACATGCCGGTAAGGCTAGATCTTCGAGCCAAGCGATCAGTAATCTGCGAAGTAGCCAAATCAAAGCCAAATATCAGCTCAACTGTCGAATCCGCAGTACAATTCTCCATCTTCTCAAGCGCCGAGTGATGTAGTTACGCTCGACCTGAGGGTTCCTTTAACTGGCCGTGGGGGAATATGTTTCGCAAATAGGGAACACGTTCACACTTATAGGTGGTGATGGTGTGATCACATGTTGGTATCTGGCCCGAACGTCGCCGTCCGAAGATATAACAGGACGCTGACACCTCGACTTACTCACACGTCAATAGTGGTGACCTGGTGTCCGCCCCGCCATTGTCTACTGAGTGTTGTTGGCATGCAGAACTCGAGTGCCCAATGTTTGGAGCTTACATTCCACATCTGCTGTTAAGCCACCGCCAGATGACACTACCAGGGTGCAGGTAAGACAGCGAGGAATATCGTACAAGTCAGGGGCGGTACTTTTCACACCAATTGTTCCCTAGAAGGATGAGCTCGAAAGACCATGCCTTTTCTGCGTAGATAGAGGGTCACCATCGCTAACAACACATGAATTGCAAGCAGGAGGATCTTGCAGATGCTAGCAAGAACCTTACTTGAACGGTTTGAGGAAGCACTCACAAGACTTGGTTGTTCAATCAATCAACGCCTTCTGCTGAACCTTTTAGCACCAGTACGCGGCAGGTAAGCACAGAAGACGTACATTTTAGTAATGTAACTTGGGGCGGCATCTCTACAGATTTGTGAAGAAAAAGGTATAGTTCGCCGCTGAATCCAATTCTCGAGCGGTAGCTTTCCGTGGCCGATGGGTTCGGCGGGTGACGGCCTTTCGTTTCGACCAGGCCCGATCCGCTTCGACGGCGAAAGGAGACATCTTATCCATGTTTAGCCACTCCATGAAGGGATTGACGAGGGAAGAGTTTTGGGCTGGCCTTTGAGTCGTTTTGTTGAGGGTTTGTTGCCGGTTGTCCATGGTAGGGGAAGATATAGAGGAGCCCCGAATGGACTAGTGATACTCAGGACTTGTTCCAGTGCTCTAAACCAAACTCACCGCCGGATCAGAGTCGATTACTATTGGCTGCAAAAAGACTATAATTAGTCTGTACTAATACGTGGGCGGCATAGCTCACGCTGTTGTCTGCAATCTCCACTGCAACGCCGTCATCATCAGACATTGTCAGGTCCAATATCGTCTCCCCTTGATTTGGCAGGGTAAGCTTCTAGAGAGATATACCGGAGCGGGCTGATCAATTACCAGAAAGACTAATACGACGGTATGATGCCCTTACTTCTGCAATGATCATGATATCATCATCACTGTCGTCAATACTGAAGATGCCCTGGATTAGTTTCTCTTTAATCTAGAGCTTTATGCCAGTGCCATCATCACAGTACCCACTTGGACTGCTGTTGAATTGCGTTGGTTGAGGCATCTGTTGCAAGTCCAACTCTGTATACCTCTTATATGATCATCTCTGTTGGACGCCTTGAGAAGCGCGGTGAGCTCCACAGCTGAGAGGGCAGGCGTATGGCAATCTGTCCGTCTTTGCCATCAGCCTTCGACTTTTTGCAATATCTCTACTATTTAGTAGATCACTTACTATGGTGCCAAGAGGCAGAGCAACGTGAGCAAGTCAATAAAAAGGCCTTTGCGCCTGTTTCTTTACCGCGACAGAATTTGCAAGGACCTGGCATATCCAGGGCGGGGAGAACGTCGTGGGTATACTATGCTTCATCAATGCTTCGTACCCCATCACTACTTCGTAGCGTCACAAACGTCACGTCACAGTGTTGCACTCCGACTTGGCGATCACAGGGACGAGCGGAAAAGGTATTGGAACTCACGTAGGATAAATCAATCCCAGATTCATTGTCCGCAGCGGCTTCTGCGGCAGAGCGTGGCACCAGCCAAGATTCTACCGTTTGAAATATGGTCGTGTATTGCTTCAAAGTGGTACGAATGCGTGCGTAGGCATTGCTACATCACATTCCGAGAATATCTTAGCAGGGGAGGAGACAATGGGTGAGTAATTCAAGGGGTACGAAGTAGTGATGGGGTACGAAGCATTGATGAAGCATAGTATTGTAGACTGGTCACCGTACTTGGCGCCCCTGCTGAGTTTGAATAATTGCTTTTCGACCACCGCGAAGGTTCAACGTTGCAAGTTTCCAAGTTCCACTTATCTGGCGGTGGAACCAAAAATCGAGCCATCATTGCACCGAACAACAACTTGGGTCTGTACCACTTCACAGCCACACTGCAATCGAACTATGCATTCAAGGCTTCAAATCACTCGAGCCCAAATCGAGCCAGGCTACCTATTTCCCATGAAAGGCAAGCGCTACTATTATCATTGTTGATCAAAGCTGAATGTCACTGTGCGTTTGACCAGGCTATCACCAACCCAAGTTCAGTTAGAACAATTCCAAATTCTCGTGCCCTGACTGTCAGTCCGAGCACCAATTGTTCAGTGATTCAAGTTACGTACCCAGTGGTCTCGAGTGTCCGGATGTTTTGAATTCACAGGGCCGCAGCCGTCGCGATGATGTACCAGTACTCTGGTGAGCATATAGGCCGATAACCTGACTTTTCTCTTACCTTTATCACTGAATGATTGGCGTGTAGAGAGTCCCTATCCAACCTAGGAAACTGTGAATCGCGTGAACACATTCGCGCTCCGAATTGGCACCATATGCCCCGTTTACTCTGTAATTTCCGCAGCATCTCTTCGGATAAAGGAAGCTTCCAGGGACATTCTAGCAGGTCACCTCGTGTCCTACGCCAAGGTGGCTTCAGATGGAGAAAGCTGTCGTGCGTAAAATACTGATTTTGTGATTTCCGCAGCACATCAATAAATAAAACTTCCTGGATCATCGCACCGTTGTTATTCCGACAAGCTACCATGCCCTACACCATGCTGGTCTCAGACGAGGAAAACGTCGCTCTCCTCGAAGAAAATGAGGAGGAAGAAAATCTTCCTCCACGATCCCTATGTCAAAGGTGTCCATTTCTTCGCCTACTCATTTCGCCTACGTTCCTCTGGGTCATCATCGTCGTCGAAACCATCGGCTTTGCTGCTTTTATGGCGTACGCTGCTATTAATGAAGAAAAGGCCCCATACTGTGCATATTCTCCATTCTATCTGTTCTACCCCGATGCTGATTATTCTCGACCGCTCCATTTAGCTCCCGTGAACGACGCTATTTCATACAACTACCAAAGCTTTGTGGGAGGGTTCAATCAAGACCTCTCTCTATTCCAGGCTCCGCCGTCGAAGGAACTAGACCAACGATGGCGAGACCTATACAGCCGTACGTATGTCCCGCCCTGCTACCAGCCTGCATACGGGATCGTTGCGCAGGACATCGACGATCCTCCTTCAAGGGATCATCCCGTATGCGAGCTGGCTACAGGACCACATTACAGCTTAGTAACTCATGACCATGCTTTACAGTTGGTATGTCTCGTATTTCGAGATACGAAGCAGCCAAGTTGCCCAACGCAACAGTGCCAATCCCAGGCGATGAAGGGCACTACATCGTAGAGCTCGACGTCTTTCATCAACTTCGCTGTTTAGTAAGCTCATATTTTAAAACCTGGCTGCCTATAGCTAACACCCATCACTTAGGACCGTATCCGTCAAACTATATACTCTGACCACTATCCCGATGCGCGCATTTCCCTTGGAGACAACCAACAATACGCCAGCCACTGCATCGACTCTATCCGCCAGTCCCTCATGTGCTCGTCCGACGTCAGCCTACTCGTCTGGCAGTGGGATGAAGCAACACAGCAGTCACGCATTCGCAACGATGTTGTTCACAGGTGTAGGGACTTCGACAATGTCAAGGGGTGGGCGTTGCATCGCCAGCTCAAAGGCGGCTTCAACACAAGTGTCCGGGCGCATTAAAGGACGTTGCTCGGGCTTTGATCCACGAGGTACTTCCAAGTTTCATGTCTGATGGAATCATTCGGGCGTATCTACTTACGTTCATTTATGCAATCCCTTTGTCTCAAACCTCCTTGTCTCTGACTCTAAGCACTTCTATTTCCTTGCCACAAGTTTGTTCACTATCATCTATCTGGAGAACTTGAGTCCGTGGCGTTTTCTCAAATTATGGGACCAAACAATGGCATTACTCATCATATCATACGTGGAAGTAAAGTGGCATCGTAAACCACGGTTATCTGGGTTTACCAAGGCCCAAAGTTGCAGCCCCATGGGAAAAGGGCTCCACGGTGTCACTTCCAAGCCTCCCAGGCCCTGACGGTGTACCACGCAGAATGTACTGCGCAGTAACAACGCTGGCGGGATGCCAATTATTTCCGTCACAAAAGGGGAAAGGAACTGCACACACACCGGATCGGCTCCGATTCGTCAGTACCGATTTACGGCCTTGTATGTACCATCTTCGTAGAAGATTGACACAATATTTGAAGGGGCCTTAGCGACGCCGTGATTCATTTATCGACCGTCGACCGTATCGAGTAAAATGTAAGAGGAGGAGTTTCACGCTACAAAAGAGGCTGAATTCTTGCGCTCTCTGAGCCAGTACGAATCCTGCAATGCACACTTTCCCAGCCAACGTGGTTATAAATTATACGACACGCTGAGGGGAGAAAACATCACCCTCTATCTTCCCTATGCACTCCTCTGCTACAGCCAGCTCTTGCATACGTGGGTCGTGCTAGCACGCTTGCCCTCCCGATTCCATATTTCTCCATGAGCTCGTCCTTATCTCTTTTCACGTCATCTACCGTCAATCGATACCCCTTCGGCGTGATCCCCTTCCCAAACGTTTCCGTAACATGATTCGAGCAAAGCAGAGCAACGAAAATATTCAGGATGTGCGCTGGAATGATTAATCCGAAGATGATTTTCCAGATCGTTTCTAGATGGGCCTTCTCGAATGATAACAATGCCGACTTGCATCCAGGTAAGGAGGTGCGTGGGTAACATCGATTGCTCATGGTCGCTTGATGAAGAGCATTAAACCATCCGCAGCATTGTAGCGAGTTTTGAATCATTACTCTTCCTACCTCCGTGTAGTCCTGACTCCACGCGCGCTGTAATTTTCTATCGAGGGAGAAAGCGCTCCGTTTGTAACTGGTATACCCAATGACGAGGATAGATACGAGAGATGGCCAAAGGAGCAGAGTGTAAACCGCAAGGATGGGCCGCGAGTTCAGAATGACCCCGGTGAAGCCAAGGATGAAAGTAAATAGCAGGATGGCGGCAGCTATAGTGGCAAGCACAAGAATATCGTTATCTGCGACGTAGATCACATCTGATAGATTCCACGCTACGTCAAGGTCAACCAATGTTCACTGACGAAGTAATGCAAAGACGTACTCCTAAACCAGGTTGATATCGCTGCTGTAGCCAATACACAGCTGTACGAGAGTAGTAATAGCACGGAAAGAATCAGCGCCCATTTGAACTTATTCCACCGGCCGAGCGTTTCTATGCCCAGGCCGTTTGCTTGCTTCAAAGTCGATGGGAGGTCCTTCTCCTTGGTGAGCTCGAAGGAGAACAGCTTAGGATGGAGATCAATAGTGGATGTGCTGACAGACTTTGGGCAGGGCCATTTATTTGTAAATTTGCTAGTTGTTCCAATATCCCGGATAAGAGAGTTGCCTTCTCCAGATGCAGACGTAGACTTCTGTTCGTGATCGTCGATGCACACGGTGCTACGACTGTACGCGGAACTGGCGGAAGGCTGGCGCGATAGAAATCCAGCAGGCTGTTGCGCAGGAATGGAGACAAAGCTAAGACCACGGCTGAGATAGCTCCGGAAAGTTCCAGTCACCGAGCGGAGATTGGGTCCAGTTGTGAAGTCAGGTGTGGGTAAACGCACAATTTGCGACACTCTTGTGACATCGGAGAACATAGAAGAATGAGAGTGTTCTCTTGTTGGTAGACGTGGCGTTAAGTGAATAGATGTGAATGTGTCCCCAAGGGCGGGCCCGTTTCCTTGCAGAGGTCGCTCGTAGCAAGACGGTCCATCGTCCGTCGAATGGCCACCAGCAATGAAGGTGCCACTAGGAGGGTGGCGGCCGGAACGACGTCTAAATGTGTTGTCTAGTGGCCTACCATTTCTAGAGGCTGCCTGTGGTTTTCGATAATCCATAGGCCGTTGGTGATGGTACAAGTCCAAGGGTACAGGGGCCACAGGCGCTGGTCTTTTCCTAAGCAAGTACAAATAGACTAAGCGCCGTTTAGTGGCGATTCGTGAACTTCTCGACTTCATACCATCAACTATCACTTCCTCCTCCAGGAAGTTGACCGGTTTCCCCTTCTATGACCATGTTATCTACATGGCTCTCTGCGTCGCGTTCGTGTCGATGTAGAGTCTTGTCTCTAGGTTCTTCGGTGCGAGTAGCTTCTGGGCTGCAGAAAAGTGAGTTTTTCCTCTGCTCTCGACTTTTGCGCTTTTGCCGACTCGGGACCATCTGTCTTTGCACAGGTTGTACCCGAGCCAGCTTGGTACTCCAGAGACGATAGTCGTCTCGGATATCCTTTTTTTTTGTTGTAAAAAAGTCGCAGAAAGTCCATGTTCTGACCGCGTATGCACTTGACAGTTGGGGCACACAACGGTCTTTTCTATCGATATCGAACCGAGTCTACGGCAGCTGCCATCGAGACAGAGACGACGACCAATAATGGCACCCAGTCACCTATACCTCCTTCTCAACCGGGGCAGAGCACCGGCGTAGTATCGGACCTACCAGAATGGAAATCTCTAAAAGGGCGAATACAGCACGATACGCTCAAAGCCCTCACGGTGAAGCCCTACAAATACGACAAGATGACTAAAGTTCAGGCCGACGTCCTTGATCAACTTCCTGGACTTATCGCTCCCCCTGATGCCGAGGATCCCGACCCTCCGACTCGAGATTTACTCGTTCGCGCAAGAACGGGTACTGGGAAAACTCTCGCATTCTTAGTTCCAGCTGTTGAAGCACGGTTAGCGGCCATTGAACGTGCCGGCAAGCAGGCAGTAATCGACGCTGGTGTCAAGTCTGACAAACACTTGGAGGATAGGGCGCGGAGAGCATTCGCTCGTCGACATGCTGGCACGCTGATCATTAGTCCCACACGCGAGCTGGCCACCCAAATTGCTAACGAAGCCATCAAACTGACTCACCACCACGAAGGCTTCGAGGTTCGGCTATTCGTTGGAGGCATGAGCAAACGCCAGCAAATGCGCGAATGGGCGAGAGGTCGCAGGGATATTGTCGTGGGCACACCTGGCCGTCTACGTGACGTACTGCAGAGCGAATCAGAGGTCGCGCACGGTCTAGAAAATACACCCATGCTCATTCTCGACGAAGCAGATACGTTGCTTGATCTAGGATTCCGTGAAGACATTGAATCTATCAAAAGGTTCCTTCCCTCTTCACCCGAGCGTCAGACGTTCCTGTTCTCCGCCACGGTCTCTTCTGCAGTTCAACAAATTGCAAAGTCATTCCTATCGGACAATCACGCGTACATCAATTGTGTCTCTGGCTCAGACCCGTCTCCCGTCCACGCACATGTACCCCAATACCACACTGTGCTCCCTACGGCAGCCCATCAGATTCCAACTGTCTTACGTCTCCTCGCTCACGATCAACTCACCAACCCAGGGTCCTCTAAAGCCATTATCTTCTTCCCTACGACAAAGATGACCGTGATGTTCGCCAACATTCTTCGTGACGTCGCTCGCCAATGCCTACCTGCTGGCCGCAATACGCGTGTCTTCGAACTGCACTCAAAGCGTGCCCAGGAGTCTCGTACACGGACCTCTGACGCGTTTAGGGCTGACACTTCTGGTGCGTCGGTTCTCATCACGTCAGATGTTTCTGCTCGTGGAGTAGACTATCCTGGCGTAACGCGCGTTATTCAAGTCGGTATACCGTCGGGTGCTGAGCAATATGTGCATCGAGTTGGGCGAACCGGCCGTGCTGGACGTACTAATGGCCGCGGCGACCTCGTTCTTCTCCCTTGGGAAGTCAGTTTCGTTACATGGCAGCTTACCAAAGTGCCTCTCAAACCTCTCACCGTCAACGAACTGAAAGCCCAAGTAACTGAGCTCGCAGCCAAACACGATGCAAACCCGACCGCCTTTTTCGACGACGCGAACGTACCTCGTAAATCGAACATCTTCTCCACCCAGCCCCTTGCCCCCATTCTGGCAGATGTCGATCGTACTGCCTCCGATTTGTTGGCGAAGGTGGATCCGTCGGACATTGAGGAGACCTTCATGTCACTCCTTGGATTCTATGTGGGACATGCCCAAGAACTTCGCATAAGGAAGGGTGAAATTCTGGAGGGTTGCAAGGACTGGGCCGTTGATGCCATGGGCTTGCAAGCCCCTCCTCACATCAGTCCGACGATGTTGGACCGTCTTGGTCTCAGGGATCGTGGTGGCTCCAAACCTTCCGGCAGGTTCAACTCCCGCAGCTCATTCTCATCCCCTCGCTCGTCGTCTTCCTCATACTCTCGCCCCTCCTCTTCGCACTCCCGCCCCTCCTGGGAAAGCCGAGGTCATGTTCGAGGCGGTGAGGGCGGCGACGGCTCGTATCGTGGCCAACACCCTTCCCGTAGCTTCGATTCGAACGGCTCCCAGGATCGTAGAAGCTCCCGCAGCTATGACTTGGACAACCGTGGAGGCTATCGCAGTTCTCGAGGAGACCAGAGCTCACGGGGTGGATGGAATTCCAGGAATGAGGGGTAAGCCCCTCGAAGGACCTTCAGGCTCCTCCCCACACCCGTCAGTATATCTGCAATTCATGATCTACATCTATCTCCGTGGAACGCTATTGTAGTTCGTTGCGAAAAGTTGATGCCGCGAATTCACCAACTCCCTGGAGCAAAATTTACATTACTACTTGCTTAATGGACTTACAGAATATTTAGAACAGGATACCAATCTCTTGCACCTTAGTTAATACTGGTTGAAATAGAAGAACGAGCAGACCTCTTTCCATAAGCTATGCAGAATTGGAGGTTCTCATTCTCTCCATCATTGGAAACAGGCAATTGACCGAGGAGGCTGTCAAAGGCTCGTGAGTTGCGTCCTTCTAGTCTATCCTTGACACTTCTATTGCAAGACCAGAATGGAATGGAGGGTCGCTAATACCAGCTAAGCTTTTAAAAAGTTGTAGAAGCTACCTTTCATTGGCCAGACGGCTCTTCCTATTGGCTGTTCTCTATTTGTACTTACTTGTTTCATTATATGATTGTTCTCTTCCTGTTGATTGTTTTCTGTTTCCTCTTTTGCTCTCCTTACACTGGTGACATAATCCAATGGCCCCCCCCCGCGATTACATTGTGATTAAACTAAGTGCCTATATAGTACATAACACCAATGTAGTTATGCAGTAAATATGATTAAAATCCATTATATTTCCCTGTTTTCTCCAATATGACGGATGAGATTACTTTGAATATGGCTTCTTGGTGTGATCTCAAAAGTGTCGGGGATTCCAGCATGAATTCATTGAAAGTATAAGTTGTTATAGGCACATCCAGGAGGCCCCTTAGGGGCTACTAGGGACGCATTCACATGCGTTCCTGGCTATGGGCTCGGGCCACGTATACACGCGGCCACTCGGACTTCTCGGATTACAGACTAAGTACATATCCAAGCACACTGTACTTACTATGACCGGGCTCATTGCTGTTTTGTGAACGTGCGGACGCCGCATGTTCCCCAGTATATATTCCTGTACTGTACATACAGTTGCCTTAGTTTGAATATTAGTTCTTTCTGCACTTGCATTCCTCGCCTCTCTATTGAGGTTCCCCCGTTGCATCCCTTTGCCTCTGCCCGTACCCTCGGTACCCGCGTAGGACTCCTCCTGGAAATACAGGGCACGCAAGAGTGTGGGAGGCGCAGCCAGTAGCTGAAGCCAAGCCCGTACGTCCTTGCTCCCCTCGTTTCCCCTCCGCACATCTACATGGAACTGCACACCTGCGAGTCCGCATATCCCGAGCCCCCTGCGAGTGTGGCTCTTAACACTATTGCCATGTCCACAGACTTTGCGTTGACTACATGAAGACTCGGCCCTGCGGGAAAATCACATATCCATAGTGTGCCAAATGAATCTGCATGTATAGCAGGATCTGGAATTCCATAGAGAGTGATCATAGCAAGGGCATGTGTGATTCCGTTGGCCTGGTATTTGAAATAGTACTTGACTTCAGTGATACAAACAGCATCATTAACTGTAACTTTGACATTGCAAGATCAGTGCGGTGTTTTTGATGAGAACTGCTCGACCAGAGGAACAGGCTGTTTGCCCATTTGGCAACTGTAACTTCCTCCATTGAAAGATATGCAGATCCTCTACGCCGACCTCAACCTGTTTATTAATCAAATACAGGTGCAGGGCCAAGGCTTCATGCAAGTCAGGGTGTAGAAAATGTGATGCATCTTCAGTTTTGTGGAGTAGAGCATAGCCGTCACCAAGGTCTTGAGTTAAATGCAAAGACTTCTCCCCTTCAGTTTTGACAAATCCAGGAACCAAAGTGTGGAACACATTGAGTTGGCAACACAGAAGACTCTGCTGAGCAAGATTTGCATATGGGTTTTGATGTTGGAGGATCTCAGCTCCTAGATTACCAATAGTCTGTTCTAGCACCCACTGTGCAAGGAGCACATTTGGCCCTATACAATGGGTTTCAGGTGTGCAGTGAAGGAGAAAGTGAATGGAGGGCCAAATGAAGTGTAATCGGTCCATGCATCACTGATAATAAAGTACTTCAAAGTTGAGACAATACCCAAGAAGGAGTTGGTCAGTGTAAGGGGACACTCCTATTTTCTCTCCTTTCCTTCATCCCATGGACTCTTACCTACATTTCCTTTGTTCCCCTTTGTTCCTTTTCGCTTCCTTTCCTTTCCACTTCCTTTCCGCCCACTCCTTTCGCATCCGAGCCACGTCCGGTGACTCCGGAGTCTTCCCGCACTCCGGACCCGCTCGGACTCGCTTCGGACACCTCGGACTCGCTCGGACTCGTCTATACACTTCGGGGCTCGTCCGGGCTACCTCTATCCTCCTTTCCCACTTCATTACTCCTTGTCCCCACTTCCCCAGGTCGCTGGCACGACTCCTGTACATTCCCCTTCCACTTCATTATCACATGCCCCCTCGTACCTTGTGATATTCGTTCGTACCTGTGGCTGGTGTACTGTACAGTTACCCTTCATTCCTCCCACGCTACTACAGTATATACTTCGCTTCCTAGCATGGAGAATCCTTATCCTGTTCTCTTTGGATTCTCCCTCTGCTAGGTGAGCAGCTCTCTCATGTATTGTAGTTAGTCCTATTCATATCTTTGGATTCTCCCTCTGCTAGGCCTGTGCTGTCGGCCATCTTGAGGTTGCCCTTACAGTCAGCCTTTGATACTGCTTCTGTGGAGATAGACCATAGCAAAAGAAGGTAAAGTGTGCGGACAAGTTTGCAGAAATGAGTCCAATAAGTGTGAGGAAGGATCCCGTGAAGCAGAGCTGGACATAATGCATAGACATAGACGAGGTACTCAGAGGCCTTGAATCCACTTGAAAACTTTTCTTAAGGATTTTGGGGTGGTCATTCAATGCAGTTTGAAAGATAGGGCCTTGCATTGGCAACAAGCTGGCTGTGCTGTTTCCAGGTGTTGATATCATGAAGCACTGCCCATTCCCAATTTTTGATGTGGTCTGTCGAGCTGATAAGGTCACTGTCACTGCCAAAGAGTCCAATCAAGAGGTCAGGAAGGTTGAGTCCATCAAGGTGCTTAGTATCACCAGTGAAACAGAAGGGAGGAGGGAAAGTGAGTTTGACACCAAAGAAAATTGAAACACCAGATAGCCCAGAGTCACAATGGCGTAACTCAAAACAAGTTGGATTTGGTGACTCAATGACTGAGTGGAGACTTTCAAAGAAGTGTGTTGCTGACCCACTGGGAAGTGTATCTGTAAGGGCAACCTCAAGATGGCCGACAGCACAGGCCTAGCAGTGGGAGAATCCAAAGAGATGAATAAGACTAACTACAATGAGAGAGCTGCTCACCTAGCAGAGGGAGAATCCAAAGAGAACAGGATAAGGATTCTCCATGCTAGGAAGCGAAGTATATACTGTAGTAGCGTGGGAGGAATGAAGGGTAACTGTACAGTACACCAGCCACAAGTCCGAACAAATATCACAAGGTACCAGGGGGCATGTGATAATGAAGTGGAAGGGGAATGTACAGGAGTCATGCCAGCGACCTGGGGAAGTAAGGGCGAAGAGTAATGAAGTGGGGAAAGAGGACAGAGGTAACCCGGATGAGCCCCAAAGTGTATAGACAAGTCTGAGCGAGTCCAAAGTGTCCAAAGTGCGGGAAGACTTCAGAGTCACCGGACGTGACTTGGATTGCGAAGGGAGTGGGCGGAAAGGAAGTGGAAAGGAAAGGAAGCAAAGGGGAACAAAAGGGATGTAGGTAAGAGTCCGTGGGATGAAGGAAAGGAGAAAGGAACAAGGAGGAAGAAAGAGGGACAGGGGAATAGGAGAAAATAGAGGTGTCCCCTTACAGTATCTGTATTTATATCACTGTGGGTGTTTGCAGGTTGGCGACCATCGGGACGAAGGAGAGAAAGCAAATAGTGGGGCGCGCCAGGTTTATGCCTACCGGAAAGCCTGCAGAAGGTGTGACAAGTGAATTTCCCAAGGTGGCCTACCCAGCAAGCCAGTTTCACCAACATAATTGAATTGGCTGTGATACAGACCAAATGGAGGCAGCTCAAGCTGAGTCAAGCCTTTCCACCATCCCAGATATGGAGCCCACCTTCATTCTGAATTGCAGTGAGGTGGTAAAGCAAGGGGAACAGAAATGAATCCAGATTCTTCAGCAAGTTGGGACCTGGTATTGAGCCGGCTGGCAGGACATAGTACATCTTGTAGTGCTTGTCTAGATCAAGGTTGATGATAACCCAGATATATAACCAACACTCTGAATGCTTCATGCGATAGAGCTGCACACTGTCCATGGAGAAAAGCAGTAAGGTATTGTCATCCAAAATATCGCCATTGATTATGGCCTCAAGGTAGTCGCTCCCGCAAACGAAGTCGTCATACATGTCTAATTTGCCACCACTCTGACATAGCTTTCCAAGGAGTTCTTGTAAGGGGACACTCCTATTTTCTCTCCTTTCCTCCATTCCATGGACTCTTACCTACATTCCCTTTGTTCCCCTTTGTTCCCTTTTGTTCCCTTTCCTTTCCACTTCCTTTCCACCCACCCCTTACGCATCTGAGCCACGTCTGGTGACTCCAGAGTCTTCCTGCACTTCGGACACTTCGGACTTGCTCGGACTTGTCTATACACTTTGGGGCTCATCCGGGTTACCTCTGTCCTCTTTCCCCACTTCATTACTCTTCGCCCTTACTTCCCCAGGTCGCTGGCATGACTCCTGTACATTCCCCTTCCACTTCATTATCACATGCCCCCTGGTACCTTGTGATATTTGTTCGGACTTGTGGCTGGTGTACTGTACAGTTACCCTTCATTCCTCCCACGCTACTACAGTATATACTTCGCTTCCTAGCATGGAGAATCCTTATCCTGTTCTCTTTGGATTCTCCCTCTGCTAGGTGAGCAGCTCTCTCATTGTAGTTAGTCTTATTCATCTCTTTGGATTCTCCCACTGCTAGGCCTGTGCTGTCGGCCATCTTGAGGTTGCCCTTACAGCTCCTGTGATGTGCAACACCGTTAGAAAAGCTTTATCAAAATTTCTCCTCACACACCTGTACGCCAAAGAACGCAAGGGGGTCTATCTGATTGAGGCTGATGTGGTAGGAGTCCAGGTCATTAGTGATGTTCAGAGTAGACTTGAAACTGAAAGTGAAAGTCATAAGTGCGTGAAAGTCACAACCGCCCATAGCCAAACAGTGCAAAGCCATTAGCCATTGCTGGCGGAGATCGAATCATCAGTTCCCCTGGGTACCCCTGTTGCCTGCACAGTTATCACTGCGCACCATCTGCTATGCCTCCGGAAACATATAGAGAGCAGATTCAGCATACTTTTCTAACTTATATTGTGCTAACTCACCTTCTTACTATTCCAACCCTTTCTCCTGATGAAAATGAGCTAGATTAAAAAAGTGGAGCCTGGGTCACATACATTGTCCTTGTCCTGTTTCCCGAACAGTACTCTGAAATTCTCGGGCTTCTCCATTTGCAAGATCAGCACAAAGGTAAGTTCCTGGCTCCAGGTGATCTTGGTGAGTGAGGCTGGAATTGGCAAGGGAGAAGTTGAGGGGAGGGAGGGAGGTTGGGCCATGGTGGATAGGAAGGAGCGATGTGAATGCTCTGTATGCGCACTACATGGTATAACGCAGCTGCAATGCGTTGACGATGCATTTACAACAAGGTTGGCAATGGTTTGCTGTGGCGCTGCCAACTCATTGCCGATCACTTATGTCATCTATTTGGCTACGGGCGGTTGCGACTTTCGCGCGCTTACGACTTTCAGTTTCAGTTTCAGTTTCAGTTTCAGTTTCAGGTCTACTCTGAACGTCACTATTGAGAGTCCAGTCGCTGCCTGACTTGGCGGAGCGAATAAGGTTGGCCATGATGGGTATTGAGGAAGAGTTAATGAAGAAGTTGGTGTCTGAGTTGGTAGCTGCGACAAGACATAAGGATAGGCTCATCAATCATTCATATTCATGCCTAGCCACTCCGTAACAAAACATATGCCATACACCAGTTCTCAAGTAGCCACATTCAAATATTCAAGACCTGGTGTATGCACATGAAGGCCTGCCAACCACCCGATGCAGGGTCAATTCAGGGTGCGTGTACACGAGCCTTCAACAAAACACACAAGGGTTAGCAACATGCAGCTTGAATGTTGTGTGAACTTAGTTCATGGACTCTTACTCAAGTACGGCCTGAGATGCACACATCATGTCAAGATGTACAAACTGTATGTGGGGCTACGCATCTGGTGTCGCCAGGAACCGCCTCCACCCGCTCTCATGCCACCCACGCACAAACTCGTCTTCTGAGAACCGCCCCACAGCCCACCGCCTCGCCCTCGCCCGCAGCGCAATCTCGTCTCCCTCCGAGAGCGCGAAGACCGCATCAAATGCCGACGCGTACTCCGCCGCCGACGTAGCATGGAACCCTGTGCGCTCGCCCTCAAGGGGCACCACGATATCCCTCAGCGGCCCGCCCGACGCATGCGCTACGGGAATCGCACCGGCAGCCTGATTATAACACCTGTCAGTACAAAACCAGAACAACCGAATACACCGCTGACGCGCGACGCACCATGTACTCCACCACATTGATCCCGAAATGCTCGTCGACCATCGTGTTCACGCCGATGCTGCACTTGCGGAGCCATTCCAGCATAGCTGGGTACGGGGCATTCACCACAAACACGACGTTTGCCTGGAGCAGAAGGGAATTAAATTGACCATTCGAGAAGAATATGAATAGAACGGACTTGGAGCCCTAGCTTCGTTGTCTCTTCCTTCAATGCCCCCACTCGGGCTTCGTCTTCGTCGTTGCGCGCTCCACCAATCAAAACCAGCTTTGCCGACGAGCCGTACTGCGGGTGCTCGCGGAGTAACTCTGCAAAGGCTTGCAACTGCATGGAATGATCTTTCTCGGGTCTGAAGATAATCTATAAAGAGTCAACACCGAGACGAACCCCAAACTCACCGGAACTGCGCAATGCTCAAGATCGTGTGCTCCCGGCCTTCCAGCGGAAATTGAGCGAGTTCCTTGGTGTCGCAGGGGGGGTAGACAATTGCCGCGTTGTCGGGACTCTGGTGGGCTGGCAAGATGAGTTTGAAGGGAAACAATACGAGCTTGTGCAGTATATCGATCGTGATGTCCGAGTGCTTGAGGATCGAGTCCACATGGGCTTTCGTCCACGAAGAGTTCACCATCAGAAACGACGCCTGCCGCAGCGCAGCCGCGTAGTAGTACATAAACAGCCGGTAGTAGCTTGACGCGAATGGGTTAGCGCCCACGAGAAAGCACGGAGAAACCTACAGCAACTTGACGCCGCTCAGCACGCTCGACTCCGCGACCCTGCTCTGATTCGTGTGCCACTTCTTCCTCGAGCGCACGCGCGCGAGCATGTCGGTGCTGATTGTCGGGTAGTGCACATAGGCACCGGCCGGTACGCCGCATAGCCACGAAACGACAAAGAATGTGAAGGCATAGCCCATGGTGTCTGCGCGCGACATCTCAGTGCGAGCGAGCGGAAGGGACACGTAGACGACATACCGATGTAGAGGTCCGGCAGAAGAGATGCCATTGCCTCGAGGGCCACGTACATCGACCCCAAGCTCTGCCCCAGCAATGTGAAGTACGGCCATGTTGTGCTTTCGACCAGGACCCTCGATTTCAAGAACACGAAATGGAGGCTTGATGGGTCGAGAGTAATGGCGAACCGTGACTACCCTCCCACATCAGCGAGCCCCGACGCACAGTTCTCTCGATGCTGACCTTTGCCTTTGCAATAATTTCCTCCTTCGAAGCATCTACGTCCCCGCTATACACAACGAATAGCAGATTCGGATCCGAGTGTTGCATTGCGGCTATCGCAGTCCATAGCACTCGTTCTCCGCCGCCGCCAGCGTTGCTGTATCATTACTTGGATCGTTCAAGCCGAACCAGAAGGGTAGAACCAGACGCAGGCATACCAGTATGGGTGGAAGAAGCCAATGATACGCTTAAGGGATACATCGGATCCGAGGCCAGCTCGTTGGGAAGACTTTCTAGCACGCAGATAGATGCCGCATATTTTGAGGGCACCGAGGACAGTCAAGACCAGAATGAGAGCAAATATGATCATAAGTTTGGAGTTGAACTCTTTGAAGTTCGAAATCAACCACGTAGTCTCAGATAGGAGACTTACCCACGGTCAGTACTGTTCTCTCACGGTCAGACGGGAACCCCTCGGTAGAACCTTCACCTTAAACAAGTTCTCCCACAACTTCAAGGTACTGTGGTGACGGTCTTTCCTTGGTCAAAGCTAGCTCTACTTCGTTCTCAGTAGACTTCGAACCTTAAACCCATGGACTCAGATCGCAAGTCTACCGTATCCTCCTTTTATGGAGGCCGTAAATCGTCAATGGACCCTCTCGGCGCGGATTTCAATTCGCCAGTCCAGCATTATGCGAATCCACCCACTGGTGTTGCGGACAGAGCCAGGAGGGACTCTGCATCCTCCTTCTACAACCCAGAACGAGCATCACGAACAAGCGTGGATTTGCTGAGCGGTCAGCCGAGGCCGAGCGGTGGTTACACGCGGGAGACGTTTTTCCCTGGCGCAAGGATGGAACCCTTGAAGGGCGGAAGGGATGAAGAGGAGGCAGCGGGGAAGGAGTCCCCCTGGGACATCTACGCTGACTTTAATAACGCTGGGCCAAGATATAGTACTGCGTTCGGGAAGCAGGACGCTGCGTAAGTCCCTCTAGTTATCGACGATCTTCAGGCTCTAATCACAACAAAAGATACCAACAACTACCTGCAGTTTCTTCGCCCAAGGCCGAGTACGACGCTACCAGTGCTACAACCAATGGGCAGGTCGAGATGGTCACCGTACCCACCATGGGACCCGAATGGGGACGTGATGAGCTGAAGGGCATGACTAAGTCAGGCCGTCGCGAGGTCAAGAGCAACAACCGAAGAGAGTTCTGGAAACGATGGAACCGTAACGAGGTCGGCTTATGTGGACGATGGTTCAATCGCAAGGCGCTCATATGGTTCCTCTTTGCGTTATGCTGCGTGTATGTTTCGTGCCTGCCATACCTGCTAGAGACAGCTCACTTTCTTTGTTTCTAGCATCATCATCGTACTCATATTCACCATACCCCGAGTCCCCAGTTTCTCGTTCAGCTCTGTCACTCCTCTCGCAAACGCCACGGGCGATTGGGCGTTGGCTGTCCCTGTGACCTTCAATCGCTTTCCCGCCAATTTTTCGTTCCCAGCTTTTGCCAATCTTCAAGTCAATACGCAGGATAACTTCCTGCCTGTGCGATTCAGCCGCCTGCACGCTAGCATCTTTGACCTCGATACTACCGTCCTGGTAGCGACCGGTGATATACGTGGGCGGTCGCTTCCTGCGAAGTCCTTCCCAGAAATTCAGATGCCGTTGAATTTCACTTACGTCGCGAGCAATGATACCGACCAGACATGTAAACGAGTTGCAATGATTTTCCCGATCTATCTAATCTTTTTCCTTTTTGCAGGGAAAAACTGGTATGCTAGCTGCAGGAACGCAATCAACTACTCTGATGGCAAGCGACCGACGGTGCAGTTCCGACTCGTACTTGACATGAATATAGTCGGACTTCCCTCCACCCGCCATGCTTCTACCACGATCACTGACGCTGCGTGCCCTATCGAATTGCCCTCAAATTCCGTCTAAGCTTTACTATCCGAATACTCGCTGCCTTCCTTTTCTCATCTCGACCATATTATATCGGACTAGTGGACATTATTACATTCGCATTAGACACTCACACTCCTTCGGCCCTATTCGTGTGCTACTATTATCATTCGCTGTGTTGCAAAATAATATTTAAACACTCCAGTCGAGCTAGCTACTAGGAAGACGCCGTCGGTCGGTCGTACCGTCACCACACCGGGCAAACAAATCCGACAAGGCTATGTATGGCTCTGAGTATACACCCAGCCTTTGAAATTGACAACAACAATCGTACATTATGTCAAGAACAAAACATATGCTTCTACCGTAGATACATACAAATAGTTTCTTTCAGGTTACCTTAGCATATGAACAACAAATCCGTGTCCTGGAAAATTGAACGTTCAGCGCTGTAGCATCTCTTTGAATTGCGGGGATACACACGATGGGATGAGAAGAGGACAGCTGATATTGTCGACGATGTGAATTTCGGCAGCATTCCGAGGGAGGGATATAGACCTACCTGAGGCTTTTGACTGTAATTGGCGCGCAGAATATCCCTTTGGTAGACGGAGATGAGCCTGGTGAACCCCTGGAAAGCAGCCCCCTTACCTGACGCTGTTCAGAAGTTGCTGGTAGCTTTGCTGAGGGTTTTGCCCTAGACGTATGTTGAAAGGTGCACGAGGTGGGTGATGAAACATCGACTTACGAAGAGAGGAAACGAATGCCTAGCAATGAGATATCAGTGGGCTTCCAGGGTTAAGGGAGAGTTGATACGAACGAAACTCATGGCCCCAGTCGCCTCACCGGCCTCTTGTGTGTCTGCACTTGTCTGATCGTCTTTACACCCACTCCAAGATATCTTGGAAGGGAAACTCATCGATCTCGTAGCAGTTTCCACTGGAACAGACTCACCACGTCCGCTGGGCTTGTCCGTGTAGCCTTAGCGATCTTTTCGGCCTTCGTCGAGGAGGTCGCTGACTTGAAGATCCCCATGGCGGACTGGAGCACTCCGCTCATATCCCCTCTGGCGTAAGAAGTCACCGCTCCCAACAGGCCCTGGCCAATTTCGGCAGCGAGGTTCGGTTCTTTGATCTTACCCTCAGTGGAATACTGACATACCGGATAATCGAGGTCAGTGCTATCACGGCGGATGATACACTGGACATACAACGTAAGGGAGATCTTGGGAACATATGGGTCAATGATCAATGAGTATCTCACTATATAAGCGCACCAAGAGCGGTCCCCGAATGGCAGGACTACAGAAGTATGTTGAGGCTTGCCGACACATTGTTGAAGAGAAACAGTGAACACGTACATCATAAATAGCTGTGAGTCTGCAACCCGCTGGGAGGGGCTTGACCATGATGTCGTGCATATCCTACGAAGAGGTTGTCAGGATCTGCGAAGGCTGGCAGATAGCTAGCACGCACACTATCGGTGATATGTCCGTTTTCTACATAGTCGACCTATATAACTTGAGTGTTATAAGGATCATAAATTCCAGCGACGGTGTGCGCACCGGATAGACGACTAGAGACCAGTCGAGAGTGAGTAACTGCGGATATGTAAAGAAGATGAAGTATACCTTCGTCGAAACCGTCTTCCTCGTCGCCGTCCAGATCTTTCGTTTGCCCTCCATGCCCGGAGTCTGATGACAACGAGGAAATGTTTGTTGAATTTGGGAACGAGCCTTAGCGACCCCACAAACTTACAATGAAAGAAAAGCGAGTCGTTGGGCTGTGCATCGCGAACAAGCCACTCCATGGCCCGAATCTAAAACACTTCTAGCAGAGCACCACGAGAGATGGCCCAGCATACCATATTTTCTCGAGTAGGCAATTGACGAGGGTTAGTCGCTTCATCTGTTAGAACAACGATATCGTTTTCTTGGTAACCGAATTGAGCTGAGGAGTCCAGTCAGTCGATCAGGGGGATCTAGACAATCAAGGATGAGGGTATACGAACAACATAGGAACCTTGTAACATTCTTGGAGTCGTTGATACACCCAGAAAGCTGTCCATCTTGGCCAAAATAGTTGATACCAATCTATAGACATGAAAGGGCGTTGAGAGAATGGATTCAGGGGTAGATAACTCACACTGAGCGCCTTCTTTTTACCATCGCACTGCGAGTACTGGAAATTTGGCTGGGCTCTGTTGTGATGGTGGTCCTCAAATTCGGGGCCGTAGTATTGAGTTCCGGCAGGAGGCCTGTTCGGGGGTCGGTGTGTGCGATAGCCAGACCTGTACGTACTAGATTAGTGGAAAGAGAGTTGTTACAGGAAAAGGGTGTCCCGCACTGATTGTCGTCTTGGTTGTGGTACCCTCCTGAGGGGTTATAGCCCTGGGATTGATGCTCATGCCTTGGGGGAGGTCCGTGAGAGGGTGCATAGCTGCGAAGGCGGGTGTCACTATGGGGGGAGTAAAGGTATGGACTGAGTCTTGCCTCGGTTGTTGTTCGCCGCCCCACTGGGAGAAATCAGACCTCCCCTCATGGTGCCCGCCATGATGCCATCCGTGGGTTCTAGCGTGTATTTGAGTCGTTTGCTTGGAGATAGAGATCAACGAAGAGGTGACAGACCTATCAGGCTCGGGAGTATCACTATGATTGTAATGAGCACTCAAGGACTCCATAAGCATTGTTAACGTTGTTGATCTCACTTTACTGTGGGTAAGTATGCCGGCGAGTATCCTTGGTTGAACCGCTGGCTAGATCGTGTCCGTCAATGGTTTACAGGATGTCCGACGAAGGAAGCGACCAGACCGACGGCTCAGCGTGTGATCAAGTCAACCAGCGGGAGCTGTACTTACGGCTGTTGTCTCCGGACATTGTACTGCCCGTCAGAATAATCGCTGTTCGAGTTCCACATTGTAAAATGAACACTTCAGTCTTCTGATCTCAGAAGTCGCTCGGAACCGTGCACGGTGCACGAATCTAGAATCGGGTAGATAGATAAGATGAAGCGACGATTAATCCGATCGTGGTGGTCCTCACCCACCTGACGCTGATTCTGATTCCTTCACAATTATTGCCAAGTCTTGGAGCTGCGGAAGCAAAAGTTACTTGCCAGCTTCGGGTGATAATCGATAATCGATTACATGGGCGGTTTTCCACGGACACACACCGCCCAAACTTTGGAACGTCTAGGAGACGGTTCATCGACATTGCCGAAAAAAGAGATAATACCCTGTACTTTTCTTTGGTTTCTAATCAGATAAATCAGGAGTCCTCAGGATTCATTTATCACACCCCTACAACCATTGCAGACCAGGGAAAGAGCCGTAGAAGACTACATTATCATCACCGCCCTTTATCCATTTCTTAAAGTCATACCTAGCCGCCGCCGGTTTCGTGAGAGCAAACCGCAAGTTCAGCCGAAGTGGAACACGTCTATGGCCACGATATTGTCAAGCTCGTCGGTCTGCAGCACATCAGGTTCCTGTATAACAAGATAGGGGTATCCAACGCACCTTCAAACCCAGCATCCTCTCTTCGTCCAGCAGCATACCCTCGTACATCCCGGTCAGACCCCCACAAGACGCAGGGTTCGCGGGCGTATACACCACACACGGTAGCTCGCACACTACAGGCTCTTCGAATGTCAGAACGGCGCCATTGGCGAATATCGTGGAGGGGGATGTCACGATTCGCATGTTCGGTACTGCCTTGGAATCGTTCCTCTGCAATCCCGGCGCGGACGGGGGATGGGGGACGCGTGTAGTAGATGGTCCGGGGGACGATGTTGTTGACCTGGGTGACGACAAGGTCGAATGAAGCGATCCCTCCCCAATTTCATCGTCCCCTCCAGAGTCAGAATCCGTCGGCAGATTGAAATGCAATGGCGGCTCGATGGGCGGGCTCCCATCCTCTGCTGAGGCTATGAATTGATTTACCATGTCCACTAGTGCCTCCGCATCGCCCAATTCCTCATCCATCACCTGCGCAAACCCCAAAGTCTCCACGGCGTCTTCGTCAAAGTCTTCGTCGTCAAGGTCTTCGTGACCATACAAGTCATTATCGCCCTCCTCCTCCTCCTCCTCCTCATCGTCTGTGTCGCCGTTATCGTCCCACCCATCCCAAGGATCGCTCACGTCTCCCTCGTACGCGTTTGGCTCCGCGACGCCCGCCGCCCATCTCGCCTTCGCATCGTCCACCTCTTGGCCCCACTTCCGTACATGGAACGGATTGAAATCGTATATCCGTATCCCTTCCGCGCCCGACCGATCAGCCATCCTAAAGCCCCTCGTATCGTGTATCACCGCCATCCTCTGTCCCGCGGACGTTGTAATCCACCGTGTCGACAACTCCGACGCCGGGATCCACCTCGTCGTCTTCTGGCCCCACTCCGCGTACCGCACCGCCTTCTCCACGCCCCCCGCCCGCCTTCCCGCCTCCAGCAGCGCCCGCCGATGCACCACGACCAACGCACTCCGCCACGACAGCCCGTTAGAGATCTGGATGTGCACGTTGAACACCACGATCGATTCCTTTGGGTCGTAGAACACCTTTGGCTGGAACGAGGTGTCCCGTGAATGCGAGAGGTACGGGTTGGGTTCCCCGCGCGCTGAGATGCTGCGGTACTCCATGTGCGGCTGTAGCGTGGGGAGCAGGAGCGAACGCACAGAGCATGCGAGCTCCAGGTCCCAGATATCGAGCGACGCAGGTGGATGCGTGCTCGCTACGACCAGAACTGTCGGGGAAAGGAACACTAGCGACGTATATACACTCGAAGCAGGTGCGGGGTGATCCTGCGAACCCTCAGTTCAATTGTCGCCTTGCAAAGACGATGCCGCACTCACGATCACCAGCTTGCCCTCCATCCACTCGTATACAAAGAACCGGTCGACCACGTCCACGCCAGCATTGGGGAATGTCAGGATCAGCGCAAGGTATTTGCCCACAATCTCAATGCTGATAGCCAGCCGCCCCGAGTCTGGTGCTATTTGATGGCATCGGATCTTGGGCTGTTTCGCGAGCGGATGTGGTTTAGACGTAGATATCTGCGTGAATGTAATATCGACCGAGGATTCCGTCGATGTAGTGATAACAGCAATTAAGTCATGTTCATAGACTGAGAGCCCGATGTCTACAATGGGCGCCTCCACTTCTATGCTCTCCCATTTCGATTCCTCGAACATCTTATTGGGGAGACGAAGGTAGCGCAGCCCAACGGTCTGCATGCGATCCAGCATCGAGTCATGGCTGATAGCTTCTCCGAGGAAGTAGATTCCGCCAGAGAGGTCGTATATCCCCGATGCCGTATGGAGGACGTTGATTCGTTCGCGGAAGTCGGGGCGTAGGATGCGCCACGCCGTCTCGCGTTCTTTGAGGTGCGAAACGCGCTCAGCCAGGGTAGTATCGGTGAGAATATCAATGTCCGTTCCATTGAGTACTTCTGCGCCAGCGAAGTGGGCATCGATCGAATACTGTAAGATCAAGGTGTTTCTGATTAGATCACGGAGAGATGTGTTGACTTGAAGACATCTGATGACATCCTGGATGCGTGCGTGCAGAAGAATACGGGTGATGAGTTCCGGAGGAAGCGAGAACAAGTAGAACGGCATCGTCCACTCGGAATGGTAAGATGAAGAAGGGTGCTGTTCTGGAGAAGGTGAAGCCGACCCCGCCACAACCTAAATATGGTCATAGAGGCGCACATCACGTGATGCTCCCCGAACACTGCAGACCCGAACTAAAGTTTTTTCATTGAGTTCAATCGCAGGCTGCAGCTGCTACTTACCACTATCGCTTGCAAGCTCGACAGACAGCCTGCGCGCCAAACGTTTCAGATCAGAACTGAACTCTGTGCTCACCTGACACCGACTTGATTAGAACTCATCTCACCCCTTTGTCTGGTTATCGAAGAATCGAATCAACTCCTGGGATAGTCGCTAACTTCTCCCCTTCCTCACCTTTCTTCCCTGACGAGACATTCTGGAATCTCAGCGTCAAAGCACCCGAAATCATGGATATTTGCCTCGCTGGCTCACAAAAGTCGCTCATATGGAGAGAATGCTGGAGACCAGGGACCTGCTAGGAACCTGACGTTGCCTACAATCGCATACGTCTCGCCAACTCTCCCCAGCGTTGTACTGGCATTCCTCGTTGCTATTTTGGTCGACTTGCAGTCCATTGTGATTGCTTAATCAACCTAGTGCGTCCGTTTCTATGTGCGTTGATGACAGGATGACACGATCAACGTATAGTCAGCATCCTAGTAATATCATTACACCGTAGACGCGTGTTTTTCGTGAATGTTAGAGACAAACGCGATATCCACCGTGCACTGCGTTCAACGCTACTGCTCAAGGTTCTACCCACACCAATCTTGATCTCGCCGACCAACAGCAATGGTAGATGTCAATGACTTATCTCTTTTGAGGCATTTTCTCCAAATTGTACCATCGACGAATCATCCTCAAACGCGGGGTGACACGTCCGGCAGCTGTATATCATTGCGTTGCCCGTTACTACTTGGAGAAATTCATGGGACCATTTCCCATCACAACAACCCTTCCGTTTGCATTGTTACATCGGGACGCGCATGGCCGTACTCGGGAACACCGCCTCCAATGACATCGAACGTCAATCGAGAATCAACCTGCCGCCGAATGCGAAGAAACATGCTAACTTCGCCGGCACACGAAGCTATAAAAACCCTCCTGGTTTCCCCCAGGGAGGTCATTCATTACTCAATTTTCTTCCTTCTCCCCTCCCCGCTTCTTAGGGCCTTTTGTTCTTTCAGCCTTAACGCCTCCCACCTACGTCGTTTAAGTCGTCCTTCTCGGAACTGGTTCCTTTTGCATTTCATACCTTTCCAATTCGCGTCAACTTCATCCTTCGCCCTTCGAATTCATCTTCAACGCACAGACAATAATGTTCATTACGAGAATCATCGCTACCTCCGCTGTCGTCGTCGGCTTGTCCGCATCTGCCTACGCACATGCCGCCGCTCATCCTGCTCTGGGGATCAAGGAGCCCATGAAGCGCCCTGACGTCAGAAGGCCCGATGCCAAGAATCCTTGTGGTGCTGGCGTCAATATCGCCACCAGCTTGGAGACGGTACAACCTATCCAGGTCGCCGCTGACGGAACCTTTTCCGTTGTCGTGGAAAACTACAATGGGTGGGTGTTATATGCTCTCTTCCCACCAAACTCTTGTGTTGACTGTGTATCTGCAGGGGAATTGACGGTTCCAGGCAATTCACCCTCAAGGTCGATCCTACGGGTACGGGAAAGTCGTTCCAGGCTGGCACTATCACGAAGAATGGGTTGAAAGTCACAGTCAAGAACGAGAAGGAGACAATTCAAGCCAAGCTCCCCGCTGGCATGATCTGCCAAGGCGGTCAGGCACAGAATTTGTGCGTCGCACAGTTCACCAACGCTGCCGTTCAGAAGTTCGGCAACTGTGTTGTCGTGAGTGTTCAACCCATCTTGTCGACGCGGTATATCCTGATAATCATGGTTTCTTAGCTTCAACAGGGAAGCAGCTCGGTCGCTACATCCAACTCTGCGAGCAGCTCTTCCTCTGCGAACAACAGTAACTCGGCATCAAGCAACGCAAACAGCTCTTCCGCGTCGAACGAGACTGTCACCAAAGGTGCCAGCGGAGCAGTCAATGTGAACAAATCAGCTACTTCTTCATCGGCTGACTCCAAGAGCGCGGCTAGCTCTGCCAATGCTGCCAATGCCAACTCTGCCAAGTCAAGCACTGTAAAGACCGCCGTCAACGGTAACGGCGCAGTCTTCAAATCATCCGTCAGCGACGCCAACTCCAACTCCAACACGTCTTCTTCTAGCGCTGCTTCGAACTCTGCTAACACCGCCAACTCTGACACCAAGGTTGTCTCGTCTACCAACCCACATACGGGCGCGTCCACTTCATCCACAGTCAAGTCGGCCTCCACTTCGTCCAATGCGTCGCAATCTGCTTCGAACGCGGCCGCTGCTAACAAGAGCTCGTCATCGGCTGCTGAAACATCCTTCGTGGACCCCAAGACCGGCAAATCAACTAGCTCTGTGGTAAAGTCGAGCAACAACTCCTCATCTTCCTCGACCTCTTCCTCATCTTCCTCGTCTTCGAATACCTCCAACACCTCGAGCTCAGTCGTGACCTCCAACGGTGGAAAGACCGTCACCAAGTACCGCCGTGCTTATGTGAATGTTCCTTTATTCTACACACCCGTTACTAAATACTGATTTCATTCGCTTCCAGGGCTCCCGTCTTGCTCGTGCCATCCTCGATGCCGAGGACGACGGTGCCGACAAGGAGGAGGTTGTAGAGGAAGTCGTTGAAGTCGTCCGCCGATCCTTGATTGACTGGATCTGGGCTTAGACTTCTCTCCCCCTCTCTCGATTTTCAACATTTCAACATTTCTGTGCATGTTTGATGCTTATTCATCTTTACGTTACGGCGATGGAGGATTCTATTGACGCCGTTTGGCGACTTTATTCTTGTTCCTTCGCTCCACCATTTACATTTACCTTTTGCTTCACTATCGGACAGTGAACGCGCACTTTTATACCATCATATATAGTAACGTTTATTACTTTCTTCATGAGGCGGAGATGTTTTTTTATATTGACGTAGGGCACGACAATCTTTATTCCATCACGATTTTAATCGCACGAAGTTGTGAGAGTGTGTTCGACGTGCTGCACGGCTTCGATTGTCTCGGTTCGGTCGGCGTTAGCTTGTAACGTAATCCGTGCGCCGTCGCGCCGATGGTCTCCTCCGGTATTTGCTTCCGAGTTGGGCACCTGGCATTCACCTTGGCATGAGAGATGATGATGATGGATCAGATAGAATCCAGTGGACGGCCACGGTCCTTTCTCTCTACCACACCCAGTATCGACCTCACGAAATCCAGGACTCTGCGACGACTTGGAAAACATGTGGAACAGCGGCTATGATCAGAATCAATACAGTAGTTCAAACACGTACGCTCAATCTCCATGACTGTCCTTAGCCAGAAACTTACCGTGGTTTAGTGAGCAGTTTCGACCAGGGTACTCACCATCCTACGCACCGAATCCAGGAAGGTGAGTTTCTTGTTTGTGGCTCAACTATTTGTGAAGCAAGCCACTTGCCAGATACTCGGGACCTCCTGGGTCTGGGTACGTTACTCGATTAGTGTAGTTTATGCGGCAGTTGTTCACACTTATGCCCTAGGTATCAAGGCGCCAGACCTGTGGCCTCGCTGTGGGGAAGCGAGCAAGGGGCGCCGTCTGGGTGAGTCCATTTGACGTTGAAGTGTTCGGGCTCGCTCATTACAGAACTATATCCCAAAGCTACTATCCTCCACCACCAGGTCCCCCACCCACTTCACGAGCCACTTATCCGGGTGAAGGATACGGATATCCAAACCAGAACGATGACCAGTGTGTTATATTTCTTAATTTCCAATGTTTCCAGATTAATCCCATCCTTAGGCCTGGCTATCAGCATTACCCACCACCAAGTACCTCTGACCTCGTAGACGACATAGTAATCCGCTGACATACTTCGGACTTAGGCCATCCACCAAACAGGCCTCCCACTGATACCCAATATTATGGTCCCGAATTCGAAGACCAGCAACATAATCGATCGCAGCCAAGTTTCCAATACTCTCAATGCAACGGAAGGAAGAAAGCTCTTAGCGTATGCGTGCTAATCTCTTCTTCAACGTTGTTCTGACTTCATGCTCACAGATTGGTATCAACTACTTCGGTCAAGACGGCGAGCTTTCTGGATGCATCAACGACGTTAAGAACATTACAAGATTCTTGTGCAGTTCGTACACTCTTTTCAGATTTTGAATGAAAGGCCCACCTTGCTGCCCCAACACTGTAGCACAATTTGGGTACAACGAAGACGATATCGTGATTTTAACGGATGATGCGACCAATCCTCGACAATTACCCACTCGGGATAATATTGTAAGTTTGCGACTGGCCCTTGAGATAGGATAATGAGAGTACATTAGATCCATGCCATGCGATGGCTCGTCAGCGACGCGCAGCCCAACGACTCCCTTTTCTTCCATTGTGAGCTGTAAAATGACTTCTTGTCATTTTCGACTCTGACTCCATCTATTGCCGCCAGACTCCGGGCACGGAGGTCAGACGAAAGATCTAGACGGTGATGAAGAAGATGGGTTTGACGAAGGTATGTCGAAATGACGTTCACTCTTTGTGCGACTCCTGACGTAATTCTGGTTGTCAGTAATCTATCCAGTACGAATCTTCCTTTCACTCGTGTTACTATTCGATACGTACTTAGCTTCATTGTCACCTTTGGATCCCAGGTTGATTTCCAAGAAAGTGGACATATCGTTGATGACGTGCGTACTATTGTGTCGTCTTCACACTATAGTTATCAACGTCGTCCACACAGGAAATGCATGAGATAATGGTCAGGCCTCTGCCACCGGGCTGCAGGCTCACAGCTATTTATGATGTACGTATTACGGCTACCAATGATGTCCAAGGCTCAATGTATTACCTTCCAGTCTTGCCACTCTGGAACCGCCCTTGGTGAGTAGCTCAGGCAATAGGACTTTGCACTGATAACTAATTCAGCCTCTCAGATCTACCTTACATTGTGCGTCTAAAGTATTAGTGTGCGACGTCTGAATGCAACCTCATAGCGTTGTAGTATTCCACCGAAGGTAAAATCAAGGAACCTAACCTCGCTGCCGAAGTTGGTCAGGGTCTCCTGGGAGCCGTGACTTCCTACGCCAGAGGCGATATGGGCGGGGTATTCCAGTCCGCCATGGGGATTTTCAAGTCGGCAACCTCCTCAACCAAGGCCGAAAAGATCACCAAGGCCACCCGGACAAGTCCAGCAGATGTGGTAGGTTGAGGCAAGTTTAGATAATTCTTCCTTTGTTGATCACTCCCTTAGATTTCTTGGAGCGGATGTAAGGATGATCAGACGAGTGCTGACACGCAAGAAGCCGGCCAGGCGACTGGGGCTATGAGCTTTGTTAGTGCTACCTTTGTCCTCTTCAGCGTTGGATCACCTATAATGATTGTGAATTGCTAGGCTTTTGTCTCCGCTCTCAGTAAGTCGCAACACGATCTCGTTCACCGTCCCGGCGTGACGCATCAACACAGAGGAAAATCCTCAACAAAGCTACCAACAGCTTCTGAACAGCGTCAGGTACTAAATTAGTTGTATCTAACCAAAATATCGACTCATCCTTGGTCCCAGAACCATCCTACGTGACAATTACAGTCAAAAGCCGCAGGTACGTCCTTCCTTAGCTCAGGAATGCGAACCGAGATTCATCTTGACCGCCGACAGCTCTCAGCTTCTCATCCCATGGTGAGTACCTGACCAGGCATTCAGATACCAACCTCACCGTTTCGCATTGGCTAGGATACTGACCTGCTATTCATATGCTAACGTTGAGGGGCACGGAATAGGTGGAAGTATCTTTTGTGCAGCGCTATCTGTAATACATCAGTTCCTGGAGAAGTACTCCTGCGGCGCTCCGTCCGCACCAGCCGTCGCTTTGCTTAAGTATCCACCGGGACGCTAGTGGCTTTGGTGAACTTGCAGTGAGTTCAACGTTCCACGTGGCCGATGCCGATGGTCATTCCGATCAACCAAGGGTCCTTGATCAGGGAACTTCAGGGAACCGGTAACAATGTGGGGTAAAGATAACCGGTGTGGAGAAGTGCATTTAAGAGACGCTGACATATATATCTTCCCAAGAACTCTTACATCTTTGACCCGCACAAACCTAGTTCATCCATGGCAGTACCAGAAACAGCAGTGGCGCCCAAGAAATGGAGCGCACATATGATCGACATCTACTCTAGGAGGAATGCATACGGTCCTATTCTTGGTACCGTCTCCCCTGCTGAGATCGAAGCTAAGGCCAAGGAAGCAAGAAAAGAGTATCCTGGTACGCGTCCTCGTTATCGATCTTATCGCCTCTCATCATGAACCGTTAATTCCTGGGACAGGCTCGTTCATGTACGCGGGAGGGAGTGCTGGCACCAATTCCACCTACGCAGCCAATCTGAGCATCTTCGATCAGTACAAGCTAATCCCCCGTATGCTTGTAGACGCAACCAATCGTAATCTTCAGGTGTGTGCTTACCCAATGAAGGGGAGTTACAAAAATCCAATTCAGTCTTATATATAGACCACGCTCTTTGGTGTGAAATACCCTTCGCCTATCCTTCTCGCGCCCATCGGTGTTCAAGGTGTCTGCCATGCGGACGGTGAATTGGGATCAGCCCGGGCAGCATCCAAGATGGGCGTCCCGTTCATTATGAGCTCCGCCTCCTCTAGGACGATTGAAGACACAGCCAAAGCTAGTGGCTCTGGTCCTAGATGGTATCAGCTCTATTGGTAAGCCGTTTACCACTCCTCCTTGAATCACTCACAGGAAATATTTCAAGGCCGCGATCTAACGACGTTACTTTGTCCCTCCTTTCTCGCGTCAAGGCAAATGGGTTTACTGCACTTGTAGTAACCCTAGACACGTTCCTCCTTGGTTGGCGCCCACACGATCTCCAGGATTCATATCTCCCGTTCTTCCACGGTATTGGAGTACAGGTTGGCACGTCAGACCCCGTGTTCATGGCTAGGTACGGCAGACAACCAATAACCGATATCCCCGAGTTCCCGTACGACCCAAAGAAGCTGGACGCGGCCTATGCCAGTGGAGACGAGAAAGTCAAAGATGCCGTTTTCTTTGGTATGGAGTACCTCAAGGAAACCAATTCGGGTCTGTTTAGGAAGTGGGAAGACCTCAAGTTCCTTCGGGATAATTGGGACGGGCCTTTGGTCCTGAAAGGGATTCAGTCTGTTGGGGTGAGTACCCATCCCCCATAACATTGATATCATACTGATGGCACGGGTAACTAGGATGCGGAGAGGGCGATCGAATGCGGAGTGGATGGTATCATTGTATCTAACCATGGTAAGTTAAACGACAAACCCTTGTGCTCACGTCCCGATGTAACAACCATCTACCACTTAGGCGGCCGCCAAATTGACGGTGCAATCCCGTCCTTATATGCCCTTGACAAGATCATGCAATCTCCCGTCATCCTCGAGGCCCAGAAGAGCGGAAAGCTTACCGTCTTGTTCGATTCCGGGATTCGGACTGGCAGTGACATTATCAAGGCTCTCGCACTAGGCGCACAGGGCGTGTTGCGTACGTACTTCTGTGTTGTATTCCACCGTGATGCTGAAGAGTGCTTGTATCTCAGTCGCTCGTCCTTATCTATACGGCTTGATGATTGGGGGTCAAGATGGCGTGGAGGAGGTCATCAAGAACACTCTCGCCGATCTAGAAATCTCGATGGGTCTTATTGGCTTTACGGGGATTGATGAAATCATCGGTAGTCGAGACAAAGTCCTCTTGCATGCCTCTAAATTATGATAGACGCACCCCACCAATGTACTAAACTAAACTGACTTCTTCTATTTACTTGACCATGTCGTTTCTGTATCTGGGGTATAGTTCCGCGTTGCGCGGGAACTATATTCAAATGAGTACCTAGTATGGTTCCCTGGAACACATGGCCCACAGACCCAGCGCTAGATAACGAATATAAATACTAGGAACCTATTGGCGACTTGGCAACATTGACTGCTCTTTCAAATTCTCCCATCTAACTCGCCCATCCCATCGTCTCAGGATGAGCATAAGATTGGTGAGCCCATCGTTCCCCCTCGTCAAACCCCGACGTAGACCTTCTCTCTCAGTCAGCAGGTATGTTTTGTCCAATGAACTCAGCGGCTCCACGAGTGTAACTTTACCACCGCTTTGATAGAAGAACTTGAAGGTTGGTGGCTACATCGTCTGCTGCTATGAATCAAGTTCAAACTTGCATAATAAGAATATCGCAGTGTCTTCCAAGGTTTTGATAGAGGTGAGTCCGACAGAAATTCCACAAAGTCAACCATAACTGAAGGTGTATCTGGAAAGACAATAACGGCTATGTAACCACGGACGAACTAGCCGATGTCATGAGGGCGTTGGGCCGCCACGCGACAGACGAGCAAATACGTTCCATGATACAGCAGGTATCTGCATCAACCCCTTATAGAATGGGTCGGCTTCTTGCGTTAATTGTTACATCTATAGGTCGATTTGAATCGCAACGGGTCAATAGAATTCAACGAATTCTTAGCTCTTGTCGCGAGAAATCCCACTGATCCAGACTACGAACTATTGAGCGCTTTCAAAGAATTCGATCAGAACGGCGACGGCTTCGTCACTGCCGACGAGTTAAAGCGGGTTATGCATGGTATAGGTAGGAAGTGCACGTCCTTCGGGTTGTTAATCCATCTGACCGTCTCAATAGGAGAACCTCTAACGGATCGTGAAATTGCAACTATGATTGCTGAAACTGATCTCGACCACGATGGGAAGGTCAACTACGAGGGTACGTTCTGGAGTCTTTTATGAGTCGTAGCTAAGGGAGGCTCTTAGAGTTTATCAGGGTGGGTATATTGCAGCGATATGAACCAGCGAAACTGATTCAGGTCTAGATGATGAACGCTTGATGGATTTCTGTTGGACTACTTGTGAAGGCTCCCATTTGTGGTAGTACGTCGAGATTATTCTTATCCTCATCCGGGAGCTCAGCTTAGGGGATTCCCATAGATAATCAGTGCCGAAGTACGATTCTGACGACGCATGCTTGTTTTCTGCTCCCCTTGTAAGCATAATAGCATGGACATAACGAATTACCTCCATCCATGGTGCACTCAACGTCGAGGGCGAGGATTTGTTCCAAAGGAGTGAAGCATTAACTTTGGGTGGTATATTTCTACATCGAGGGGATAGTATGTGACACGAGAACGCTTCAAATCAAGTGCATCCCCAGGCATGCCTGTGTTTCCTACGATCACTGAATCACTCAGCGATAAGATAATAAGGCAAACGCAATTGCTCTTTGTAACTTCTGACTCCTCTTACTAAATTACCGCATTGTGTGAGTACAAGACCAAGAAGCTTTGTGTTAGCGTTGTTCTGAACTACTAACTGATAGACGCGAGTCAACACCCCTGACTCCTGATCTGGTTCGACCTCCGTTGATCTCCGCTTCGGATAATGCCGGCCCCGTAACGTCCCAGTCCCTCATCAACCGCGTCAACAACAACGCCAACGTCCACGATCCTTTCATCGTCCCCAACACTCAGCTTTTGTCAAATTGTAAAATGTCTGACCTTTGCCCCGTCTACGCGCCCTTTTTCTCGGCCATGGTATGTTCTTCGCGTCGCTGCAGCTGCATCTACGTGCTCATGGAATTTCCATTTTCCACCTTAGGGCTGCGCTGCCTCTATCATTTTCACTTGTGAGTAACGTTGATTGGGTAGCAGGAGGACGGCGCTCCCTGCGAAGAGTGTGTTTCCCGGTCGGAACTTGGGCTCACGAGTTGTTTCTGTTCTTGAACTGTATAGGCATTGGTGCAAGGTACGTGGAATGAGCACCGTATCACCTGTATGCTAACTGACGTTACTGTCTGTGTAATTGCAGTTATGGTACAGCCAAGTCCGGCGTTGGTATTTCAGCAATGTCGGTTCTGAGACCAGATTTGATGATGAAGTGTGTCGTACCAGTTATCATGGCTGGTATCATTGCTGTGAGTCTACTACGCACGCAGTCAGACTCATCTTGAACGCTTCCTGTGCGCCAGATCTACGGTCTAGTCGTCTCGGTGCTCATAGCTGGTGATCGTACGTTTCTCGTTTCTCCTCTCGGCTGCGCACAGCCCTAACGACACTTGCACAGTCGACGCAAATATGTCATTGGCCCACGGATTCGTTCAACTCGGTGCCGGTCTCTCTGTAGGCCTCGCTGGTCTTGCTGCTGGGTTCGCCATTGGTATTGTGGGAGACGCTGGTGTTCGGGGAACAGCTCAACAACCCAGACTCTACGTCGGCATGGTGCGTTAACTAATTGCCCTGGCTCGCCATCACCCCTTGACACATCGTCGCTAGATCCTTATCCTCATTTTCGCTGAAGTCCTGGGTCTCTATGGTGCGTACCTTCTGTTCCTACATATTCAGTCGTGCTAATTCGACTCGATGTAGGTCTTATTGTTGCACTCATCATGAACACCAAGACCAGCCCTATGAAGCTCGTCTGTGGCGCTGCATGAGTTCGCGAAGCAGGATGGGATATTGGTTGAGGGAGAATATTTGCTCTTCCAGTCAATATGACGGACGTTTTTATCTTACCTGTTCAGTCACATCCTTCATAAACGCTGCGCTCATTAATTTGCCTTTGCCACCTTTGAGTCGCGGTCGAGTTCAAACATTCTTCGGATTGCTGCTCTAATTTGATCCTCATTTCGTTTCATCAACTTCAGCTGGAACCGAATGAAAACAGACCATGCATTTACCCACAGAAAGAAATAACACATAACTCGAACTATGCCGCCGCATAACCCATTACAGACCCATGCCTGATCGTCTAAGTACAAAGCCCTCAATCTACTTATGTGCGTATTTATATAAGGTACGGGAGCATGTGCCCTTCGTACGAAGGCCGGGTATACAATGTCCTAAAGCACAACTAACAGCATGGAACAACAGCACGATACACAAAACCAGGAGGAGTAGAAGGAAGATCACCAGAAGCGATTACTGATTGCTTCCCTACCGTCTGCTAGTCGACGGTGGACGATGTTGCTAGTAAAGGAAGACCACTGTTCCGAGTGTTAGGGAGAGTGCAAGACGAAAGATATTATGGCGACGTACCCCATTGCCAATGAACACCGCAGCTCGGCGAGCAATATCCATGTCCACAGCCATATTCACATCAGTCTGCTCCTCGTCGAGCGTGAGGTCCTTGCTAGTGGCAATTGTGTGCCACCCATCGTTTCTTAGCGCCTGCTTCAACGCGTCCATCCACTCGCTGGCGTCATTCGACAAGATGTACATCACATCCAAGGCGCGAGTTCTGCCTGGCGGTGATGCCTTTTGGTAATCAGCGCGCGCCTGGCGAGCCTTTGCGACAATGGCGTCCGCAGGGGGAAGACAGTGCTCCATATATTTCTCCGTGTTCTCCGGCGTATTGGAACCCCATTCGCCACCCGGTGGGGGAGTGAAGCGATCGGGCAGCCAAGAGAACAAGTTCCAGCTATAAAACGTGGAGTTCCACGTAGCCAAGCCAATGCAAGCTTCCTTGAAATCGCCGCGCCGTACATGCATAGCGAGCATGCGATCGTATGGGTTGGGGGATATGGGATGGGCCGGTCGAGGTCCGCGAGGAAGGAACAGGTACTCATTCCTGTCTACTGCCGAATTGACGATCGGTGACGACCCGAGCAATGTGGAGACCGGCGACTTCGAAAAGCTTTCCCACAAGTCAAGAACTCGGTAAGAGCCCCACAACCATAGGTCAAATGTCTGTGGGAAGCCGTCTTCAGAGCGGTCGGCTGGGACGATTTCTATGCAACGTTCCGGTGCATTGAGCAGAAGGTCCTTCCAGTGCTGGAATACGGCAGAACCCATGGCGTCTCTGACCGGCCCTTTCACATCTCGTGTATTGATGATACGCCGCTCGGCTTGTGGACAGACCACATCGAACCAAGGTTCCGAAATTGATCGCGGAGCATTGTCGCCCTCTGGCCAAGGACCGCCGGCGACTGGACCGGCAATTAAAGCCGCCAAGGGTGTTCGGGGTGGGTTTTCACGGAACTGAGATTCGGGCCAGGGATAGTAATCGGCCTTCCATACGTAGTCCTGGAAGACATACGCACGCTTGGACTCGTAAGCCAAGTGCGCGTTCATCAATCTGCCGAGAACGCGTGAACATTGAAGTATGACGGTACTGGCTTGGGCATAAATAGTATTTGGTTAACGTACACTTCATTTTGGACATTATTCCAACCCAACATCTTGATCTGGTTCGTAAATTTGACATATCTTCCGGTGCGCCCCTCAGGAAATGGCAGGTCGAGGTTGTGCTGTGGTAGACTTTTTTCGTATTCCCGGAGTCTTTCGTAGGTGGGCGGCGAGGTTTTGAGCGCCGCAGAAGCACCAGACGTCGTCAAATCGTAATAGCTCTTCGAAATGTAATCTCTGCTCGTCGGGTGGAGCGACGCAAAGATAAAGAACAGGGTGAGCGAGCCAAGCAGGATGAAAACGACCCGCCGACGCCCAGTGATCGTGGAAAGCTGGCCAGAGAAACGCCTGTTGGACAGTTGTTCGTAGAAATAGCCGGCCATCGCGCGCAGCAGCGACAGCGAGCTGAGTTGCAAGGAAGAAAAGTCTGCGCGAAATTTGCTGATGGATTGCACTATTTATACAAACGAACTAAAAGTATGGGCGCCTAATCCATCATGTTTTTAACTTTCGAATCTCGGGTGTACCCACGCCGGCACGAAGCCCCCATGATGGAATTGATGTATCAGTTTGTGGTTTCGAACTTCACTGCTTCAAGCTAAGATAGGATAGAAGCTCTAGTCGTACCCAAAGCTACAATTCAAGGCTTATATGGGACTGACAACGCCCTGCTGCGAGCAAACCAATGCATGTGTATTCCAGCGTAGTTAGGATAGCCCGAGCGCCTGGGTTACCTCTGGTGACCTTGAAGCCCTCGTTGGCCGGCGACACCGCCAGAGTCAGGACAAGTCGGATCGGTGACATTATAGTCAGACCATTTTCACGGTGGCATTAACTTCATTTCCCTCACTTGGGTGTGAGTATCATGAGCAAGCTTAAGAGCTGTTGGTATGCAGCACTTACTGAATCAGATGTTGGTGCGAGTTGTTCACATAATCAGGTTTCAAGCAAGGTGTAGACGGGGAAGTGCACAGAAAACGAAACCGCGTCGATGTTCCTGACTCCATTAGCAAATCTGATAACAAATATTATCGTCACGGGTGCGCCACTGGCAGTGCGTGTCTAGTAAGATGCGGCCCGGCTGTATGAATAGCATAGAGTATCACACACGCATAGATGGGATCAAATAGGCTTCTCATCCTTTACGGGAGACTTGGGCTAGTGCCTCCTGGGGTGTCATGGGATGCACTCAGAAAATAACTTCTCAATTTCAGATGCTGTAAAGGAAGTGGCGATATGGCGAGCGTGTGTGCGAGTATATTGGCGATGACCTTGTGGAAAAAGTGTGTTTCCTTGGGTAGGAACACGGAATGTAGGAGCAATAGAGCGGAGTCGGGGGGAATCAGGCGCATGATGACAAATCCCGACGCATACCAAAGGCGGGATCTGGCGTAGGAAGGTTCACCTCCCTTCTCCCCTTCTCATCATCACCATATGGTACAATTACCTGGGTGCCCGTCTTAGCTGCCCGGAGCGCATCTAGACTAAGATATCAGGAAACACTAAGACCATCTATTCACTGGTCCTGAGCAGAGGACTGAGAGATATCCCGATCAGTTTCGCTTCTTGCATTTCTACTCTTTCATTTGCCTCCTCCTTCCACGCGGAGTGGTCACGAAGCGTCTTAACGGACGAACAGCGATATCATGATCGAATCTGGGTCATTTGAGATACAGCAGCGCCGATTTGGGACAAATTTTTCTTTCAATAACGCATCAACTTCAACAACGTAGCCTTCTTCCGCAGAGAAGGACGCAGAAAGTCAAGACTCAAGAAGCTTGGTATACCTCTCATTGAATCGATGCGGACCAGCGCTCCAAATCGAAGGGGACGCTCCAGCTTACTCATTCAGACTCCTTTCTTAATCAAGACTCTAAGATTCCTTGCACCACAAGCTGCCGCAGTGCGTCCTGACGGTTACGGCTCTCGGCGCGTGGTGTACGTGTCTCCGAGGCTCGTAAGAGACCATGCAACTAACTTTTGTCATACTCTGATAGATAAACCAGGATCAAGTGCTGAAAAGCCAAATCTTGCAAACACTCGATGATAGCCTATATTTGATAACTAGCATTCATCGCACGACTTCCATTGCTTCTGGCCCGTCGTACAGCTCATGCTGTGGGTCATGACGTTCGACGAAGTGGAGTTCTCAACGGTATGATCCAACGGGATGATGGGAAGTTGGAAACCAGTCGACCTCTTAATGTACCTCTGAGTCGCACGCAGTCAACTGGAAGTAGGTTCGAATGGATATCTTGGAAATCCATTGGCTAACGAGAGTCTGCGCAGATGCATGCAATATTGTGTCCGACTTCTAATGTCGATTCGATGCCCAACCCCCATAGGCGAGGACCCACCAGTGGGAACTTATCTGGGACTTAAAAGCAGCGGCCACAACAGCCTGCTGGCCATCAAAACCTGGCCATGATCTCTCAGCTATACAACACAGCCTGGGCTACGTTCAGTGACCCAATCATCATCCTTTTATTGGGTGGATTCATCGTCCTATGGTCAAGCAGATCCTCTTCCGGCTACAAGAGAATCCCAGGGCCAAAGGGACTCCCATTGATAGGTAATCTCCACCAATGGCCTACAGTGAAGCCATGGCTAGTCATAGATGAATGGCACAAGAAATATAGTAGGTATTGCATCGCACGATGGTTCATGTTCAATTATACGGGCCCGTTGGTGATTTAGAATCCGACATCATATCAGTCAACCTCGCTGGGATACAAGTCGTCATCCTGGGATCGATGAAGCGGGCAACCGACCTCCATGAGAAGCGATCCGCTCTGTATGCAAACCGACCGCATATGACTGCATTGGTAGAAATGTAAGCGGCGCCCTTCATGCTAACGCTCCCGTCGAAAGTCATGCTCTTCTGATATAGCATGAACTTCGAGGACTGCATCTTCGCATTTCATCAATATGGCCCCCAGTGGAGGCAACACCGAAAGCTATTTAACGATCACTTCCAAGCACATGTCATCCCGAAGGTAAGACTACACCACGCATTACCTCCTCATTGGGCTGACCCTGTTCTCAGTACCATCCATCCATGGTTCGTGAAGCCCATATCTTAGCGCAGCAAGTACTCCGAGCGCCCGAGAAGATCCTGAAACATCTTCGACAGTATGTAACCCATTCCACTTTTCTCTCCCTTACGCAGCTGTTGTTCGATACTGAAGACCACTCTCACCCAGCGTGTACCCAGCTATACTAATGGACATCACGTACGGGGTCCGCATAGCGCCTGATGATGACTATTTCGTTTCTTTGGCGGAGGAAGCGATGTCCGGCCTCAACATATCTACTATCAATGGGACCTCGTTCCTTGATATATTCTCTGTCCTGAAGTACATACCGAGTTGGATGCCTGGGGCTGGGTTCAAACGTGCCGCGGAGCACGCGCGGAATGTAAACATAGCTGCTGCCATGGAACCATGGGAAGCAGCGAAAAAAGTGTTATCCCCCGACTCAGTCATCGCTAAACTCTTAGACCAGACGGGCGATGATGTGCTCTCCCGCAACACTGCGGCCGCTGCGTACCTAGGTATGTACGAATGATGTTGACTTTGCATTTACTTATTTATCTGGCAGCCGGCTCCGATACTTCTGTCTCTACCGCCCACACTCTTGTACTCGCCCTCGCTATGCACCCGGAAGTGCAAAGAAAGGCACAGTCCGAGTTGGACGAGGTAGTCGGGGTCAATCGTCTGCCAACGTTTGAGGACAGAGATCAACTTCCTTATCTCAGCGCGATACTCAAAGAGGCAGCAAGATGGCAGACTGTGGCACCCTTTGGTCCATTATTCTGATCTTCCGTGTGGACACTGTAATGACCGTTCGATTCGATTCTAGGCAATTCTCGCAGAAGTATTGCAGACGATGTGTATGAAGGCTATTTCATTCCGAAGGTGAGAAATATCACATCATACTAGGTGTATCAAAGGTTTGACGGGCGGACTGAAGGGAACAATTGTCTCAATTAATATGTGGTAGGTCCTTTCCTTTCTACAGTCCAGAGACTTCGGAACCTTAGTTATCCGCAGGTCGATCCATCACGATCCGGAAAACTTTCCCAACCCGTTTGCATTCGATCCCGATCGTTTCATGAAAGACGGGAAGCTCAACCCAGATGTCCTTGATCCCACCATTGTGGGTTTTGGACTTGGTAGGCGGTAGGTCGCGCCCTTTTCGATGGAGTTTCGCGAGAATTAATGCTTAGTGTTTCAGAGTGTGTCCCGGTAGATTCTTCAGCAATGATGGCCTCTATATAACCTTCGCAATCTTACTATCTCTGTTCGATTTTGCTCCACCTCTGGATGCGGATGGAAGGCCTATTGTTTTGAAGGCTGAAATGACTACAGGCATAATTTCGTAAGTAGCCTTCTATCGATTCTTGCAAATGTAGGTTTGCTAATATCTCATTTCTGAACTCATAGACAATGCACGCCCTATAAGTGCAGAATCACCCCTCGGTCAGCCAAAGTGGAAAAGCTACTCTCTGATCTGGATGTGTAGGATTAAAGGCGAGCTGATCAAGCGTAAGCAACCTTGTCGAACAATCTTGTATAGTAGTATGTACCCGAAACACTGAAGCGTCAAGGACACATGGTGCAAGCCGGTGAATTGAGTTAACAACGTCGAAATTAAATGTTCACCTGCAAAGAAGTTACACAGCTTGCGCAGAAAATGAAGCTTTGAGTGCAGATGAGAAACCTGATTAATATCGATTCCGCAACTATAAGGGTGTGGGTTTCTCTCTGAACCAGGAAGGGAAGGCTATTTGTGGCGAGTAACGTTGCGGAGTTTGTAACATCGCGTGGCACCATTCAGTCAAATGACCTTGGGTCCGTCTCGACTATCATACTCTGGAAGAGAGGCTCTGGCGTTCATCACTTTCTTGCGCAAATGCGCGCAGTCCCCTTTGCGTAACAGATCATTTACGACTAAAGCTATGGACTGGTCCGCGACGGTCTTATCTGCTTCTTCATCCGACACGGAGCCAACAGTCGTGGTCACGTTTGATTCTGCAAAATACATCTTCAATGCGGGTGAAAACACCAATCGCGCTTTCTTGCAGAGCCGACGCAATTGGAAACGCTCGAGAGGGATATTCTTCACTTCTATTGGTACGGAAAGAGCGAGTGGTCTAGCAGGTGAGCCTAGCGCTGCAGCCTGATTCTGTGGCTGATTGACGGGATGGCCAGGGCTTCTCATGACACTCGCCGACGCGACTATTCCGAAGCTAGATATCGTCGGGCCTCCTGGAACAACACACTTTCTGGCTGCCATGCGATCATATACGTTCAGGTAAACCTCATGAGATCTTCGTCGCTGCAGGATTTCACTATTCAATAGAGACGCGATGCCAGTCAATCCCATTGAGGCATCTTTATCGCTTTCCCAAGAACACTTATACAAAGATGAAAATATTACAGTATACAGCATACCCATCATACCCACACTCTCAGCCCTAGACGGCGCGTTAACTATGTCAAAAAGGAAGCGCGATGCATCTCCTAGCTCGCCTGTTAAACGCGCCCGAGTCGAGGAGGGAACACCCCCAAAAAGCTACGAGACGTTATCCGAAGCCCTTAATGACCCAAAACTGTGCCCCGTCCGGCTAGAAGGTCCTGTCGCGCACGAGTATCGAAAGCTCATGGTCAAAACTATGTTTCCTGCCTCCCAAAAGTCCTCCATATCTAGCCCATCACAAAAGTCTGGTAAGAGGAAGGGGAAAGCGACAGACATCGCTGTCGATACGTTACCAGAGGTCCCCAGTGATCGTGCCAATGTAAACGATATACAATACATCCTCGTTTCTCCCCTCGTTCATACTTGTTTGCTAGGTAGATATATACAGGCGGCCCCGTATACCCAATGGTTTTCATCAGCAATTGCCTCGATTCGCGTACGACGTCCCGGTGAACGGGCCTCCTACGCTTGCGTACATTATTGCTGGTCCGCGCATACGAGGCAAGTTTGACGTCAAGCGTGCGGAAGCTCTTGGTGTTCCCTTTGGCCGACTACGAGGTCAACTGACGAAAGGACAAGCGGTAACTTTTGAGGTGAATGTCGGGGACAACGTGGAGAAGAGGACTGTCCGTCCAGAAGAATGTGTTGGGGAGAGCGAAAGTCCCGGAGTGCGTCTGACATCTGTTCGCTTGCCGCAGTAACTGACACACAGGCTCAAACCTCCAGGTGCTGATTATCCTCGATGTGCCGACTCCAGCCTACATCCCTTCACTGATATCATCCTTCACCACCTCATCCACCTTCGCCAGATTCCGCTCTCATCAACCTGAAGACGCCAAAGAATATAACGTACGAACTGTATTCCATCTTTGCGGCAAGGGAGTTTTGGAAGATGCTCGGTACATCGAATTCATGAATGGCTTTTCTCCAAGTGTTCACGTCCGTCGAACAAATTTAATCCTTAAATCGCATGTTAATTTACCCTCGCTATAGCACGTCGTATCGTCCAAAGACTTCACCGCAGACCCAGTCACGTTTACCAGCGTTGCCTTCAACCAACTTAGGTTGAATCAACTTGATCAGGAGATGTTCCCCCTCCCTCACTTTTCTCTCGAAGCTAGAAGAACACTCTCTAGTCAGTCCCAGTTTCCCAAATATCATCTAGATTTTCGTTCACTAATCACCTCCACCACAGCGTTGCCGAATCTTCCCAAGCAAACCATCCCCTTGAAGGCGAGCCTCTTCATCAAAATGCGTCCCTTCTCGCCGCCCACCGTAGATGCTATATATTCTTCTCAAGACTTGCCCACACACGATCTGTTCCATCCCGCTGTGACAGCTCAGACATCCACGAACGTCCCTCTTCCCCTTCCCCCATCGACGCTCGAGAAATTCGAAGTCGCCCGCTCCCTGGTAGGTGATAGCATCGGCCACGTTACACCAGGCTCGGGCACCGAGAAAGCCAATGATGTAATTGTCACTCCTTTAGGCACCGGCAGCGCGCTTCCAACGAAATACAGGAATGGTGAGCAGTCTTTTGCGTTCTCTGACCTCGGATGTGTGTGCTGAAGAAACTACGCGCTTCGTGACATAAGTTTCCTCTACGCTCATTCGGATCCCGAAGTGGGGGAGTATATTGCTTGACGCTGGAGAGGGTTCCTGGGGGCAGCTCATACGACTATTCGGCGCACCGAACCCAGAACGTGCTGGGCAGGATGTGGAGAATGTTGAGACTTTCCTGAGGGACCTTAGATGTCTCTTTGTCAGTCACATACACGGAGACCACCACATGGGTGTCGCCAAAATACTCGCAAAACGGAGACAGGTCGGTCTTCCGCCATCTCTCTGATATGGCAGAGGAAGATGCCCATCTGATATATTCTGTTGTAGCTGGATCCGCCGCCGACCCAGCCTCTATATCTGGTGGCCCTTCGTGCGGCACACGTCTACCTACGCGAGTACTCTGATATAGAGGATCTCGGGTTGTTTGATAGCTCTCCAAGCGGCGTTGTCACCATCATGTCGGAATCTCTTCATTGGAAACGCCCTGAAAGATACCAGACTACCGGAATGTGGCAGCTTGGGGGGAACGAACCGTGGACAGATATCCAACGGTATGTATTTGGCGCCGCTTCCTTTCTGTTGCTAGGGATTGATACTTCGTAGGTCACAAGATGCCGCACAAGAGATGTGTAGCAGCCTAGGCTTGAAGAGCTTTCGGACGGTGGATGTCTACCATCGAACTCGCTGCTATGGTGCTGTGATTGACCATGCGGATGGATGGAGCATTGTGTATGTTCCTCCCGCTCACGAAATTTTTTCCTTTGTTCATCATGTTGATAGGTTTTCCGGCGACACTCAACCCACGCAAAACCTCGTATGGGCGGGGCGAGGGGCTACGCTTCTTATCCATGAAGCCACTATGGCGGATGATCAAGAAGAAATGGCTAAGAAAAAAGCCCACAGTACTTTCGGACAGGCAGTGGACATCGGAAGACGGTGGGTTCATACTCCTATTCCATCCAGTTACAATTGCTTATGTTGTGGTTCCGATTGCAAGGATGAATGCGGAGAACATTCTGTTGACCCATTTCTCTGCGCGGTATCCTAAGCTACCTCCTGATGCTCTTGCCCCAGTCAGCAGTACCAAAACTCCGACTGGGGGACTAAAAGAACCTATAATAGCTTTGGCCTTTGACCACGCTAACATCAAAATCGGGGATATGTGGAAGTTGAATCATTACATGGATGCCATTCAGCAATGCCTAAGAGATTCTTCGGACGACGGAGATGAGGAAGAAATCACGTTAGAGTCCACAGAGGTCGACATCTCGTAATTAGTCGTAAACCCCACTAATATATCTGCAGTCCGAATCGTAATCAATCTAGACATCGAATCTGCATATCTTCCAATAATGTAATGATTTCCCTCGCAGTAGCATCGATCTTCTCCCCTGCCTCTTGGGTTTTTCTGATATCTTGAGAGCGACCAACAGCTGACGACCTCCCACCGTTGTCAGGGCCTTCAGGCGGTCCTCCCGATTGCTGTAGCTTGAACATCAGGGTCTTGTAAAACGCAGTAAATTCTCTGGATCGCTCGACCATGGTATTGAGTTTGCTCCGGTTTGTTGGTCCAGGCAGCGCAGCGAGTATATGAGCTTGGTTGACTTTACTACCTCGCATGAGCATCCCAAGGAGGATAGAAAGGTGGCCGGAGACGAAGTCAGACCCGAACTCGGCGGATATGTCAGGTTTGAGGTAGTCGGTGTATAGCCCACAAATGGCGTCAAGGCTGCTAGCAGCATTAGGGCAAGAGCACGACCGGATGCACCCCCGCTTGATTCTGCATCTAGGATCCAAACCTGATAAATCAGGCCTTTGTCAGCATGAGATTACGAATGGCACGATACAAGATTTACGAAGATCTCTGAACGTATCCTTAGCGTCTTCACAGCCTTGGACGAGGTTTGTCAATAGTGCCAAAGCAAGGCATAATCGGTCCAATGCCAAAGCCCCAGCGATATTAGGAATGCGGTCGTCCTCTTCGAAATCGAAAACCGAATCATCTTCCTGCTTCACCATAGCCTGCTCGTCAACGGGTTCCCTCTTGACTTGAGGCAACATATTTTTGTGTGCTCTGATGACTGTTCTGACTATGTGCAATGGACCAGGTTCTTGATCCAGAAGCGCACTACACCAGTCAGGCTCGTCGTGAGTAAGACTCATGAACACCCGAAACGTAATTTCTCCGCAAGAGGTAGCTATCAAGGTGGTCGGTGGGCTGCTTCCTCCCTAAACTGAGAACGTACCGTGCCGAACCAGCTCTTGGGAATAGGCTCCGGACTGCCTCTGGATGATCTCCATTACAATAGAAATGGAAATGAGCCGCTGTAGCAACCAGTCTTGGCTAGTGGGTGATAGATCTTCCACCGCTGCACCCTCTGTTTGTATTGACCAGTGGTCCAGCACAAAAGATTCTAGCAGACGAAGGCAGTTCTCCGCGTGAAGAAGTTTAGATAAGATGGTCTCGGGCGTGTCGGAGGAAGGGAAAAGGGAGAGTCCCGATGAGTACGCTGCCAGACGATCGAGGAAGTAAGTCAAAGCTTCCTTGACGGTTGCAAGGAGGCGTGGGAGCTCGCATGTAGGTAAATGGCGAGGGTTCAGTGTACAGAGACTATGAGAAACGAGGAGGGCCGTGGAGAGCTTGTACGTTTCTGACATCAGCGAGAGCATTAGTACTAAGAAAAAGTAGCCTACGAGGAGCGAGATAGGAAACACGGCGGAATCGGCGGAAATAACTTTATACAAACTTTTGAGCTGAGACAATGAGGCACTATTTTCGAAAGGAAAACGATGTGGCATACCTGGATAATCTCGTTCTTGGATAAGCCGTACCTCTTTGCTTCGGCGGGACTCAAGTCTAGACTTCCGCAGGTTAACGCGTCTAACGACCGGGAGGAGTCAAGGATGTGAAAGAGGGTTCTACCCAAAGTGGACTCTGTGGGGCTAGTGGATATTTGGACAGCTAATTCTTCCAGTGCCTTTGAATCCCGTGCGACGACCGCGACAAAGCTAACTAGGGCTATGTCCAAAACCTATGTGAGGCCGCAATCAATTGCCCAATATATTCCAGACCGAGAGAGAGAGCGCGAACCTTATCGCCCCGACCAGCCCCAGCATCACGCATGACATCCCAAATTTTGCATAGGAAATCTGCGGCCTTTGCTTTGCGGGCGAACTGGGTATCACATAACTTGTTGATGAGTTCGATTGCGCTATTACATTCGGGATGAGTGTGCAATCTACATGGACGTAGGCGACACATACCTGGCTCTTCGCAGACCAATAGCACCTTTAACATCCATACCTTCGAACAGATATCCGACTTCATCCAGGAATCTCCGGCTCTCCCCTTTACTTCTAAGTTCCGTGATGCTTCTCAGATCATTCATCATACCTTGAGGCAGATCGGCTGCCCTGTTGTGCGACGACATTGCTTTGCCTTTCCCCTTATTCTTGGACGGTGTCCCATTTCGACTATTACTTGGGGAGATATCCGGCGAAGGATGGAAATCATCTTCGGACCCGTCAACCCCCCAGCGAGCCCGAAGCGAAGAATACGATTCGCGCGTGGACGTATCATCCTCTTGTGCTTGACTTGCCCCAGGATCAGAGGGTAAAGACAAAGAAACTAAGAAGGACCGAGAGGCTCCACCATATGTCCGTGCATGTTTGGATGCTAACGGCTGATTTGGAGGCCTGCTCGCAGGCATTGGCGATGAGGGTTCGTCTGCACTAAAGAGCCCCGCCGGCAGAGATTTGGATGGGGAAAGGGATTTATGAGATGCGTCTCCAAGGGAAGGATGACTTGCAATGGACAATGAGCTTCCTGTCGCACTGGGTCCGCCACTACTGACGACAGATGGTTCCGTCCGTGACCTGGAGAGCATTCGCTTCGAAAGCTTCGTAGGAGTCGTAGGTTGTCGAGCATTTGTTTGAATCAAATCATCTCGACGCAATTTCCCCGTCTTGGCTTTAGAGGGCGGCTTTGATGTCGGTTGGCTACTTGGTGGCTCGACATATTTACGTGCCCCACCAAAAGCCTGACTGTCATGACCAGCGTACGACGCCCGGGCCTTCGCCTGCGATGCGTGAGATGAATCTTCCGCCATGTCCACCGAACCTGGGCTCAAATTTGTCGTGTTACTGCCGACATTCTGCCTGATAGGGCCTTGTAGACGATTAAATTGAAGATAAACGTGAATTGCAGCAGGAAACTCACTGTTTAGATGGTGGTCATCTTCATCAGAAATTGAACCTAGGGGCTGCACCCTTGGCTTCTTTCTGGCAGGCGTTGAAGAATTATCTGAGGTAGATGAGAGGGACTCGTTGTCGTTTGTCTCCTCAATGTGTCGTTTTTGTAGTGGCCTTCGTTTTGCACCTTTGGTCCCATAGGTTCGGGAGTTGAACATTGTGTGTGGCGGGTAACGGTGGAAGGTTGCGACGACCGTGACAATCGCGTGACATGCGCGACTGAGATCAGGGTCACGCCATCATCAACATCACTCTCACCGCCAACTCCTCGAACGCGTTTTAATCTGATGGAGGCCTTTCAAAATCGCCTCGACTCCTTCAAGCCCAAGAAAGTCAAGCATGGATCCAAGAATGTGACTCTCAAATGGCCCCACCCGGAACACTTCAAAGCAAACGCACAGTCACTTGCGGAGGCGGGGTTCTACTTTGACCCCAGTTTCGACGACAAGGATGCGGTGAAATGCTTCATGTGCGGGAAAATGTTGAGTGAATGGGAGGAGGAGGATGATCCGTTTGATATTCACTGGTCGAAGTGCGCCAAAACCTGCGCTTGGGCTAATGTCAGATGCGGCTTAAGGGAGGATATGAATGAGGATGGCGGGCAAGTGTTTCTTTACCTACTAATCGATTTATGCTGTGACTCTCGACCTTCAGATTTGTCTTCGGCGACAAGTCGCGTATTCCATCCTCGAAAGCTATGGAAAAGGCTAGGCTAGCTACGTTCACATCAGGGGACTGGTGGCCTCACGATGCAACTGACGGACATGGCGCCGCGTCAACATCGGTGAGGATTACCGTTGTAGTGCCTTTAAATTGACGAACTTGACCATCTTCCACAGATGGCGCAAGCCGGCTTCGTGTACACTCCTCAGTTTCCGGGGGATGACCTTGTGACTTGTCTCTACTGCCAGATTTCACTGAGTGGATGGGACGAGGATGATAATCCTATGTACGTTAATGGACTCTTATAGCAGCTTCCTTCCTACAGCAATGACTTAGGGAGGAACATCGCAAGCGAGACCGCAAATCGCCCACACCATGCCCATTCTTCACTGCCACAGGCTCTAGTAAGCCCGCATCCCGAGCCAGCACCAAGCCACGGCCCAAGGCTACTGGATCTAAGACACATAAACCCAAGGCGCCGTCACGATCAGAAACAGTCGAGGATAACGAGGAAGAGGACGATGAAGCGCCAGCAGCTGTCATGAAAGGTGCGAAGACACCAAGGAAGCCACGAGGGACTACACCATCGACGGCAAAGACACCGGGCACTTTAAAACGAACCAAGTCTAAGCGTGTAATAGCTGAGGAGGAGGACGAGGAAGCCGAAGCCGAAGAACTTCCCAAACCACCTGTGGCCAAACCGAGTAAGTCGCGAGGGAAATTGAAACAAGTTTATGAAGATGTGGAGGAGGATGTTGTTGAAGAACCGGAAGAATCTAAACCTCGCATGACCCGTCGACAATCTACTCGGACTCGTTCGAAATCAAGAGCACCAGACGAAGAGGTGATGGAAGTGGAACCCTTGGATATTCCCAAACGACAGAAGAAAGCCCCGACGAAGGTCACACCTCCGGGCAGTGATTCTGAATCATCTCCAGCTGCTGAGTCCTCGCGCCCTCCATCCACGCGTACTACCTCAAAGTCTCGTGCCAAAACTGCCCCACCCGATGAAGGTGAAGTCATTGAGTCGCAACCTCCGCGTCGGCAACCTCCTGCTAGGCCTACCAATGGGCACGCTCGGAAGCCTTCACGTTCGCAGTCTAAGCCCAAGGTGATACCGGAACCGGAGCAAGTGGAGGAACCCCCCGCACCAGCCCCGCCTAAGAAATCCTCTCGAACTAAAGCGACGCCCATGCCGGAACCCATCCAGCAAGAAAGTGACGAAGAAGCCGTGGGGCCTATACCCGCAACAAAACCCAAAGGTAAATCAAAGGCTGCGAAGAGTGTGCCCAAAGTCAAAGAGCCGCGCCAGCAGGTCAAGGCTCGTGCAACCCAGCAGCCTGACGAGGACGAGGTAGACGATCCACAATCAACATATGAAGATGCTATGGAAGTCATGGACGAACCCGAACTGTCGCCAGACCTGGGACAGCCGGATGACAGTGAACCTGTCTCGTCACAACCTGTATCGCCCGCGATCACCCAGAAGCCTCCAGGCGTACGTCCAGAATCCAACCAAGAAGGTGAATATCATAAACCAGATACATCATTTATTCGACGCTGAATGACATTGAACAGATCAGGACCTTAAGAAAGTGAGGGCCTCGCCAGAGCCACCTGTTAGCGTTCTGAAGATTGGTCCTCCTAAATCCCAGAAACGAACGAAACCGGCCTCGTCTCGAGCAGCCCCGCCGTCATCCACCTCGTCCTCCACTTCACAACGACCGGCCGTATCAACTAATTCCGATACCTCGCAGAAACCAAGCCACGTAGTAGAGATTCTCTCAGATGACGACGAAGACCCTCCTACCGCTCCTTCCCCCCCTTTGTTGACTACCACAAAGCCCAAGCCGTTGGCGCCGTCGAAAGCTCAGAAACTGGTCATGGAAGTCGTTCTCCCCCTTCCTCCAAAAGAAGCGCAAACTCTAGTAGCTGACGTCCAAATGGCGGATGACCGGGTAATCGCCCAGACCTCAAACATTAAGTCAGATACGGACGAGGATATCAAACCCAGGGTATCGCCACCCATCCCACAGACTCCTCGTCCGGACGTGCCCTTAGAAGCTGATATGAACGGGTCTCCCGAGCCCGACACGACAGCGGATGCTCCACTTCCTCCCTTGCCATCCTTCCATCCTCCTCTATCAACGATGCCATTCCAGCAACTCGATCAGCTTACAGAAGCTGAGTTGGATATGACCGTAGAAGAATGGATTCGCTATCAGATGAGCATTGAATACGGCAAGTTTAAACGCGATGGGGAACGCGAAATCAATCGCTTTAAGGAGAGGGCTGAGGAAGTGCGTCGCGCCATCGCGGCCCTGTAAACGCTAGGAACCACGCTTGCTCGACCCAACCTCTGCTTTGAATGTATTATACTTAGCCTTACATACAGGTGCATCATAATTCGAATACTTTCAGTCGACTGATAAGCGTATGTCGATCGATGCTCTTGGGAGTGAGCGCTAGTGAGCTGGTGCTGGAGTCGAGCTGCGTTCTTAAGTACTTGAGATTCTGGTAAGTCATCTGAGCCCGTCAAGCTAACCTGCTCGTCCCCACAGGTCACAGTAGACATTCCGGCACGTTCACTGAATTATCTCATAGCCTCTGATCCCCCATAAGAGTCATATCTGGCCTTAAGGCTATGTAGTCAATAGTGTTCTTAACTCCTTGACTACTTGATGTACACCCACTCAGGAACTTTGTACGGTGATATTTCATCCTTCATCTTGCATACCCTACTCTTCGATATACCGCCTCCAGCCCGGGAAGCCTTCCCAACAGGGCGAACACATGTGGGTGAGATGGATGCAACCGATGGAGGTTGACCATAATCCGCATAATGCCGTTGGAATCAAAAGAGATGGTCGGATTGAAATGCCTGCATCTATATCTCCTCAGGCCCATGCCAATATCCACCTAAACCCCAGGAAAGGCCGCCGGCGAGCATTGAGTTGTACGGCATACCGAAATGCACTACGTGTGATATACATACATAGTGTCCACAACTTCACTGCAGGTCAAGGGGAGCTCCTGAGCGAGTCGCAGATATCATCTTTATCTTTGAGTTCAGCGCGAGATATGTTTCGTTTCCTTTTCGTGTCGAAAAGGTGGAACGGACATTTCTGGACATACGCTAAAATGTATCCTTCATACCTACAAATGATCCCTGTCACGCCAGTTTAACATCAGAAAGTCTTGATAAACTCAGGGAAAGTGGGGGTTCGCCGAGAGCGTAGAGCAGCATTGTCCTTTGCTTTTGATTTTGATAGTGAGTAGAAGGGAGTCTTACCTCGTCCTAAGGGATGTTAGCTGTTTCGTGCAAGTTTCGTGGCATCAGGAAAGATCACGCACCCGAACAGTATTCCAGTTGACATTTAGTGTTGGTTTCGTCGAAGTTGGAGGACTAGTTGGAGTTAAAGTAGCCGTGATATCGAAGGTACAATCATGACTTTTGGTGCAAATGGAATGCTTCAAGTGCCTGGGGGACAGACGATGTTAATATTTGCTGCGAGAGAATGACCGACTATGGAGGGGTGGTAGACTCACTAGTGAGAGGAGGATCACCATTGTCTCGTCAATTTTGGATAATGAGTCGAAGGGGGCCTCACCTCATCCTGATACAATGTCGATAGTTTAGTTTTATTGCGCGGTAAAAGAATCAATTACCTTACCAACCCGAAGAGCGTCTAAATCGACACGCGCTTCTACTTTGGAATCGTCGCACTTGAAGGTGTTAAGGTTGAGGGAGTGATGCTTAGGGACTCTAGCATGTCCAGCAGCCTTACAAAAATTGGGTAAGCGTTGATGTTGCGTAACATTAATATATCCCAGAAGCCGTCGTGGGCTCACTGGATGTTCGCCGATGACCAACATCATCAATGTTAGTTGCTGAGAACAAGTCGAAATCGCTCTCACTTGCGCTGCATCGTCCTAAGAGAGCTCGCACCTCAGCAAGGCTTTCCGAAGCTAGGTCGATATCCTCATCTTGCGTTGACTCCATTGTAATCGACGCACGGGTTGGGAAGAAACCATGTAAATCTAAATCAGGTGGTCTTTGTATGTCCAACGGCCTTATCTTTGAGCAAATCGCAGCATCTACTTATGAATTGTGGCCGAGCGCTCGAATATCCTATACTGTGTAGACTTCTCGTTTGCTGACCGGTGTTACAAGGACGGTGGAAGAGAACTGGCTTCCACACAGTATCGGAGTTGTGGCGTGCCCAGTAGAGAAGAGACGAAAATGCGAAAAAGGCGTCGCAGTAGATCATAGAGTAGGATGCAAAGTGCGCAATCATGAGTGTATCAGGGGGACAATGCAGAGAGTGGGGGACAGTGACAGCGTCGGCGGGAGTCTTCTCGAATAATACATAAATGAGTGGACTTCGCATGTAGTGCCCCGCAGGAGCCTCGTATCTATCAGTTGTAGTGACTACGAATCCAACTTGAAGAGCGTCACGCGTGTGACGGAGAGGCTCGCAGATGTGTCACGTATGGGCGCTTACGACCCTTCCAATTCACGGTTCAATGTCGATATAAAGCAAATATAAAGTGGCTCAAGCTCAAGTGAATTAGCCGTTCTGCATGACCACCGCCGCTGGCTCGCCGCACCATGCCCATAACCACAGACGCATCTTTATAGGACCCCTCCCGGAGAAGGTCGTTACCCAGCAAGAACAGCTGCAAAGCCGAGCGAACAGTTTCGTGACCGAGGCCATCAAACGCAATGCATTTCACTTGTTCATCTCCAGAGGCGGTAGGCAGGAAGACTGGCGTGAAAGCGATGAGCAAAGTATCGTCAACGAGATGATGAGTCGCTGGCAGGACTCTGAATGGGGTCGCTTTTGGCGACGCAGGAAGGAGAACAAGGATGCGAAGGCGCAAGTTACACGCTGGGTTGGAGGCACCTTCGAAGTTGGCACCGTCGTTGAAGGGGTGAACTTGCTGCAGGTCCCCCCGAGTATTACGGGCGACGGTACGCCTTCATCACCCTTTGCCGACGAAGGAACGTTCATTACTGCCCATACGGACTTTTCGCCCGGATATTCCTTGGGTGCATCATCGGACAACCTCAAATTACCCTCAGTTTTCAACCAAAACGCTAGCGATAGTCCTAGCTCCAGTACAGCTCTATTGCGACCATCCTTGGGCCGCCGTCAAGACGCGCGACCCAGTAAAGCACAGAGCGAGCCACTTCGTCGACCTATCATCAAATTGCCGTCCTCGTTTGGTGCGAGGAGCAGTACACACCATCATCTGAAACCCCTCCGCCTGAATAAAGGCAAAGCGAAGGCCGTTCACTATGCCGATCTAGTCAGCTCCAGTGCTGAGCCCCCGCCGGCGCCACAGAGCGCAACGGAGGACACCAGTGCTGGTGTCACTGATGGACCTGCGAAGGAGGATGAAGTTGTCATGAGCGGTGTGTTTCCTTGTCAGATGGAACAGCATCTCCTACTGAATCGACATTTACTCTAGATAGGATGCTTGTCCGGGTTGACTATACACGGTTGGGTGTCGGTCCGACGTACGACGAAGTAGAGAACCGGACGGCGAGGCACCTCTCGCCAGAAGCGTTCAAAGAGTTCATAGTAATTTGGCGGCATAACCGGATAGAGTTGTACGATAACTACGTACGTCATATGCAATATACAATGCTCGACATCCCCAAGTGTTCACCCTTACTATTCAAATCCTAGCATCTGCCGGGGAAAGCGTGGTTTACTGGCCACCAACACCTTGCCTTCCTCATCCCTCTGGAGCCTTCGACGCATCTCTCGCTGTATTCGTTCGTCGATATGTCTTTCTGCCTAGCTTGCCAACCCACTTCTACAAGCGTCGCGTCGGGAGGGAAGTCCCGTTGGCCGTTTCGCAGGAGCAAGGACGGCCAAAACGTGTTTATCTGCAAGCTAAAGAGCCGGTCGCGTGCAGCGGATTGGATGTGGCAAATATGGTACTGTGGCAGTATGCACTTCAACGCAATATTGGGGTCCTGACCCTCGTTCTTGTTCTTCAGGCGCCGTCTCGATGGCAAGATCCCGCCAATGATTGAGATCCGTAATCCTGTGATGGACACCCGCGTGCGCGTGCAAGTACCGTCTATTGATATGGAGATGGCTTTCAAGACGTTCAGCCGTCATAATGTCATCGAGCTAGTGAGGTCCGAGTTGATGAATGAACCACACTGGAGGCTCCTGATCGAGAGCCAATTGGACCAAGGCAAATCCTTGGAATTGGCATGGCGAAACGGGACGACGTTAGATTGGGTGTGGCTAGACAGTGATGTCAACGGCAAGGAGAGGCCTTGGGAAGTCCTGTGCGGGCTTGCCTTCAACCAAGTGCGTCTTAGCCAAGGTTGCGCAGAACTTATAAAAGGCTAATGTCTGCAACCTCCAGTCTTCGCAGCTTTGTCGGTTGGAAATTCGTCTAGGTGAACACAAGACTACGGCCATTCGTTCAGCTAACGGCGAAAAAATAACTGCCCCACCGTCCATCGAAGGGTACCTCGATCGTATCAAGCCCAACACCGGTGCACGCGCGAAGGTGTACCTAGTGACACACGACGGAAGTCTATTTTCCATAGCGCCCTCGCGCGCCTACCCGCCAGCCCCGCCAGGGCTGCAAGGCGTCGGGGACTCGCTCAAAGAGACTGAGGTCATACGCGGTGCTATGCAGATCATGGCAGCCACTGGGGTGATCGACGTGCGGAATATCCTTACTGTGCGCCAGGCCTTCCAGCCTACCCCGCTGCATACCCATACCGAAGTCGACGGAGGAACGCCATCGAATGACGATTGGGCGAATGTGTGGTCCCGTGAAGAAGAGCACGATCAGAGCGAGGACGAGGACGCGGACGGGGGTGGCGACGAAGCGTTGAGCAGGGCGGTCGACAAGGGCAGACTGCGGATGAAACGGTCCTTCGAATTGCTGCTGAAGAACGAGCGCGTTATCAGGTTCGAGGTGAGACCAGGCTCTGTCACCTTGTAGTCTAAGTACTACTTGCTAATTCCATCTCAGGCATACTCCCGCCGCTCAGCGATGGAGTGGATACGGGGCCTTCGCGCGCTCTTGTCATATTGGAGGCAGCGACATCGACACGATGCACTGGAGGAAATGGAAATCGCGCGAGCTGTAAGGGATCCTATCACTCCTCGAGCGCATCTGCACCAGGACGGATGCGAGCGCGCGCCGGAAGCGCCAGCAGACGAGAATGACCCAATGCCCAGCTTGAGCATGACCTTCAACCGGTGCGTTCTCGATGGCTGTAACTCGATCATTCGCGGTGGGAAGCTATTTATGCGCCGAGGCCTGTACGGCGAATACAAGTAAGCGACACATATAATCCTGTGCAGTGCGTTGTTGAAGGACACATCGTAGATTGGTCCAACTCTTCCTCGTCGCAGGCCACCTCGTGTGGTTCCGCGTGAAGGCTAACTCACAGCTCAATCGCCGAGCGCGAAAGAAGATCGGCCTGCTCGATGCGTACGTCGGCTCCGGGTACTTTGCTGTGACGATCCTTCCCAGGGGGCAATACAAGGCCGATACGTCGTTGCCTCGGCGATACCAGGACGGTTTGGAAGCCGATGATCCAGAAGAAGATACTATCTTCGCAGTGTGGTATCTTTCGACCACAGGCGACGCATCATACAAACCAGGAGAGATCGGAACACAGGTCGAGGTCCCGGGTGCCGGGTCAGTACCCCCGCTATCTGTCAAGAGGAAGGTCGCGGTGTTCAGGACGAGGAGCAAAATCGAGAGGAACACATGGTGTTGGGCTCTCAACTGTGAGATCGAGAAACTCGTCAGGGCTCAAAAGGATAGGGAGAGTAAGTTGAGGGGGGTCGCCGCAGTCGCACAGTCGTAAGGAGGGTGAAGTTCTCCGGTCATTCTCATCATCTCGGACACGTATACCATCAAGTGGAAAGATTATTCTAATACCCGATATTGAATCTAATACGCTAATGCAGACGGACGAACAATTACTTCTTGGGTTTCTTGGCTCTATGGGATAATTAGCATTCAATATACCGGATTATACCTACATTGGACACACCCGTATTTACTGCGTGCAGTCTGCCGACCAATGACACCGCCGAAGTCAAGCCCCCCTCGGACAATCTTGTACCTTTACCGAACATTAGTTCGCTTCGAACCCGGTTCTGCGAGACTCACTTGACACCGGGAAGGTCCTGTGCTCTGCCCCCACGAATCATCACCACACTATGCTCCTGCAGGTTATGTCCCTCCCCCTGGATATACGCCTTCAACGTCTCCCCGTTGGATAATTTTATCTTCGCGACCTTGCGCCTGGCGGAATTCGGCTTCTTCGGTTTCATGATGAAAATCTGGGAACAGACACCCTTCTTTTGCGGCGCCTTGTTTAGGAGGGGGGACCGGGACTCCTTGGTTTGTTTGTTCTGCGGTTTCTTCCTGCGCATGGCCTGGTTGAGCGTCGCGGACGTGCTGGGACTCGGGTGGAAAGAGCGTGCAGGGGGTGCTCTGCAATAGGTGGGAATGGCATTCGGCATGCTACTTCGAGGCAGCAGCGCCCGAGTGGCAAAGGGCGCTACAGTGAGAGGTGTTCGGGTGCATGCCCGCAGCGCTGCGAACATTTCCGTACAAGCGATGAGTATTAGTGTTTTCGTCCAAGACTTGAAAGTCGGAGCGGTAGTTGTGCATTGTTTGGCCCACATCGCAGAGCCAAACAGGAGCAACAGAAAGGGACGCGTCTGTGGCAAATGGCGCTTATTCCGCACCGTCATTTAAATCACCACCAATGGCACGCGCGGCGCGGCGCACCAGGCCTGCTCGCACTCAGGCTGAATCTGACATAGAAGAAGAACCGGAAACCCAGCCCAGCCAGGACGAACGACAGCCCTCAGCAAAGGGCAAGAATGCACGACGCGGTGGTGGGCGTCCCAACGCGTCGCGAATGCAGGTAGACGGGGAGGATGAACCCAAGACTGAGGCTGCAAAAGATGAGGATGAGGACGATGATGATGATGAAAATGATAGAATCGACGTCGCAAATTTCTACAATCAGCCCCTGACTAAGGAGGACCTTCCCAGACTGAAAGGTTTAGCAGGCGACTGGGGAACCATGCACGATAACATTGCCAACAGAACTGGGTTTATAGCCGAGCTTGCTGCGTCCATCGCTGACCTCGATGTTTTCTCCAGGGAAGATTCGGAGAAGGTTCGTTACTATTATCGTCGCCCATGTGACTATCCTGATTCCTTTCCTTCACCACACAGGGTGTCGAGGCCCTGGAAATGATCATGAGGGATATTGTGGATGTAGGCGCAGAAATGAAAGCCAACGAGCAAGTCCTCGACAGCATATACCAAGACTTGGCCCGTGGAGAAGTCATTGTGCGTATCACTGCCCCAATTATCTTCGTCGCTGACCCTGTGTCTCCAGAACGAAGCGGTCAACCGCTATACTGCCGGAATCCACAGCGGCCTGATGGAATACGAGCAGAAAACCACCCGTCAGAAATATGTCAAGAACCCACAATATATACAATTCAAGCAGAGTATCTGGGTGCGTCGCTTCATTCCACCGAATGTCTAGATAATTAAGCTGTCTTGTGACATGTTAGGACGCTCAGAATCCTGACACACCAATGCCGGCGCTGAGCGAGTTGGTGCCTAAAGGTACGGTTGTTTAGCCCTTCTTCATAGCCGTTGCCCTTATCGTGACACAGAGGATGGCGATGATAGCGATGACGACGACGATGAAATCGAGGTCGGCGGTGTCACCCAGGACTTCAAGTGTCCTCTCAGTTTGATGCCGCTCCAAGATCCTTGGACATCGTAAGTGCCGTCCAAAGCGCCTCGTTCATGAACTAACAAAACTTCATCAGCTCCGTGTGCGGGCATTCCTTCTCTGGGGATGCTATCAGGGACTATTTCAGGGGTAATCATGGAGCGAAGAAGTGTCCTGCCGCTGGCTGCAATCGGTCTTTCACGCTCGCACAGTGCAAAGCTGACGCTGATCTGGCGAAGAAAGTCAAAGGTGTTCTTAGGCGCCAACAAAGGAGGGCGGATGATAGTGATGCAGACGAGGTTGTCGATTGATTCGCGCTAGTATGACGGTCGCGAAGGAGGAACATAACGCGTGTACACTACTTGGTGATGTATCTATATTGTCTTTAAAGCTGCTAATCAGAGCATAACCCCGGTCTTTATGTATGTCCCCTATTCACGACTTCCTGCCTTGTTTCCTTGCCGCTATCTAGAGCCCGGTCGTCGACGTTTGACCATAGGTTGTTTATGGAGTCGTGAGGGAAGTTAAGTTCAATAAATGAAGCGCAGACAGTGTACTGATCGGCGATGTTCAACGCTTCTTAGGAATCATAGGGGACCCCCTAGGTTCTCGTACAGTGTCACTGCAAAAGTCGAGGGCATGCACACATTTATTTGACCTCTGGCCTTTCATATATACGGTTCATATTACTTGTCTGTACTGGTCTAGCCATTTAGCAGTTGCATTCACCAGGCTTGCAGGCGCAGCTGAACGGTGGGTGTCATTCGCGTCCTCAACACACCAAATAGCGGACTAACCTGCCGGCGCATTTGCATGCGTGTCCGTTGCATTTGTCGCAGCTGCAAGCGTTGCCGTCGCACTTGACGCAGGTGCAGTTGGCCTGAACGATGGGGATTTCGATGTGCTGGGCACGAAAATGATTCAGCAAGAGTAAGAGGTGAGCCAGTACGAATACGTACAGCGAACATATTTGATTTGCGGGTTAGATGGCGTAGATGGGTTGGAATTTGCTTGTTGTAAAGTAGAATCCAAAGGACTCTCCCCTTTATACCTCCTCGCTTTTAGCTTTGACAATGTTTAGAAGGGCGGAACTCCAGCGATTAGCGCTTGGCCTCCGGCTTATCTGTGAACTTGATTGGTTCGTACCCCCGAAACTTGCTCATCGTGACCGCGATTCTTACGTGACTTCCATAGCGTTAATCCCTCAAGGTCTCACCAGCAATAATCCCTCACAAGTAACGTGTATCATTTATCATGCCATAAACACGATTACCAATCTCTTCAGCCCAGGTATTGATTGGGACTGCGTTAGAGCCTCCTCTGCCGACACCCAAATAAAAGAGACGGCGACGAATCTTGCTGCAAGTGATTCGGGGATGCAATGCTATCGATTTGCTTCCTTCGTGAAGCGGGTACACTCTTGCACTCCCGCTGTTGGAACTGCTGCATCCGCTCTGAAGGACTAGTAAAGTCCACCTCAGGGAGGAACTCTACCCGGACAGTGTCTCTACTGATTTTTTGGCAAGGCGTCAGTTGAGTATACTGGTATGATTCTTTCTTCCTATCGACCACCCTCAGGACCTTCCGTCAATAGGTGTTCACTTGACCCGGTGTTCAGTAGCACTGTGGATGACTTTCCCCAGTATGCATAGATCAGGCCTGCACCAGCGATAGACACACCTCGAGGCATTAATGTCCGTCATGGATGATTCTCAAAACATGGTATTCAAAGCCTAAAGGTAATGAGACCACGCAGTGGAACAAGGTTACTTCTCTGTCCCGGTCACATAATCCTCGTGCGGCCGCACCTGCGCATAAGAGTCGGTATGGTATAGTTGGCCCTGGCTTGTCAGCTCTAACAAAGCCTCCGTCCGGCTTCCGAAGCCGAGCCGTTGCCACTCGTGCGCGAGTGCCAGCACCGTCATTTACGACCCCTTCAACACAATCATAAATATCAGCAATGATACTACTCTCTCCAAACTGCAACACAGTAGCGTCACTTCGCATCACCGTTACTCCCATCATGGACTTTGCATTGGTGGCCGCGACGTACGTATACTCAAGCACTCATGCATGCATCACAGCATCACAATGATGCCCGCTTCATAGCGCCCCTCGCCACATAATAATTGTACCCAATCCAGAGGACCACCGATCCATCCTCAAATATGCTCGATTTCCTAATATCGTCTAGTTTACGTGCTACCAGTCCGCCAGTAATGTACGTTGGCGCCCACGAAACTGCCAATCAGGATGTAAACACTGTAACTTCAACCGATATAGACCGCTATGCAACGGGGTCTGATGCACGTCTAGCCCTTATCAACCTGTGGAGGAAATGGGCTCTGGTAGGCTCTGGTTACTTCTTGCTTCCGACCAATACCCGACCCCCACACCATTCGCAAGCAGGAATAACAGAGCTTGGAACACCCCGAGTGGCTCTGGCAACAAAGCTTGTTCAGCGTTCCCCGATGGACTTCCGGGGAAAGCCCTTCTCCGAGTCGCCCGCAGTTCAGAAGTTCACCCCTTAATGTTTCTACACCCCTTGCAGGCTGCCCAATCGAAGCAGGTTTCAGGAATTGCTTCATGGTGCCCTTCACCGGCCTCGACATTCACATTCCCCTCTCGCTCGGCAACCTGATAGATCTTGTTTAGTACATGATATCTCCAATCGATATCTGCATGTTAATACCTAACTCCAGCAATTTACTAGTTCTCTGACAAGTGGTGTGCCCGTTGGATTACTGGGCGTAATTTGTATCCCTCTCATCGCCGCCACCGCCGGGCCTGCGAAAGAAGTATGGGGCTGATCAAGGCTTTCCGAATCGCTTTCCTAATCGCTTTCCTTTGTCTCCGAGTACATAGATCAAAATGAAATGGCTAAGGCGAGTTGTATATGCATCTTCACGAGTCAGTGATATGTCATTACAGATGGGTATACAGGGATGAACTGCTACTCACATCATTCGCGGCAGGATCCAAAAGTTTGGAAAGTACAAAAGGTAATGACCACCGCAGGGGTCGAACCTGCAATCTCCTGATCACAACTAATCGTAGTCAGACGCGATGCCATTTCGCCAGGCGGCCATGTGGTTGATTGGAGACCTAGCCTCGATAGACCACCTGTTTAACGAAGCGTCGGGTGGGGCTATGCTTTTGTCCTGCGACCACGTATTTGTGATCAGGACCACGTTGAGTGAGCTGAACTTGCTGGTTTATATACCGTGATGGAACCGATCGGTACTGGACTCTGGTTTGAGATGCCCACTCCCCCAACACTGCCTCCTGAACTTTGGAGACACATTTTGTCTTACATCGACAGCTCCCTCCTCCTTCCTATTTGCGGGGTGAACCATGTTTTCCGTGATGTTGCTTTGGACCATCGTCACAGACATCTCTGGCTCGGCTATCTCTCGGATACTAAAATTCTCCTGATCCAAAGCTTGAAGTGAGTGGCACGGAAGTAAACACTCTATAATATTTCTCATAAAGCCTCTAGGGATCCTTGGCTTGCAAAGCGGGTCAAGTCATTATATTTGGCCACTGGAGCCGTGGGTGCTCGAGTGGATGCCTCGCGCCTGGCGCTGCCAAAACCGAAGAACCGCCTAGGCTACTCGGATATCCTGGCGTCGTTCCTACCAAGTGTGGTTCGCCGCTGGGTGACTAACGTTCCAGTGGAAGTAATTGACGACATTCAGTCGGATGCAACGTCGATGAGCGCCGAATCACTACTTCCATTGCTGGATGTAGTACTCGATCAACTGAAGAACGTTTCCGAACTGGAAATCATACTAGACCACGCCGGGAATCTCGACTTCGAGCTTGACTTTCTGCGCAAGCTGTACTGCTTGTTTGTCAGTCGAAATATTCAGGCACTGAGCCTACAATTTTACGACTACAAACTATCTTTGGTCTTGCCGTTAACACCATTCATTGGTTTGAGAAAAGTGTCCTTGACTCTTCTTCCGCCGTTGAACCCTTCCCCCCTGTCCGCCGACGCTTTTTCTGCGCTCCATCAGTTTCTTGAACGCATTGCTCCCTCAGTCGAGGACTTGTCCTTTGCCACACCAGACTTCGACATCGTCAAGCAGCTGGCCTCATCGCTACACTCAAGTAATTGTTCTCGCAATCGTGAATTAGTCTGTTTGCTTACTCGAGTTTCAGTCACCATGCCCAACGTTCGGGAGCTCGGGACTCCTCTTATATTCGATGATCTTGGCGCAATTCAGAGTATGGGTTCGAGGTACCCATGCCTCTCCGCATTGAAACTGTACCCGTGGAGTCCGAGAATAGCTCCGGCACTCCCACTCGGGTGTCTTCGGCTTTCCGGACTGCGTAGTCTCACACTGTCGCTCTCGGATATACGCGACGCCTCCTTCTTCGAACCATCCGGATATCGCCAACTCGAGGAACTAAATATCAGCAATGCGTGTTTGTACAGTGACACAGTGGACGCGATATGCAAGTTCTTCGCGAGCTCTAGTATCACTCGACTTAGATTGTCCGAGTTCTATCTTGTTTCGGGAAATACCTTCGATTGCCTTTCTCGGTCTTTTTCCTGTTCTCCACACGCTCGACTTAAGCACCGAATCTGTTAATACTTTGACATCTGAATTCGACTCAGTACGTCCTGCTCGCATCATCCCGCATATATGCTTACTCGTGTTATCCTCTCAGGATGCCCTTGTCGAGCGACATTATCCAGATTGGCACGTCTCTGTAATAAACTTGAAACTCAGACTTAGACTCTCCGAGTCTCCCAAAGCTATCGCCCCCGTCCTGCAACGGTGTATTCCCAATCTGAAGGTCATAAACGTCGAAAGCCTCTCGTTCTAAACACGTGCTTCTTTATTCCGAGTAGACAACCCTATACAACATTATATGCCGACGTTGTTTGAGCTCTATTCTTCTTCGCCTTTGTTCCTACACGTCCAAATCAGAGAGCAGCTTGGCAACATTGGCTGATCGAGGGGTGACTCTGCACTTATAGGGCGTGCATTGTCTTGGAGTTCAAGCATGCTATATCAGTACTACTTCCTGACGGTACTCCACTCGAGAGGGTACTCACGAAATTAAGCCCGTCATCATCTCTGCCTTCAAAGCGATAGGCTTTCCATCGGCGTCAAGAGGAGGAGCGAAATTGAAAAGGGACAGCAAAGTTGCGAAGGTTATATAGAGAGCGTCGTTGCTGAAGAATCTACCGGGGCATACCCTTCAACGCAAGTGTTAGCTTTTTGACGAGGCTCCATCGGAAATGGCGGAACCCACCTCCTACCAAGCCCAAAAGCTACACTGGTTGGATCAAGAACATCTGGGTTGAGCTTCCCGTCCTTCATGAAACGATCAGGGTCGAAGGCAAACGGGTTGGGATAGTTTTCTGGGTCGTGGTGGATTGACCTGTACATAATAACAGCTAAGGTTCCAAAGTCTCCAGACTACTGAAAGGACCTACCACATATTAATTGACACAATTGTTCCCTTCGGTCCGCACATCAATTCTTTGTTACCCAGAGTGCGGAGAGGTTTCGCTCACCTTCGGGATAAAATAACCTTCATACACATCGTCTACGAGACTTCTGCGCGAATTCCCTAGGATTGGCCGTTGTTACCTGAGATGTCCCTAGAGCAAGTGAGAAAGACAAACCAAGGGGGGTCACAGTCTGCCACCTTGATGCCTCTTTGAATATCGCGTTGATATACGGCAGTTGGTTGCGGTCCTCGAACGTTGGTAAGCGATTGACTCCGACCACTTCGTCCAACTCCTTTTGGGCTTTTCTCTGCACCTCTGGGTGCATAGCCAGGGCGAGGACAAGAGTATGAGCCGTGGAGACAGTTGTATCGGAGCCGGCTATATCAGATCAGAAAACAGCCATTCAGCACGAAGCCAACGACTGCCCCACGATACACACCTAGGTACGCAGCAGAAGCGGTGTTCCGTGAGAGTACATCATCGTTGTTCGTTGTATCCAAGAGTTTAGCGAGGACTGAATCGGGTGCCAACATTTTTTTCGCCATCGCCCATGGTTCTATAGCAGCAGCTATATTCACGTTCCGCGCATGCTCCGCGGCTCGTTTAAACCCGGCGCCAGGTACCCACCCCGGGATGTACTTCATGAAAGGGAATATGTCAAGGTATGTGGTCCCATTGATAGTAGATACGCTGAGGCCAGACATCGCCTCCTCCGCCAAAGAAACGAAATAGTTGTCATCTGGTGCCAACCGGATTCCATACGTGACGTCCATGAGTATAGCTGGATACACGCTGGGCGGGTTAATGTTCAGTATCAAAACAAATCCTGAGAGGGGAGAAAAGTGGGATGGGTTACATACTGCCGAAGGTGCTGCAAGATTTTCTCAGGAGCACGGAGTATTTGCTGTGCTAAGATGTGGGCTTCACGAACCATGGATGGATGGTACTAAAGGCAGGGTCAGCCCAACGAGGTGAAATTAAGCGGTGTATTATTACTCTCGGGATGGCATGGGCTTGGAAGTGGTCGTTGAATAGCTTCCGGTGTTGCCTCCATTGGGGACCATATTGGTGAAATGCGAAGAGACAGTCCTCGAAGTTCATGCTATGTCAGAAGAGCATGAGTTTCGAGGGTAGTCTCAGCACGAAGGGCGCCGCTTACATTTCTACCAATGCAGTCATGTGCGGTCGGTTTGCATAGACAGCTGATCGCTTCTCGTGAAGGTCGGATGCCCGCTTCATCGATCCCAAAACGACGATTTGTAGCCCAGCGAGGTTGACTGAGATGATGTCGGACTCTGAGTTGCAAACAGACCTGTATGAACGGACATGAATCGTCGTATGATACGGAAACCTACGGTATTCTTTGTGCCATTTATCTAGGACCAGCCATGGCCTGGTGGTGGGCCATTGAAGGAGATTGCCAATTAATGGTAGTCCCTTTGGCCCTGGGATTCTCTTGTACTTGTAGCCGGAAGATCTGGTAGACCATAGAACTACGAAAGCACCGAGCAAAATTAAAATAATCGGGTCGCCTAACGCTACACGAATCGCGTCGTATGGTTGGGGGATCATGGCGGGGATTTACTGACACAGGCTTCTGGGATATCGGCTGCTTTTAAGCCCACCAGTGGGGCCTCGGCTGCTGGGGCTGGGATCAAATCGTCGCCAGAGTGTGGTCCGGACATCCTATGACCTTTACGCGTCTTATCATTAGTCAATGGAACGTGTGGATAACCACTGAAATCTACTTCTTATCGACGTGCGACTCGAGGCTACGTTGTTTGTTGATTCCAGCTTCCCATAGCGCTGCAAGGTGCACCACTTTTGCGGCGGCATGACCCTCAGTGTGGGTTCTGCAATGGCCCGCAGCCAATGGCAGGGGCGCGTTGGGGATCACTTATCGAGTGTTTGGGAGCCCATCATGTATTTTGGAACGAATCAACTTCTTTTTCGACGGTAGACACTAGCGGTCTGGTTCATCTGTCAAAGTGTGACCTCGACGTTGACCAAAGTTAGTATATGTTTTCCTAAGAAGCGCGGAAATATACACAATACGTTCCGAAGCAATGAACATCGGACACACATGGTGGTGCGATTAAGCTTTGATGAAGAAACGGAGCGCCAACTCATCGGGATTCAAGTGCTGGCAGCGAGAATAAAGATGGATGTTCGAGATTTCTTGAGTCCGGACAATTTTCCTTATCTGTGGCTGCGCTGGGGCGTATGAATGCAAAGAGAAATGAGTCTTATCAAATTACAGCCGACCAAGTTACCAGCTCTGTCGCCGTAGAGATGTTCAACGAAAAGACAAACTGCTATCCATCTAATTGCAAGTTCAATTGGCACTGTCAAGGTGTGGCCTCAAGGCTGACCAAAGTTAGCACACATTCTCTTACGAAGCTCGGCGGCACGTACCATACCCCCCGGAAGTCATGGACGCCGGGGTGCAGAGTGGTAGGCAAATGTCTTCATTAAGCAGCAAGAGGGAGCAAGAAGTTTGATGAAGAGGTGACGGACCGTCAGCGCCGACTCTCAAAATTCAAGCGCTGGTCACTCCACACAAATTCTTGGGTTTTGACTTTCGGTGAATCTGGACGTTGTTGCTACTGTGGGATGCTGAGTGTTATGAGTATTGTGGTGTACTAATAAACGGCGAATCTGGTTAACATCTGTGACTATACACCAGCGCTGTTTTCCGCTTCATGACCACTTCGAATAGACTTCGGAGTTACAAGTGTCTTGATATATCGAGATATCAAGAAAAAGTTGATGAATATACCTCGAATCCAGCAGCTGCTCGAGTCGCATAAGCTAGACTTTTCTATTGTCCTCAACTCCTGTTGACCCCTGTTCAACGTTTGATCACGTGAAGACTCCCGACGTTTCCGCCGACACCCTCAACTTCGCCCGCAATTCACCTCTAGAAGAGGCAAGGACTCGAGGATGCTCACTGCCTCATCATCAAGAGCACTGCGATCGCTAGCTCACCCTTCGAAGGTATGCCTTTACGAGTTGTCTGCGTTGCGGGACATGTTATGAAATTTGTATAGCGAGCCTACCATGACCTTATCACCCTTCCAAGCAAGAGAGCCGCCGTGTCCGCTGGACCTCCTGGTTACAGTGCGGTGACTGGACATGTAGTCACTGTCTTTGGATGTACTGGCTTTCTCGGACGATATGTTGTGGCGAAACTAGGTTCGTGAGGGTGATATTCATCGTTATATTCCGCGTTCTGATGTTCTTCGAAAAGCCAAGATGGGCACTCAAGTTATCATACCATATCGTGACGAAGATGAGAAGAGACATCTGAAGCTCATGGGAGACTTGGGTCAGGTCGTACCAATGGTGAGCGTTGGCCTATGTTCGTGCTGGGAACCTCTCGTTAATTCAGGCACTTTAGGAATGGGACATTCGTAGCGAGCAACAAATCGCGGAATGTCTCCGGCATTCAGACCTTGTCTACAACCTGACGGGACGGAACTTCGATACCAAGTGTGTATAACCACCACCAGGCCGTATGATTGAGTACTAACCCGACGGCACCGCGCTACGTAGGAACTTTGACATGGCCTCAGTCCATGTTGCGGGTGCAGAGAGGATTGCTAAGATTGCTGCGGAATCAGGCGTTTCGAGACTTGTTCATGTGTCTCACCTGAATGCTTCACACACATCCCCCTCCACGTTCTACCGGACGAAGGCCGAAGGTGAAGACCGTGTAAAAGCTGCGTTCCCTCGCGCCACTATTGTCAAACCTGGCACAATGTACGGGTCTGAAGATAAGCTCCTCAACAATATGGCCAGTGCGTCTTTCCCATTGACAAATCCGACGCGCCTAAGAACTCACAGTCTATACACACTTTTTTCCGCAGCATGGTCTATCTGGTGGAAATTGAACCAGGCACAGACGAAGACGCGTCCCGTCCATGTGAGTCTCCCTGTCAGATAGCTGGTATATCTTACCAAATTAACACTACATAGGTCATGGATGTCGCACAAGCCTTGGCGAATCTCATGAGGATGCCGGAGTTAGCGAGGACGATCGCACTGCCTGGTCCGTCAACGCTAACGCATGAGTACCTATTGGAGCTAGTTGCTTCCGTGACGATGCGCCCACCGAGCGGAGCTCCAGTTCTTCCCAAGAAAGTCGCTCTTGCTCTCGCGAGAGCTGCTCAGGCAGTTTGGTGGCCTGCTCTTAGCCCGGATGAAGTGATCCGACGGTACATCGACGATGTTGACACGCCAGGCGATTGGGATCTCGTTGGCGTGACCCCATCGGAAATTGAGAGCAATGCAATCACTTATCTTAGACGATACAGAACCGCGTACGTTGTTTCATTTGGTGACACTCCGAGGAATGAATTGATGATCCCTAACGACCATGTACATTTTGCAGGGAGAACTATGTTCGTCCGGCAGTTTTCCCGTCTCGCCCTGAAGCCGCACAATTGTCGTCATGAAACTTTCTTCCATAGATACTTTGTAGGCACTGCACGGTCGTAATCCATCGAATTTTGAACTAGATGGGGATTTTGCTTGAGTTTCTTTGACAATGACGTCTCACCGGTTTCCAGCGGCTGTCGGAGGTGCACAGTGGAGCAAACAACGGAAGTTTTCGCCATAGCAAAGAAGTGGGGATATATTCGCAACATGGTTTACGAGAAATATACTAGCAAGATGTCCTCGCAGGCCATTGCCGTTATGCAACTTGCCAAATGTCAAAGGATGGGCGTGCAAGCCCGTGGGTGTGGGAGAGCAGGAGAGCTGGGAAACTTCTCTTCGGGAGAGGTTAAACCCCAACGATTAGAATCCTGGGGGAACAAGAGATTTTGGCTGGCTGGCTGGCGGGTAGGCTCCAGCCTGAGCAAGCATCTGAAAATTTGAAAAAAGAGGGACAGTGAGCCGGCGTTGTCTACGGCACGGTAAAGCATGGTTGAGGAAGAGGAGCGATATGTACCTGCTGGCCTTGCTGCTGCTCAAGCAGCTCTTTTTCCTGGGCTACAATTTTGGCTTCATCCTCCAGTGTCAGTGCCAACGGCAGAGCTACGAGCAAAGCCGATGTCGTGACAATCCACACGATATTCCCCGCCAACTTCCCACCGCGTTTGATGAACGACGCCGTTTTGGAGACGCGCGTAGCGATATTGTGTCTGGTCGTCGGCGGTACTATGTCGACGAGCGCTGCCACACGGTCGAAAAAGGACTCTTGGGGGTCTTCCGAAACAACGGACGACAAGGATATTGATGAAGAAGTGCGTGATGAGGCAGTGGAGGCATACGGGGAATTTCCCGCATCCTTCTCATCGACGATTTCGACCTTGACCATTGTTTTTTTCGAGTTGAGTCAGTTGGTGAGAAGGAACCGGCGGCGGCTTGGTGAGGGTCTGACAAGAAAACTTGGGTCGGTACCGACAAGGTGACAGTTAGTGGCGGCGTTCCTTGTGCTTGGCCCTGTTTGGGCAGATTTCCTAAACGAGATCTACATATAAGATCGGACCAGTACTTCAATTACAAGTTGGTGCCCCTCCCTCAACCATCTTGCTTTCTTACCACCATCATGCCCAAGGATACCCATTCCTCCAATTTTTCCAGCTCGCTCTCACAGCCTGGTTGGCAGTTCCCATCGTTTCTTGCCTGTCGACGTGCTGAACGAATCCTGCGTTGTGATCGGTTCCAGGCTTAGCGCTACCATCGCAATCAGTGCAGAATCACATCCATGAACTCGCAAAGACGCTGCCGCCCCCGCGTAAACAGAACACAGCTTGCGACGCTTGCAGGTCCGCTCGTTCCATCCACCCATGATGTATTACATCAAGTAAAGTTCAGCCCAGGTCGAGGAAGGTCAAGTGCAACCGGGTGCAAGGGCAGGAGAAGGTGCAGTACATCGCCATCCCTGTGCTCGAATGCAACTAAACTGCTGTCGATTTCAGTGCCAGGTATGTAATGCCCGCCGTTCCATTGGCCGATTTCATGGTTGCGGAGATTCACATGGTATATGACCGATAGCACTGTCTCTCCAAAAATTATCCATGCACGTCAGTATCTTCATCGAGGGCGTGTTCTATGACCGCTCATAGTTGCCTGTGACAAATAGCCATTACGTTCAGCAAGCGACATCCGAGAGGAAGCGCGTCGGAGTGCCCCGAAGACCACGAAATACTTCTACTAGTTCAAGGTATGCCCTCTGATTAGGTTTCACTTATGAAACAGATTCTCATCTGTCCGGTATTCGCTGCCTTCAACAACGCCAGGTATCTCCTTCGCTCCCAATTCATAGAGCATCCATTGATTCTAGAAATATTTTAGCTCTTCATCTCCCGGACCTTCCAAACTGTACGTCTCCTCTGCTCCAATGACAACTACGATAACTCTAACGTCGACGGCTTTGTGGCTTGATTAGCGCCTCTCCCATCATCGAGAATGGATACCCCGCTGCCTTCCCAAAATTCCCAACTTTCCATACTGGTCCTATCCCTATCAAGTTCGGCTTCTACCCCCCCATAACGCTCGATACCCCCACTAGAGAAGTTCTGTTGTACTTATTCTCGCCACCGGAAATTGCCAGGTATATTGGTTGCTTCCTCATAGGTACTTACTGCTGAGTAATGGAACCAGTGATCACACTCCTTTTGGGCAAACGATGGTCAAGTCGCCATACGCCGACTGGGGCGAACAAGCAATCAAACTCGAGAACGAAGCTTTCAGAACAGAGTGCGTGTTTTTAATATCCACCAACATTAATGTACCATGTGAAGATCCACACCTTATATGGTTGATTGGATATTTTATCGCCAGCAGCACGCGCGTCTCAACCGGCGTTGTTTATTTCCTGGCGATTTGGCGAATGCTGACTGAGAACAAATAGATTTGCTCTTGATCTCGTGGAAGTTTTCTTCCAAATTGTTCACAGTCGACTACCGCTTCTCAACCCCGCGTTGTTTAGAGAGCGTCTTTACCTACATGATGCTTCCGGTGCCAGAGCTTCGGAGAAGCCGTTGCATCCGGCACTTGTAGCAACGGTGTTAGCATGGGGCGCGAAGTTCTCCGAGCATCCCTTACTGGTGGCCGATCGCAAACGACCGAGTGGACAAAGTCATTTAGCCAGAATCCTAATTGACCGCGCAAGAGAGTTCGCCGAGGCATTAAAGGTGCATAGGGTTCCACATGCTGACCATGTAGTCATTGGTCTCCTCATTGAGCCGTTGCAAAGTCGTGAGTTCATCTCCTATATATCCATGACAACTCGTAGTAAGCTTGATGAATAGAAAATCCTGAGGATGCCAACGGTAAGTGGCTGAACCACCATGTGGCCGAGACTGCCTTCCTCATAGATAGACCACAGGTTATCACGGCTTCTGGCTGACGGCAGCTACTCGTCATCTTCTGGATTTACAGGTCAGTGCCCGGACTTTACTGGAGCGACACCGTCTTCATTTTGGCCCGATTGTCAGATCAACCATAAATCCGTGATGTCAACGATTCAAGACCCTGAGGCTCGGGGGACGATGATATTCGCATGGTGGATGGCGTGTATATGTGATGCGTATGCTTCGGCGTATTACCGTCGAAAGCCTGTCCTTGACGATGACGATTACGATATTGACTTCTACACCGCGGATCCTGTCCACCTAGAAGCCGCAGAGCCCCATTCGCCACTGCCCTCTCCTCGGGAGCAACTTGAGGTGCCTATCATGGGTTTTCTACCACCATTGATTCATATACTCATCTCGTGCTTCAGTTTCTTGTAAGCAGCAGCACTATGGAGGTTCGGTCTGGAGGATGACGATCTTGCGTTTCTGACAGGGTTACTACCGCGCAGCTCATGCCTTAGCCCGAATCTCCCGACAAATGTCCCGGCAGCTTTGGCGACCGGTCACAGAAGCCGATGGGATTCCGCTTAGCGAACTCTCCCGATTCTCGCACTCGCTAGTTGAATGGAGAGATACGTACCTGAACGCAGTGGGGGTCCCAAGCAATTTCGAGGGCGAATGGGACTTTGTGTCTGTAAGCAGAGTGGTCGTCCCTTGCCTCGTTGACGTTTGACTTTCCCCACAATCGTGCAGGCCGTTTCATCATGTGCAAGCGATGCTACATTCCATGTCATGTGGATTATCCTTTTCAGCGCCTTAGACGAGTTTGGGATTCGCGAGGTCAACGAACTTCAACGCGCTGGAAGCCCAGCCGCTGTACTACCTAACGAAGCCGATGTGGAGAGTGTCAAGCGTAAGGTGATGGACGAAGCCCTCCATGGCGCATTGCGAATAGCCGGTTTGGTAAGTAAACTTCTTGGCTTACTTCCTCCGCGCCATTGACTTGATCTATGTTTCTTGGCAGGCTGGCGTCTTGACATCAAACGGCTACCTGGTATTTCCCTCGTAAACTAGGGTCATTAATCGCGATTGAGTTCCGTATGTTCTTCTAGCGCCTTGATCCAGCGGTGATGCACGTTAGCTGTATACACGCTGGCACTCTCCTAGCTCGACTAGGGCGACCCGAAGTATCCAACTGCATCGCTGGCCTCGAACAGTACAGTCATTCATATGAAGAGGCTGGGGAGCAGGCCTCCGAGCTCAAACGAATGTACAAGGATGCCACCAACGGTCACTCAGATTTAGCTCACATGCATTCAACCGTTCAGCGTGGACTAGCGGTGGATGCAACCGCTAACCATTCTATGGCGATTGACACACTTCATGGTTCCAGCGTAAGTCTTGGCTAGTCCTGCTGACTGAAATCATCGGACTTAACGGACGCTATAGTTTGCCCCTGCGCCTTTTGGTGGGAGATGACACGCCCACGGCACGGTGCTTGTCAAAAAAGACCAACATCAAGCAAGTAGCAATACTGTTACCTCGTGCATCATTCCTGTCAGTCATTTACTTGTAGCTTAGTGTTCTACTTGCTGCAGGTTTTACTTATCGTGCAGATCGATTTACTTAGATTAGCTACTCCCTCGCGGGTATGGATTTTTCCTTGTTGTTCATGATCCCCTCTCGTTATGTTGTACTCATAAATGTACCCATGACTCGGACAGATCCAATGCATAGTGGTGATGATCGTAACCTTACCTGGGCATACTGATAATCGATATGCTCAAGCCTCACGAGAACACAAGAGAAGAAGAATGCTACGGCACAGGCTTAGTATTGCTGATAAGACCGATATAACAGGCATGGCTTCAATGTATGTATAGCTCTGCGGTAAATGAATGAACTTGTAATGAAATCAAATTTTATAATGAACATAGGGCGGCCGCAACGTGAATAGCGGTCAACCCTATTGTTTTTGATCAGTTGACTGGAGCCCAGAGCGCGCTCAGTTGCTGTATTTAACCTCCCAATTGTTTCTGATGTTCTTCTTTGGTTCTCTTCGTGTTACATAACTTCAAATATATACGCAACTAAACTTAGTAGATGCTAGACATACCGAACGCCCACAATTACAAGCCAGTCGGTGTCCCTTGTCATGACGACGCGATACCCTAAGTATAGTACTACTTATACTATGTAGCTTAGCTTGGAAATGTGTACTACAAGAAATGCGTCTCGTAGAAAAGGAACGCAAAATCATGTTGATGGGCCCGGGTAACTCAAATCAACTCCAAATGAATGACTTAATTTCGGGTCTCCTACCGAAGTGTGACTGCTATTCATTAATGCGAAGTTAGTGCGGAGTGCCGTTATACGATAGATTCGTGGTGGTATTGCTATAAAGGCTATCGTTGTTGGTACTGCACGAAGGAGTCGACTGACGTACCAGCGGGTGCGAAGTGGACGGCGCCGTATATTACGAATATATGGCCTGGTGAGTGGATCGATCGCGAAGGTACTCGAGGACTCGTCTCAGCATTGATCTCGAGAACGACGTATACGTATATTGTATATGTTCGTCATTAAATACAACTGTTCTTGTAGCGTAGGCACTAAGGAATGACAGGGGGAAGGGAACTTGTATAGTCGACGGGCAAAGCAGCGGACGAGTCGGGGGCTACAATAAGAATGGACAAGTAGGGAAGTACAATGGAATGTCATGTAGGCTGTTGACAGCGTGGTCTATTCGAGAGCAATGCGAGGAAGAGCAAAGATGTCTGCGGACGGTCGGTAAGCGGGGAGTCGCAGATGATACGGTACTAAGAATTGCGTACCTTGATTGGTAGGTCGTAAAGGCCACATTGCGCCAGACGTCTGCCCAATGGCTCGAAAGACGGGGAGGATATGAAACGTGCGAACGGTAATGGAGAGCAGGGAGAGAGGGAAGGGTGTATGTTGGGTCGTTGAATGAAAGTGGAAAAGGAACGGCTGGCGACATTGAATTTGACAAATTTGTCGGGAAAAGCCTACGGCGGTTGAGCACACAAGACTTAATGCGCCCACCAAGACGTCCTGAACTAAAGAAGACGCTTGCAAGTTAAAAGATGACTAGAAAATGCGGTAACGGCTAAATATTGGAGATCGTATGGTTATGAGAAAGGTGAGTAGGGGCTATGATGGCATAACTGCGCGTCGCGCAGTGGGGGTGGGGGTGCTAGAGTTTTTATGAATTGAACGATGCATGCATGTAAAGTTGTCTGATGGAGGTGGACATGGAGGGATGGGAGATGATGAACAATGGATGTCGATGAACAATGTGGTAAATGGTTCATGAAAGGAAATGCCGAGAAAAATGAACACCAATGGGAGAGCAAGAAGTACAACAACCAGATCCCAAATAGCTGGAAAAAGAAGAAAGCCAGTGGGAAAGGGGACAAGATCGCCGGAGGCGGGGAGAGTTAGAAAGAACATCAATATCACAAACGGGAGGTAGGGGGCCTCATCCACCTCGATCGTAGGGAACGCCACTGCCGGCTTGGAAGAGGGCGCACTTGACCTGAGTCAAAGCGTCCCGTTCATCGGGGTTGACGATCCCTTTACCAGCCGTCTCCAGGAATGTTATCAACGTATCTATTGCTTCTTCTGCGTCCGCTAATGTTGGTTGACGAGGGGCGGTCGGCAAACGCGGACCATCCGTATGATATATTTCCTGTCCAGACTGGGTCTGTATGTAGACAGCAGGCGCACCCTGGATAAGCACGGGCATGGTCACTGCTGGTGGATCATGTTGTATGTGTTGAAGCTGGGGGTCGATGACCGATTGGTGCATGTGCATGTCGTCCTGAGAATGATGTACGTGCTGAGGTGGGTCATGTTGATTTTCCACGCCGTGATGATGGTGATATCCATCTAGATCAGAAGACGAGCTTTGCTGAGAGGAATGGTGCTGGCGTTCAGAAGCAGTCGGCCACGCCGGCTGCAGGGCAAGTGAAATGTGGTCCGTCATCGCGCTGGACGGTTCGTCTCCGTCCATAGGATCGTCCCTGTGGATACTTTGATGAGACATCCCTACATTGTGCCCCATGCCGTTATTGCGTCCCATTCCACCACCCATCATGTTCATCCCCGTGTTAGTGGGTTCTTTGGGAATGAGTCTTCCGAACTTGGCGAGTTTATGCCATTTGCCACCGCGAATGCCATTTCGATGTTTGAAGTTCTCTACCCAGCCGCTGCTTGCTTTGAATTTGTCCTCGCCAATATTCAGCTCGCGAGCGATGTCTCGAGCTTTGGAACGGATCATCGCGTCTGACAAAGACGTGTTTGAAGCAGTAGCCTCCGCAAGCCATGCAACGAGCTCCAGTTCGATGAGTGGGAATTTGGAGGGCCTAATCACAGGAGGAAGGATATCAGTTACGCGTAATTGAGAGGGCTTTAGGTACTTGCCGATGTTTAGCCACTCTCAAACCTTCATGTTCACCGACGTTGAGCCATTTAGACCTATGCTTAAGGATCTTGCTAATCGTGCTTCGCTCGACACCATAACGAGCAGCAATATCTTCTTGACGTGCGTTTGGGTTGTCACGATGATATTGGCATATGGCTTTGCGATCAACGTTGAACAGACGTTGCTTACGCTGCTTAGCACGAGGTGGAGCCAACGAAGGAATAGGTTGCGGTACGCCGCCATTAGACCCTAGGTTTGACAAGGCCGGGAAGCCGGACGCTGATGACGGCGGCGCAGAGGTAGAAGAAGATACGGAAGTCAACGCTGACGCGACGCTGAGGGCTGGCGATGCGGAACGTGGATTTGACGTCGAACTCGAGTCAGAGCGAGAATGATGATTTGGTAGGAGATGGGAAGGTACTCGAGAGTTGAATCCAGATGATGAAGACGATGAAGACGTAGAAGCCGGCGTCAGGGGGAATTGTGGTGACCGCATGGGATCCTGGAGGCCACTGGCGCCAATAGCTAGCGACAGCGATTCGCGCTCAGGGAACGGTGTGGACGTGTTATCCGACGCAGAAGGTGGTGGGTTAAGAGGCTCAAGCGAAGGCTGAGCTCCGCTAGGCGTCTGAGGCCGTGATGGACCTGGCAACATCATATTGTAGTACATATTCGATGTCGCCTGTCTCTGATGAATGGGCGAGCAAAGTTTTGTGGATATATTAGTGATTTGCCCAGATTCACGCAAGACAAGTACTCACCGAGTCTCGAGACGATTCAGATGGCTGCTCAGGGTATCTCCGGGGAGCATTTTGTGGCTGATTGCCCTCTGCAGCGCGTTGGCTGTAGCGAGTACGGTATCGATGTGGCCCGGTGCTGGCTGGTATTTGATCAAACTGCGCACCAGTCGCGGTCGAGGAGGAAGGGTCGTGAAAGTCCTGCGCGTGGGGGTATGTCAGAGAGTAGGCGGGTGATGCAGGTGAAGGGTATTCGTGGTTGTTGAGGTCGGCGTGTCTTGTGAAGTCGAGCGTCGGCCACTGGTGCGGGTGGTGCTGGTGGTGGTCGTGGTGGTCGTGGTGGTCGTGGTCCATGATGGTCAGAACCAGGACTGAGGCTGAAACGAGCCCAGCACTCGACGATTTGACTTGTAATAAGCCCAGACGCGATTTCCTTTTATGGAACCGGTTGTATGGGCTTGACGACGCTGTTGTTGGACTTGTTTCCTTTGTTGTTTGCCTCGGAAATGAAAACAAAACTCATGCACAGTCTCGCAGCTCAAGCATGGGCAACAGAACTGGCCTGCGAGATCTTGTTGAATCTGGCGACTCCACGCTTCCTCCACCGACCAACTTAATGTCACTGCTTCTTCCATTTCTGGGCCTCACTGCTGTTCTCCTCAGAACATTCTTCTCTCGCTGGTCTGCTATCTGAAACTAAATCGATGGCTCACACGATCCGGCTCTCTCAAAATTTCTATGTTATCGATTTTTTGCCCCGTCAGGTCCATTTCTGCTAGGCCCCTGGAGGCTTCCCTCGTACTACTGGAGAACCCCCTCCCAGACCCCCCGGAAATCCTTAACTCTATTCCGTTCTCACCACAGGGTCACGTCACATTTTCCGAACCATAGAGTCTTTGGTGGATTGGGTCCTCGATGGCTTGGACTTTGGACCAATGCACGCGTAGCACACCTTGTCGTCTCTTCTGGTCTCTGATAATCCTAGTCACGCTTGGGCCCCTCACATTCAATGATAAGCCTTAGCTGCTCTGCTTTTCCGCAGCTCACAAGCGAGTCCTGCAGCTCAACAGCGCCTGCTGACCGAATCGTCGAAGCTCTTTCCTACTGTGAGTGTAGCCTGCTCCTTTATGACAGGGAGAAGAACCGCACCGCGAGCTGGATAACACTGCTGACTCCCTGGGATAGCTACCGCATTCACGTGGAGCCATTGGAGAGTACCTTCGTCGTATTAAACTCTATCCTGACCACGCACAGTTACTGCGACTCGATCAGACACCTTCAGTCCGAGACTGAATACCAGGACGTCTCTCTGTATGTGTAGGCCGCAAGGATTACACCTTCCTAGGCGCGTCTCCAAACGCCACTCGTCCACACATCGGGGTAGTGGGGTCGTCGTCGCCACCAACACCCGTTGCACCTCCGCCGGCCATCCCTTCAGGCACATGTAGATCAAAGCTTATACGCACCAACAGCTTCAGTACCGTTCCTTTCGAACAACGAGTCTACCGTGCCGCAGGCAGGAAACATGAAGATAGCTTGAGGCGACTCAGGTGAGTTGGTCTAGCACCCCAACTCGTGCTGCGTCACAAGATGCATCACGGTACACGATACTCGTGGTAGCTGCGCACAAAGTGCGACATGTATATGCTCGTTTGTATAAGATTCATCGCGATAAGCCACGAATGTTCAAGACTGAAGAAGTCTGGAGTCTGGAAGTAAATACCTCCTTTAGGCGCCCGATCACGCCATTAAGCGCCTAATCCAAACGTTCGACAAACACTGATGCACGCGGTCTGCAAGGGTCTGCAACGTCTCCCGCTCGTCGCGCGGTGGTCGGCGTTCCGTACGCCGCATGACCCTCACTGGCATCCACCCCAGAGCTAGGTCGAGCACCCCGGATCGCTGTGGCTGAGCACATACAGCTGTATACGCGTATTGACCCCGGACCTTCTAATGCCCTGTCCACTTTGGACGGGTGAAGAGATGGTGAAGGGCTCCCTGATCGACTAGCCGTGGCTTCCAACGCTTCTGCTTCGACTTCGACCGCCTCATAATCCAATTCGGGCTTCAACACGACTCTACATGAGGTTATCGGCACCACGGCACCACCTAACCTTCAAATCTCAGGACAGTAGGACATTAGCTGGTGGGGGTAAACCGGTTAGACTTGTAGCTGGGATAATCCCTCGTATCTAGCGGCGGGGAATGGAGGGTGGAACCTACCCTGCGGACAATCTCCTCCGGCTATATCCACCGTGGCTCGTGGTATGGTTACTTCAAGAACCATGCTGCTGGATTTTGCCATCTCTTACGAACTGCCGTATAGCATCAAGAATCTTAGTTCATCGCTAGCAACTTCTTCCTTCTGATTCAACAACTTCTTGCCTAATCATCGACGTATGTCTGAGACTGCCGGAACATGTTGGCTCAGGGTAACCCACCGAACGGAATAAAAGGCCCCTCTGGTGCAAGTTCGCGTCATCCTGCCTAGATCTCGACCTCTTGGTATCCTTACCGTCGCTTATGAAGGTTAAGATTCATTTCTTGTGGACGCCCTCCGGTGAACTTAATTGCCAATAGGCTGCCGTTAATGTGAAGACTTCAATGATGAACGATTTTCCTTCCTTCCCGCCTTACCTAGGATGGTTATTCTTTCCGATGAAGTAGACGACAAGGATTCCACTATCGGGGACACGAAGTTCAGGTTCGGAGCGCCGTTCGAACTCTGATGCGAGTCGAGGTCCGTTATTAATCAACACGGGCAGCAATAACAACATCCATCATGCATGCAGGCGGACGGATGCTCAAATAATTGACTGAGCGATTTATCACCGTGGGTTGCTTATCGGCTGGTGCATGGGAACTAAGTAATGCGTTCTTAGATTTTCCATGGCGAACCCTCTTCTCGCTGAGCGCAACCCTCCTTTCGACCGCCATCAACAGCATCCGCGCTCTCTAATTGCGCGAAATTAAATTCATAGTAACCCGGACGACCTCTGGTATTGGAACACGGGAAAATAGTATCAAGTTTAGTAAAGGGCGGCATTCTAAGGACCTATGGAAGTAAATCAAAATCAAAAGGAGACATCCATTCCTGTTGATTGTGTTCGTTTGTTTAACGCTTCTTTTATTGCAGTAGGTGCGAACTGGTCAGTACCACATCGGGGATCATCGGGCGTGAACCTTTGAGCCCACACCCACTCCTCACCGACGGATATTTGCTCAGAGTTCTATGAATTCAGGCACTCTATACCATCAATCCCGAATTGTGATGATGTACTTCTTCATTCTTCATTCTTCGTTATACCTCATTCTCCGTAGTTGGTGCCGCCCCGTTCCTCGAAGTAAAGTTGCCTAAGCGCCTGACGAGCGCCCAACGAAACAAGTCGTGTACACCGCAAATCTTTGTACCCACCGGAGTACTCTAAAATATTGTGCCGCAGAAGGGTGCCGTCACTTGGAGTGAGTACAAACGTTTTAAAATTATGTATCAGCTCTTACCGGGGGCTTCCTAGCTTTTGACATGTCAGTGCGAATACCCCTGTCTATTATGTCCCGTAATTTGGTTACTAGAGACTCCTTACAGCTCTTTACCAGTCAAGTATAATTAAATCTTGCATGGTGTCGTCGGGTATGTTGACTATGCTGACCATATTCAACCCACGCAGCGGGTTCCGCCGCCCTCGTGCATTAGATTACGTTCTATGCTCCCTATTCTCTATTTCGTCTAGTACTTCTTATGCCTATCTTCTAGGTCATCCCATCAAGACGTGGCTTGGAGCTACTATCCTCTCTTGTACTCCTGCTATACTAATAGCCAATATTACAGAGGCCTAGGTCGTCGTCGCCTTATATGGATGCCTTGCGGTTACTAACGTGGCTGGTGGGAAAGGCGCCACCGGCAGGTGCGAACGTTGAGGATCGTTACCACCAACCGCCGACACACCAGCTACACGGTTTATACAGAGAGGGCGGTGCGATTTCCCGCTGACATGAGTCACTTGTGCATAGGGTTGCATGTTTTGATAGTTTAACACGAGACTTCCGTGGTGTGTCGCTTCTTTTTTATTTTCGGAGGTTTTTGGGGGCGCGTGGGCACCGTCTAACGCCAGAAGGCAGATGAACACACACGGGACTTCGCGCTTTCCTCGAGCCACGTGTGCAGACGCCTTTAACTCAATTCCTCCGCTCATCTGTATCGAACCAACGGGGTGTTCAGTACACGAAAACTACGTGCACTAGGCTGGGGGCAACATGGTAGATAGACTACTTGCCAGAATTCCAGTCAGAAGCTTGTCATCCTTCTATGCGATCGCTACAGCTATCCCTCCCCTCACGGTAGGGTTCCCAAACTCGCGGCTTCTCTGCAGCCTAGCTTCTATCAGTCTAATGTACTCTATTCTTATCCCGTATTCAGGCATATTTCGACTTCCTAGTTCCCAACCTCAGGTTGCGTCTCCTATGGACAGATCATCATGATCTATGGGGCTGTTTCTACGTCTTCAAGTACCCGGCGTACCGAATAAGGACATAAATTGGCTCGATTACGTAGGTCTATCCAATAAACCTCAACGAGGATGTTGATTATCTCAGTCATCATCAACCCTCCCACACCCACAACCTGGAGAAAGCGCGTGTATCATATGCTGGCGTGGCGGGATCGGCCGTTGGTGCAAATAAGGTGTAGATGCGCCGGCAAGGTGTGTCCGTCCTCTAGCGCTGTCTACTCTGCATAAGAAGGCGACCGCGTGTTGAGCTATCCATGGCCTTGCTCTTATCCCACGTGAGGTTTACTTGGGCCGCGATTCCACTCCGTGTTTCGATTGCAGCAATCGCGAGCTGGTGCGTTGTATTGGCCGTTCAACCTATAGTATACGCACTCGAGGCGTGATGGTTCCTCCAAGACAGCTCCAGTGTTCTCATAATGGATCGGTGGGAACCATTCATCTATAGGAACGGAAACATCCTGACGTTTCGTGTGGCCCTAGGACAACGATTGAACCCACACTGTTATGTGTGTCTAATTATGCTTCCTTCGTCTACAAGTATATCCCTCCGATTGTGGCGCAGCGAAGAAGCTTCTCATGCAACAAGAGGGCTGTTCAAAACCCCTGGTGGTGATCGCATGATTTGTTTGCGGCGGTATCTGTTGTGCTGCTCAAGGGAAACTCTGCTGGCAAGAACCATGACTGAGCCTTCTAAATACAATGCTATGATCAAGTAAAAATGTCCCCTCGCCCACCGACCGCGGGGCATGTGGACATTGTAATGGTATGGAATCTGATGGAAAACGGATGTCGGATTGAAATGAAAATCTTCCCTCGCAATCCGGCGAGGTGTCGGCTCAATTCGGCATGCGTTTAAGGGTGAGTTGTCCCGCACTACGGTTACCAATGAACAACTCAAGCATACAACGATTGACGTAGTCCGCTTGCTACTGATGGTATTGTGGACCGTAAAATCGACGTACGAAAAGTCCTCGTTTATTCTATCCGATGATAGCAACTACATGTTCCCATGGTTGATGCCTTGCGCGTCGTAGTGCTGTTAGATCGATCGTCTTTCACCACGAGTATTGCGAATATAAGTACTTTGGTGTACGATACTAACGATGAGTGCCCACGACAGTGAAAGAGTAAACACCCAGCGACGCTGCTCAGTGAGCAAGCTCGCCGTCAGAAACGATTAGATTATCTACGAGCCCAGGCCCAGAACCACATTGACAACGCCGAGTTACTTGGAGTACTGGTATTTGTTCTGTCCATGATGGGGCTCCCCTGATTGTTCCTATGAGAAGCAATACAAATACACCACGAGCATAGAGTCACCCTTCAAAGGAGGCTCCTGCGTTCGACAAACACAATCGAGTACTTTGCAGCTTTCAATAGTCCTGGCTTTGGCCGAATTTGGTTCCGCTCTGAACAACCTTGAAAGCTTCACGGAGTTTGAAAATACCGCGAACTCGAAGTGCCTGAGAATCACGTTGAAGTTCCCACTCGCTTTCCCGTCTTACCCTCCGTTGAAGAAGGAACGCTGGGCGGCGGAGCGTACTTAAATGTTGATTATCGCTGGCGTTCACGGTTGAAACAGTCACCGACTTGAAACAATGACTCGTACGGTCGCGATCGGATGGAATGTCGGAACCAGTCGGAGCAGGCAGGTGGCCTGATTGGATCCGGCGTATAGTACTAGAGAATCATGCTTCGCGCGCAACTCCACCAACAAATATGTAGACAGGTCGCAGGACGGTCCTCTGTCCTGGTCTCTCTGGCTACGCCCCTCGCGACTACTCGCCGAACCTTTTCCACCACACCGAACCCCTTTAACGCGTTGACAAGCGATGCTGCGAAAGCTGCTGCAACTCCGCATCCAAGTAAGAGTTAAAAAGAGTCTACGATATAGACAGATCTACTCATCTATGACAATTACAAGCTGTTGGGAAGGGCCAGACGCCACAACGAGAGAGTTCCGCAGACGGAGCAATAACGCAGTCAACGCCGGTCACCACGGTGCCCACTATGATCAGAGGCGATTGGGTCCTCTTTCACCCTGTTTATACGCCCGAAGAATTGAAGGCGGTGCAGGTACGCTTTACTTGAGGCCACTTCTTATCGTTGTTCATTGTCGTCTAGATTCTACACAAAGAGACAAAAACCATGACAGATAAGATTGCATACGGTCTTGTCAGATTGGCCAGGTTTGCAACTACATACTCCGTTTGTCGCTCGGCTCACAATGCGCCTAGGGCTGGGTTTGATTTCGTTTCGAGATATAAGCACAAACCCCTTCCTCCTAGCCATAACATGACCCTGCAAGAGCTTCGCAACGAAGGTTACCTCCTGGATCAGAATGCATGGCTCAACGTAAGTTTCCGACATATCTGCCGCATGTATGTCGCCCTTCATCCCTTTTTAGCGAATTCTATTCTTGGAGACGATCGCAGGCGTGCCCGGTATGGTAGGTGCGACCTTGCGGCATCTACAAAGCCTACGTTTAATGGTAAGTGTGGTGATAAGTCGTTCATTGAGTATCTCTCACTCATGCTTATCTAGCGGCGTGGTGAGTGAATTCCTGTAGACTGTGTGTCCTCAACTCATGTTCGACTTAATATAGACAATGGGGTATGTTTGATCTTTCCGACCTGGTCTTGCTGATGTCGAGCTATCCATGATTATCTAGTGGGTATGTATTTATCTCTTCGCTAGCTGATTGGTAGCAAACCATATCCTCCACAGATCCACACTCTTTTATCGGAATCGGAAAACGAGCGGATGCACTTGATGTATGTATGACTCATGTGTCAATACTTGTCCGTTGACCAAATGTTTAGGACTTTCATGACTTTGAGGCGGCCTACACCATTCTTTAGGGCATTAGTTCTCGGTGCACAGGGTGTTTTCTACAACTTGCTTTGTGAGTTAGACTTATCCGACCTTTTAGATATATTGACGTAATCTGTTTTACAGTTATGACATACATCGTCTCACCTCGAGCTTGCCATCGCTTCGTCGGATATCTTGAGGAGGAAGCTGTCATCACTTAGTCAGTGTTCCGTTGATCCATGGCACCCCTTCCTTTGATTGACATCGGCCCCTCAGTACTCGCTGCATACAGGACCTGGAAGCAGGCCGAATCCCTGAATGGTTTGTTACATGTTTCTCGCCGTGACTTGCGCTGAAGAGTGAATAGGGAGAATGAACCTGCACCCGAGATTGCCATCGATTACTGGCGCCTGCGCCCCGATGCCAAATTACTCGATGTTCTCTACGCTGTTCGATCCGATGAAACGACACATCGATTCGTCAACCACAGTCTTGCCGACCTGAATACAACAACGGACGTCAATCCTTTTGCATTCAGGGAACCGGATATGCATGTTAAAGGGAACAAGATTGGGTCAGTGATTCGCTAGGAAAGATGTCCTTCAGATGAAATATTGACAACATGTGGTGCTAGATTCGAGCGTTCGGAGTCGGAGAAATATGTCCAGGAATCTCATGATCTATATCTTCAAGAAAAGCAGAAAGGTAGTAATTGAAGGAGACCTCTTCCACCTAACCACAACTCAATTAGATTATTATTGTACCTCCCTGTACTAATAGGTATTGCACATATATAGTACGAACGCGTAGTTTGAGAATAAATTCTGGTTAGCGTCAGCTAGGGGCGGCTCCTTTCCCCTGACGTGGGGGATTTGATTCCGACTCGTGACTTGCGACGCTCAGTCGCGACGATCATGAGCACCATCGCTTGCAGTGGTCTGCTCGGCCTGCCCACAGAGATACTTCTCGCCATCACATACCAACTAGACCTCCCCGAAATTGTTGCCCTTAGTAAGGTGAGAGGTACACATTTCGATCATCCCGACAGCCCCACCTCTAAATATTTCGCCTCTACGGGGCAGACGTCTATTGCCGCCAATTTACTGACGAGGGATCGCACTATATGGCTGCACCTTTTCCAATCCATAAAGAAATCTCAACAACCCTTACCCCAACTCATCAGCACATATGAAGATGATCTATCTGTAGAAGATCTGGAGTTGATTGTGCATTCTACGCAGAGCACTGCGAACCTCTGGGCGAGACCACGACTGCCCCGGCCGCTAATATACAATCACTTGGAAGCATCCACCGTCGTCAGCTTGGATTTTTTCTTGGATAGATGGTTACTTTCCATCCATCTAGAAGGGCTTGTATATCTCTGGGATTCCTCGGCCAGAGGGAGCCCTTCACCCATTTTAAATTTTAGCCTCAATTCAAGAGGTTGGGACATTTCGACCTCGCAATACGATGTGAAATCACATAGTATCATCTCGGTTATCAGTGCTCAGGATGGGTGAGTCAGCCCAAGGGTTATAAATTACGAACTCCCTACCCTTATACCGTGTTCAGGTTACATTTCCGGATATACCGAATACCCTTGCCCAAATCTGTAGAGGAACAACCGGGTCCTGCAGAACTACTACGTAGCTTTGAAGGACGAAGACAGTTTCTTTTGAAGACCATCGACGCTGACCGTTCTCTTACCGTCTTCGTGCGATCAAATCGGGTGAAAGTTGTCTATTGGGGTGACTTCGATGGGTCTAGTCCACTCTCCCAAGCAGAGGCACCCAGGATGGCACGCCTATCCATTGCTTACAATGATACTACGGAAGATTTGGTAAGGGTGCGATGCTTTGCTTTCGCTGTGGGGAACTTAGCGGCACAATTCTAGTTAGATGGACTAGTGACAGTTCGCATCTTTGGTCCTTACCTCTTGGCCTTCAGAGTCCGTAGTCTCGGGGTATACGCCTTGCCTCTCCGACAGGGGGACGCGGATCACCTTCTGTACAAACACATGTTCTCTCTGAACGCTTTCAAGAACATCTGTATCTCCACCGTCGAGATTGTCAGCGAAACGGCCGAGCCTTTTGACCTCCGTATACAATTCACTTTCCTGGCGTACGATGTCCTCCAAGGCCTGTTCATGTATGAAGTTTGCATACGAGCCACGTCGGATTACTCCATAACACCTATGGTGGATTTAACTCTTATAGGCGTATATCCTCTCGCACACATCATTAATGCCATGACACCTCCGACTATGGCGCATCTGGCCCCCTACCCTACTTCATCCCCGAACACTAGCCCCTCGCGTGGCGCACCCACCCCTACCCCTACCCAGACGTCGTTCGGATATAGTGTATCCCAAGCTGCTAGAGGGTTCATTAGCTCGTATGCGCTGGGCACCCAAGGACGACGCGCAATTTGGATCGAGAGGAGCAGAGGAAGTACGACAAGGGACTTCATTGTGTGGAGCAAGGCGATCGATCCTTTGGAACAGCCTCGTACTATAGAGATAATGCGGAGAGTCATCCACACAATTGGATCGTATGACTTGAGAGGTGAGTTCTCTAGCCTCCTTGTGTGTATCCCTCCTTGAACCACTATACAGACGATGTGACCTGCTGTGCGTTGGCGGAGGCAAGCGGTCGGATTGCCTTCGCGAATCGTGCCGGCAACATATTTTTGATACCCGCAATTCGTCAGTGGGACCGCATGGATGACCTTATAGCTCGTCTCTCGGCGAGATCAATATAGAACTATTATTGTTATTATTCTTGTATAATAAAACTTTGTATAGAGACTTGTTCAGATGCACAATATGGACATTCCTCGGTCTCTAGCATGCGCTTAGGGCGATTGTTTTGAAGATCATGAAATTTTATGATTCTCCGAGAATACATTCGTCATAACATTCGTACGTGAAATCATTTGACATCGAAGAGCGTGACTGGAATACTGACAACAATTGCGAAAGGACGCGACAAATAACATACATAGCAAAATAACAAAGCTGGAAAAGCGAATCGAATGCGAAAGGGTCAGATATGCAAAGAGCGGTTGCGGGAGATATGAAAGACGAAACGGACGAATGTGATCCGATAATGCTTGTCCAGAATATACAATTGGATCGTTAGACTTCAGATTTGATGAACCCGCCATTCAGTAGACGCGAGAGAGTCTACGGGACATCGTCTTCCCTGGTACGATGGCCTTGATGGCTCGTCGCATAAGCGTAACCGTCGTGTTGCCCTCGTCTTTAGCTGTAGGCGAACCAGCACCTCCCGAACGAGTCATAATCCCCATTTCATCGACGATCACATTTTCCATATCAGCGCTAGACACGGGCGGGGGCATCGGCTTGCGTGCGGAGTAGAAGGCCCTATGGCTCTGCGACTTGTCTTTATGCATGTCGTAGCTCGCGCTGTTTCCAACGGGACCTGCGTTGTCTGATTGGTATCCGCGGCCAACTCGCTTCACCCCGGAAGTAGCCATAAGGAAACGGTCGTAAACGCCTTCGATGCGTCGTTGGACCTTGGGGTCGGGTTCGGGTTCGTCAAGATTTACGGTTCGTCGAACTTGGTAGGGCTCGACGTGCAATGGAGACGACGTCAACTCATCCAGCGAACGTTCTTCGTCATCAATATATATACGGGGCAAATCCGTGTCGGTGCGACTTGGTCCTGGAGTAGAAACAAATAGACTCCTGTCAACCAGCGCTGACAAGCGTTTGGATGTCGTAGGAGATGGTGTGTTAGCTACAAGCAACGTCAGCAAACAGCGAGGAAATTACTAAACAGAATGCACGCACATTTCTGTAGTTCAGATTCCAAAGCAGAAACAGGTGTAATACGTAACTGTAATAGATTTCCGTGAGATTTGCTTTTCTCTCTTCTCTTTGAAGGTGACATATTCTCGTTGGTGGTTTGTTTATCCGCGGGTTCGGGCGAGCGAGTCGAAACGGTGGCGCGACGTTGTCTATTGGGTGAGTGGGCAGCAGTGTGAGGCGATAGTTTGAAAACGTCTGTGGTTGGATCGGCGACGGGTGGAAGTGACACTTTCTCGAATGAGGTCGTGGTTTGGTCGCCTATCGAATTTCCGTGTTGGTCAAAGATCTGGGTAGCGGGTACGCGGCGTGGCAGACGAGAAGACCTATTGCTGTAGACTTGAGACGTCCGACGAGACACTGGTGCTAGTGGGAGGGGAGGAAGTGGAGCGTTGACGTTGGGAACAGACGAGGCAAAAGTTTGGCGGGTCTCTTCAACTACCTCTGCAACGGAATGGAAGTCAGCATTATGTTACAAAACTCGGATAGAGCCAGCGCTTACTCTCAACATTCCGCATCCAGACTGACAGTCTATCTGCTTGGTTGTCAGCTGCGATCCTCTCGCTGCGAGCGGCTTGTCGAACGACAGGCAGCGATGACTTGGCTGTCATTCGAGATCAGCTATTGCGGTGATTATGTCATTGGAGGGACAACATACCAGCTTGCAGGACTTCGACCTCCCAGGACTCCCGACCCATATCGGTTACGGTCACTGGGGACCTGCCGCCCACGGAGCTATACAGATGCAGAGTTTTATCTATACCAAGGACCGTAAGACTGCAAGCAACGCGATAAAAAGCCATCAACGTACCAATGGATCGCTGGATGGTGTGCTTGAATCCACTCAAGCCGGAATCGTACGGTGTTTGTGGGGAGGGACAATCTGCATGGCATGTTAGCCAAAGAATGGAAGCACAGTACAATAATCATACCAGGTGAAGTGGAAGACGACCCCACACTGTCCGTGATGATTGTGAATTGACTCCCAACGGGGCTTGCATTCTCCGTGTCACTGCCACCCCCCACTGCTTCGCTCCCCTTAATCTCATCATCTTCCACCTTCGCGGGTTCTAGCTCTCGTTCCCGTGCCAGTTCTCGTTCCCGCTCAAGCTCCTCGTCCCTCTCCTTCTCAATCTCCTCCAACCTCTGCATCTCACGCAGCCGCTCCCGTTCTCGCTCCCAATCCCTGACGCGTTCTTTGACACGGTCCTTCGGTTTGACGGCCTTGTTATGGGCGCCCTTGATGGTTGGAGACATATTCTCTGCGTTCCGTTTCGAGCATGTAACATCACCCAAAGCCCGACGCTGAGCCTTGGGGGTATCCTTGGAGTCGACCTGCGACTTCTTGGCGGGCTGGTACGCGGGTGATGCCGCTGGGTTTTCTTTCCCATTCTGGTTTGAGACAGCACCAAGAGGTCTCCGTCCACTTGTTGTACCGAACGTAGGGATGTTAGCGATACGGCGGGACTTCACGTTTGAAAGTGGTGTCGTAGGAGGTGACGCTTTGATGGGGGAGAGGTCCACTGGTACTCGTTTCCTGACCGTAGGAACTATGATTATCAGATCAGTATATAAATACGCCACTTCTCTGCAACGAGGCTTACCCTTGGTAGCGTTCACTTTGGGCTGTGACTTCGACTTGAGCAGGACATGAGGAGCAGCAAGCTTATTGTCAACCTTTCGGGAGAGCGGAGACCCAAGCCCTGGGGGGCTCGAAAGGTCGGTGTTCTCCTTCGTGCTTCTGGATGGCGTAGCTAAAACTCGTGAAAGGTCCTTCTCGAAGGCAAGTGATGAGTTGTAACTCGTTGAACGTCCTTAGACACGATGCGTAAGTTAGTGGGCTTAAAGTTGAGAAGGGCACTCACTGTGAGACACTTCGGATGGCTTCTGGGCCCAATATAGGTCAGCCATTGCCTCCGAGGCCGTACACCTCAAATCGGCATTGGGTGCCAACATCCTCCGCAGAAGCTGTTCTGCAGGCTTAGACATTGTCCAAGTCCCGACCCATTTTCCACGGAGAGTCCGAGACCAATAACGCTCCAAATCGTCTTTTGTGGCAAATTGTTCGCCGTCATAGAGTTCAAAGGGCGTTCTACCGTTGATGATTTCAAAGAAGGTGACGCCGAGGGACCAGACATCTGATTTGCGGGTATCGTGAGGAAGGCCGCGAGCTCGCTCGGGGGAGAGGTACTACGGGATATGTTAGTTGACCCAACGTAATAGCAAGTAAATCAAACGGACCTCGGGTGTACCGTAGGAGAGGTTACTGAGGAATGCCTTGCTCGACTTCGCGTCGTACCTCTCAGCGAATCCAAAATCGACCAGAACTGGTACGTTCTTATGTGATAGTAGGATGTTCGCTGGCCTGGAAAAGAGTTAAACAGAGCAAATATAAAGTTGAGTTAAGCTCACTTAATATCATTATGTACGACTCCGCGCTTGTGAAGAAACTCTACGCCAGAGAGAAGGAATCGGAACCATGTTCGTGCTCTCGACTCATCAACTTCGACTGTAATCAAGGTAGGAAGGTACGCCCTGCGAAATCGAAAGTTAGTCCGTGTCCCTTGGGCTTGGAAGGGGACGTACATGGTAATCATCGCGTAGGAAGGCGTTATTATAAAGGAATGGAAAGGTATTATTGACGGGTGCGGGTCAGACTTGAATTCGCGAACGATCTTCATCTCGTTCCATCTGCCAGACGCGTCGAATTCACGTCAATGTCACTGCACCAGGTGAATCGACTCACAACGATCGCACTCTTGCTGCTGTCGTGGGTGTCTTCGACCTGTGCACGAGTTTCACCGCGATCTTGTTCTCCTGAATTCTTGTCACGTCGTCTGCATTCGGCGAGTGTGGGTTGGCCTTTGGCCGGCACAACCAGACGCTGCCCCAGTTGCCAAATCCAATCTACAAGCACGCTCGCTGGTCAATGAGCTCTCTCCTCTATAGCTCTGCAAGACCCACCTCTTCTATGAAGGTCAGCTTGTCGGCCAGAACATTGTCGGTTAGCGAGAAGATGTCCGTGTGCTCCTGAGGAGGCGGCGTTGTTGAAGACGATGATGGTGGTTGCGGTGAGAGCTCCATGGCAAAAGAAAGGATAGCTAATAGTACAGCGAGAGCAAGAAGAAAGCAAGACAGCGTCGACCCCACACGAAACAAGGAAACGAGGCCAACGGTTCAAACTCGAACACAACACACACAACACAAAATAACACGCCAGTTGACCGTGAGAACGTCGCGTCCCTAACTAATGAAGCCGAACTTTTTCATCACGACACCGAGAAGTCAAAATAGGGGTTCAATTCAGTATCCCTCTCGCCCAACGGCCTCTTGTTGAAGCTCTGGTTGCAAGCTGTATTATATCCAATAACTCCTCAACATCACAGTACAGAAAACAATATTCAGAGCCGCAACTAGTTACTCCAAGAAGGCTTTGTAGCTCATATCCACATCTATTGACGCCTCCCTCGTCGCCTTTCTAGCTCAATCGGATAGAGCGTCAGACTTTTACAGAGAGGTGAATCTGAAGGCTGCGAGTTCGACCCTCGCGAGAGGCTACTGGGAGAAATATGTCTTCTTTTTGCTTTTGCACTCGACAGAAAGCATTCTTGGCGCTTTGGCTTGCTGCTGGCACTGTGACGGTGAAACTCTTCACAAAGACACGTCAATGGGATATCTCCAGTACTAAATTAGATATTATGCAGTGAGCCTACTGACTAGGGTGGCCACGCCTTGACAGGCAACCCCTCCCAGTCATCATAAAAGAACGGGCTCTGCTCGCAATGTTTCTATAGCTTAATTTACTAGGTTTCCTTAGGTGAGACCTTATCCCCACATCGTTGAAGTTATTGTAACCCCACTGACTCATGTTCTCGCTCAGTTGTCCTAGTACTCGTTAAAATGTGGTTTCCCATCTTCATGGCCGCTGGTGCCCTCGCTGTGCTCGCCGCAGCACGTCCAACACCTCACACCGGTACATTAGATTCACATTTGGAAATCACACCTCCAAATCCTCACGCTACGCCCCTTGTTCCGTCAACGCAACCGCTGATACATCCCCCCAAATGGGACACTGAGCAAATAAAATCAATACATGAGAAGATCACATCGATGTTATTAGCGGCAAGCGCAAAGGGAAAGGAGGGCTCTGTTTGATTATGGTACGTCGAATACTTTCCTCGAAAGTTCTTAGGAAGCATGAGGACGAATCCTAGATTCTGATCAAAATGGGTAGGAGCCGAGTTGCTTGACCGCTTCATCCTTCGGGCTCTTCAGGAGCATCGCTTATTTATTGAATTATCTCTCAAGCGTTTCTGTGATGGGAAGGCTGGAGTTGTGAGCCAAAGGTTATGAGCGATATATTTTATTCAACCACTACGACCCCAGTTATGACGGAAATACATGCTGCGTTGAAAATTAGCGTGGACCGTCTCCGTTCAATGTACAAGATTTTCGCTATTTCGCGACAGCGCCCTGTGTCGAAAGGCGATGGACTCGGGCCAGCCAGAGCTGCCAGAAGAGCCCCTATGTAAGAACCTTTGTGGCTATTGCGAGTCAAGGAGATTCACAAGGTAAGTCTCCCTTGTACAAGGTCATCCTTGACTAATGTTTCCTGCTGGGTGTAGCATAGGAATCCAGTTCGTCGCTTCCTGTGACTGGCACCTTCCATCAAGTTCCCTGAGGGTCGAGTGTCTTAGGGCCTTCACAGTAATCAGGCAAGAGCCATACCTGCATGCAATTACCATTTATCCCCGCCCAACTTACACATATAGACTTCCAATGGTGGTGAAGTCGTTCTGCCTGCACCGACTCGCGAGGCTGATATACTGACCCTCGACCTGCCCCTCTCGTATGCCTATTTGACAACTTTCCGCAGGATGCAATATGGTCACTGGACCACGGGCCTTGGAGGGGCGTCATAAGAATATCGTGGTGGCCATTGACCGTATAAGATCCACCTAAATGAAGGACCATATCATTTGCACTCAGGGCCATTCCTTACATGTTCATACCTTACGACTTGCCTGTTTTTAAGTTATCAGCCCATCAGCCTGTTACTTCCTTCATAGTGTCGTGTATAGTAATTATCAGTGTATATTCAGATAATGGATGCGACGAATATATAATCATCGAAGTGTAACCTTGTCTCATTGTCTGGAGTAATTGAGTGAGTAGTGCGCCCGGCGTCAGGGGGAACAATGGTCTTTATTACGTAAGGCATTTTCGACGAAACCCTCAGTATTTCCATTGTTTATACTGCACTTTCACTTCAAGTCGTTTCCGACATCCATTCTCCCGACGGCAACTCCACTCGTATGGTGGAAACACGCCGAAAAAGCAGAGCCAATGCTGCTCGCTCGTCCCCGCCATTTAGCGAGCATGGTCTCGAGGTTGAATTACCAGAAGACCTCGACCAAGACACTCTTTCCGCTCTGCTCCCGGACACCAATATCGCCACCGTGACGTCTGAAACAGTAATATCAATCTACCGTGCTCTCCTTCTACACACGTCCGAGTTGGATGCTGCTCAGAGGGAACTTGACCAGGCACGCGCTGAGGTGGAGAGGAAGGATGTTGAGCTGGATCAGGCGCTCCAGGACCGCGAGACTATATCCAAAGACTTGGAGGTGTCGCTGGAGGACGTACAGAACGGTCTAAATCAAATGCAAGATGAACGAGATAAACTTGGTATGTCCTTATGACTTCCTCTTGTGCCTTCCGTATTGACTGGTGGCAATAGCTACGTCAAACGCGGCACTTCGGGAGCAGCTCAAGACATTGACGAGTTCGCAATCCGTTTCTTCGTCTGAACTCGAGTCTCTGAAGAGTCGCGTCGAGGACACGGAGCGCGAGAAACGTGATCTGGTGAATGTCATTAGTCGCCTCAAGCAAGAGGGCACCCAACAAGAGGGTATGTCGTAATGGTGTGCGCAAGGTGCTTCGCGCTTACATTTGTTTAGAGGAGATTCAGAATCTTCGCTCGAACCTCAAGGAAGCCAGACAGGAACACCAGACGTTGGAGGCAACGGTGCGGGAACTGCGCTCGTCCGAGACTTCGACCAAGGTGCGTGGCACGCACGGCTCTTCACGCTATATCTCACGTTCTTTCAGTTCAAACTCGAAACTCTCAGCCAACAATTGGATCTGGCTCAAAGCGAGGTGGAACGTACGAACGCCGAGCTTTCCACCAAATCAGAGGAATTTGCCAAATACCGTCGCGAAAAGCATACCGAAATCGTTTCTCTTCAAGCACAATGTGATTCGCTGACACAGAGTAACCTATCTGCGCAAACGACACTCAAAGCTCTGCAATCTTCTCACTCGTCGCAATCTCACCAACTTACGCAGACGCTCGCTCGTGTCCAAGACCTTACTGGGCAGCTTGCTGAGCAGGAGGCAACCTACGCCAGCGAAGCAAGTGGTCTGCGTCGTCTCGTTGCGATGATGGAGGAGAGGGAGAAGCAAGCGAAGGCAATTGTCGAAGGTATCGAGAGTGAATGGGCTGATGTCGGAGAGAAGGCAGAGAAGAGGGAGGCTACACTGAAGGAGGAGATTGAGCGAGAGAGAAAGTCGAGGGAAGCTGCAGAGAAGAGGGTCGATGAACTGGAAACCGTGCTGGATCGCATGAACAGAGGAGAATTGCCGATTCTCGGTGGTTCTCCAGGGACCCCAATGCGGACCCCTGGAGGTCCTACTGATCCACTTACGCAAAGTATGATGGGACTCAGTCCCACCGTTGCAATGGCTAGCAAGGCCCAGAGGAGCGGCAAGACATTCACAGAGGTCTATGCCGACTACGTTCGCCTGCAGGAGCAGTTCGCGCAGAAGTGCTCTGAGTATGATCATATGGACCGTACACTCTCTGCCGTACTCGCCCAGATTGAAGAGAGGGTAGGTTGTATCCTTTCTGAGACTCGTCAGTTTTGACATTGCTTGTAGGCACCTATCCTGTCGCAACAACGCGCAGAATACGAACGCTTGCAATCTGAGGCTGCTCAACTCTCGTCTCAACTATCTCAAGCCCTTTCGGAGCGGGACGCGAAGGCGGCTTTCGCACAGGAAACTTCCCAGAAACTCACCAAGTCTACTCGCGAGAACGATCTCCTCCAGAAGCAGCTTGATGACCTTGGTCGGCAAGTTCAAATTCTACTCAAAGAAATTGCTCGACGAGACGACCCCATGATTCCTTCGGACGAAGAACTGGAACAAACACCTTTGGAACCAGCGGCGAACATTGAAGCTGTCATCACCAACAACCTCGTCCTGTTCCGTTCAATTCATTCCCTCCAATCACAGAACCAAAAGCTTCTCCGCATTGTCCGGGAACTCGGTGACAAACTTGAGTCGGAAGAACGGGATTACAAGGAATCGATGCAGAAGGAGCAGCAAGAAGCGGTCGCCGAGGCACACGAGGCTATGAAAGATCTTATGAAGCAACTTGAGGTCCAGAAGAAGTCGAGCGAGAATATCATCCAAGCCTACGTGAAGGAGCGCGACACGCTAAGGATCATGCTTGCGAAGGCTGAAGCCCGTACGGGATCCGTTAATGGGGTTAGTGCAGGCATCAATGGTCTCCACGAAGGCGTCCCAGATATGTCTGGCGACTCTAATGCGGCGAAGGAATTGGAAGAGGTTCAGCACCAATTCGAAGCTTACCGGACAGAAATGAGTGTCGACTCTGTGCGACTTAGGGAAGAGGTCGTTGAGGCTCAACGGGAATCTGGACGCCTTGGTGCGGAATTGGCTAAAGCCCACGCGAAGATTGAGTTCTTAACTGGTACGTACGCGTTACGTGCGGCCTTTTCGGTACCCTCACTTATTCTTCTTCGGGATATAGATCGTCAACGTATGAGCCAAGAACAATCTGCCATGCATAGTCGGGAACTGGAAACGGCCACGAAGCGCAATCAACAGCTGTATGACCAATGGACGCGAATGGATATCGAATGTGCAAGAGCAACTGAAGACCTCCAGATTGCTCACGGCCACCTTGAACAGCTTCGAACCGAATGTGCCAACCTTCGCGCAGAGAAGAAGATCTGGGAGGTAAGTCGTACTTTCCATGGCATCCCAACGTGACCCAATATCCGAGCGCAGAGTGTACAATCTCGGTTACTTCAAGAGAACAAAACGCTGGCCATGGAACGCTCGCACCTGTCGGATTTGATGACCAATGTGCAGAAAATGCACAACGACTTGGAAAGATCTGGTGAAAACGATAGACGACGCCTTGAGAGCCAGCTACAGCATCTTGAGTCTCAGACGTGGGTCCTATCTTCTTCGGTTTATGACCGTATCTAAACCTAGGTTTAGCCAAGATCTCCGAACGCAAGTCAACCAAGAGAGGGACACCGTCCGACATATCACGCTTCAGAAAGATATCGAGCTGAAGGAACTGCACAATCGAATTGACAGATCCGTAAGTATTCCCTACATCTTATACGTGATCTGTTACTGAGAACTGCCCTTCATAGGTCTTGGAATTGTCTAAGACTCGCGAATCATTAGTTGGCGCGGAAACTAGCAAGAAACATCTGGAAGAGCGTGTAGAAGAACTGACCAAGAACCTTCAAGGCAGCGTCGAGAAACTTTCAGTTTATGAACGTCGTACGACCACCACTGATGGAACCGCTCCGAACGTGGACCCCAGTCTCAGTCGTGAACAACAACTCGAAGTGGAAGTAGCCGAGCTTCGGTGCGTTTGCATCACCAATATAGTCTTTTAACTTGGAGCTGATATTTGCCCCTCGTAGCTCATCCCTTAAGATCGTCGAAGTCGATCTTGCGACCGCCCGAAGCCATGTTCAACAGTTCCAAGAAATCTCAGAGGCCAACGAAGCGGCTCTGGCTTCTTTGAATGGCACATACGACGATTACAGGGCCTCTACAGAAGCACAAATCGCTAGACAAGATGTTCGTCACTTTGTTCACTATCCTTGCTTACACTGACTCCATTATCAGTCTGAACGTGCTGCGTTGGAGGAGAAGCTGAAGATTGCCCAAGAGGAACTCTTGCAGCTGCGTGCGACATACGCTGAGCTTCAAAAGACGCTCGAAAGCGAACGAACCGCTTGGCTCAATGACAAGAAAACGCTCGAAGACACTATCGTAGACATGTCGACTTCCGAAAAGAGCTCTGAGAGTGATAGAACTTCGAGAGAGAACGAGTACAGGCAACAAGAACAGCGAGCCAAGGTGAGCAATCGTCTGGCTATCTAAGTAGGTCGACTCAATTATGCGATGCAGGCTGCCGAAGAAAGATACTCCAATGAGGTGGTCGCTCATGCCGAATCCATCAAGGCCATTGATAACCTCCGCAAAGAATTGTCAACTGCCCAAGGAACTGCCAGAGAAAACGCAACTCTTGCTGAGACAGCGAAAGCTAACTTGAAGGCTTCTGAGGAAAGTTGGAAGCATCAGAAAGGCGCCCTGGACAAGGAGGTCGCCGGTCTCAAAGCACGGTATGTGTTCAGCCATATGTTGCCAACAAACATTAAACGTCTCCACCTTAGCTGTGAAGATCTTTCTTCACAAAATGCAATCCTACATCAACATCTTGAATCTGTTAGCTCCCAAGCGGCTCGAATCCGACAGACTGCCGATGCTGCACCGTCATCTAATGAAGGCGAAGCCGGTGACGATGCGGATGCGAAACTCTCTGAGTTACGGTCCGTTGTTGCATACCTGCGGAAGGAGAAGGAGATTGTAGATCTTCAGCTGGAGTTGAGCAAGCAAGAGAACGCTCGCCTCAAGACCCAGATCGACCATCTTTCTCAGAATCTTGGCGAGACTCGCAAGACGTTATCTGAGGTAATCACGTGGTCCACCTGGTCTTCGTCTTCGTTCTAACTCAATTTCCTAGGAAAGAGAGCGTGCTCTGGAGGCAACAGCTTCCGCTAGTCAACATGCTGAGCTTGTTGAGCGGATCAACCAACTCAATATCCTAAGGGAGAGCAACGCTACTCTTCGTGCGGATTGCGAGGCTCATGCAAAGCGGTCTCGCGACCTTGAAGCGAAGTTACAGAAGCTGTCGTCTGAGCTTGATCCTGCCAAAGAGCAAGCACGCATCGCACGAGCTGAATTGGAGGCCTCCGAAGCACACGTCAAACGTCTCCAAGAAGAGAGTGGCAAGTGGAAGGAACGAAACTCGCAGCTACTTAGCAAGGTTCGTATATTCGACCCTGACGCGCTCCATCGTTGACCTTGTTCTAGTATGACCGGATTGATCCAGCTGAAGTTCAAGCCTTGAAAGACGAGATTGAGCAACTCAAGATTGCGAAAGCGCAACTCGAGGAAGCCGCTGGGGAACATGACAAAGCGCTGCAAGACCAAGTCCAGAAAGTGTGTATAGGTACCAACTTCTGTGACTGACGATTTACACGCCCTTCTGTCAGACCACTACACTGGAGGATAATCTCAAGGCACATAAAGAGAGGCATAAAGCGACGGTTGACAGTGCCAGGGCAAGGCTAGCCACGTTGACTAGTGAACGAAACACCTTCCGGGAGAAATCCACGGCGCTGGAAGCTGAAAGGGCGACCCTGCAGACCTCCTTGAATGAAATGCTAGCATCTGGTGCTCAAGCATCTTCCGATTCATCCGATCAAGCCAGTATAATTGTCAGCCTTCCTTTTCCAATGCTCGCCTTTGTGGCTGATTTCTGAACGATAGGCGGAGTTACGCGCCGAGCGAGATAAGCTCAAAGCTGCTCTAGACGCAGCTACAGCTAACCCTCCTGCTGCCCCTGCTGCGATTGACCATCTCTCAGACGCAGAGAAAGCGGAAATCATTAAAGCCCGTGATGAGGCGCTTCTTAAACTTAAGGTATGTGTTCTCGGTGAATGAGGCGCTTTATGTTACAAGAGATTGAATTCCTCAACAGGAAGCGACTGAACAGGCCCAGAAGGCTCAGGCAGAGCTCGTTGGTTTCCGCCGTTCTAATGTGAGTTTCTGGCATTTTCGCTTGTGATATCTTCCTCAATATTTCGATAGGAAAAATTCCAGGCTAGGATTCAAGAGATGGCGAAGGCCCGAGCTGCAGAGAGTGAACGAATGCAAGCTCAGCAGGCCGCCGCGGTGGCCGCAGCTGTGGAGAAGGCTAAGGCGGAAGCGCAGGCATCCGGATCCGGAAGCTCGCAGCCCTCAGAAGAGCTGGCTAAGCAACACTCTGCAGAACTCAAAGCGCTGGAAGAACGTCTTGTGTCGAAGCACCAGGAAGAACTGAAAACTGCATTAGCCGCGGCCGAAGCCGCGAAGAAAGAAATGCCCGCCGAATCCAGCACTAACGAGGCCGCCACAAAGGACGCCATCGCCGCTGCTATTTCTGAACACGACAAAGAGCTGCAAGCGAAGCACGCTGAAGAAATCACTCAAGCTGTAGAACGAGGCCGACTAGAGCTGGCGGCGAAATCTAAACTTAAGGACGCTCAGCTTATCAAGGCCCAAAAGCGAGTGAAGGACCTAGAAGCCCAGATTCTCTCGTGGAAACAGGCCGGCGTGCTGCCCGACGCTCCACCCACCACCCCCGTGGCTGCCACCGGCGCCGCCGCCCCGCCACCCACCCCTGTGGCGACAACACAGAAACCTCCGGCACCTGGCCCAGCCAAAACCGTCCCTCCCGCATCCACCGCCCCTGTCGCGTCCACATCAACAGCGCCCGCTCAGAACGCGTTGCCTCGAAAGCCGGCGGCAGGCGCGACGGCACCAGGCGCAGGTCGCGGGCGAGCGCTACAGACCGCTGTATCAGCCGTGCGAGGCCGTGGGGGCGCTCCTGCTCGTGGCCGTGGCGCTGGCAATGGTCCTGCGCGCCCACCACCTGCAGCAGCAGCGACAGCAGCACCTGCGAAAGAACAGATCTCTATACAGGGGGCAGGGAAACGGACTCGGGAAGAGGGCGAAGTGTCGGGTGACGATTCTCTGGCTAAGCGACTAAAGCCCGCTGATAGCACGCCATCGGCGAGGGCGACCCCTCCAGTGCAAATTCGACGTCCTGCTCCTTCATAGTGTATTGTACTTGGATTTCTGTATTCCTATTTCATGGACTTGTTTGCATTTATCGTACATTAGCTATCGTATACACTCGTCGTGATTATGGTTAGACGACACAGCTCTTTGCTTTGTTGTTTTGTTAGAATTTCAGACCGAGCCGGGAGAGGAAGACTAAGCCCATGGATGCTTGGAATGGGTCCGTGTCCGCAAGAGTTGCGTCTGTCAGGCGGTCAATGACGAGGTGTCCGATTGGTGTAACTTGACCTTCGCTACCAATGAGCTCGAATGGCGTGTTAGGAGAGCGGTGGTACGCGGAGAGAATGTCGTGGATAACAGTTAAGTGCTTGAGCGGAGCCCTTTTAGCGTCTAAAATGTCTTCGAAGCCGTAAATTTCTTGTGCTGATGAGTTATCAAACTGAGGAGGGCCCGGAAAGCGCAGCCCCGGACTTGAAAAGGCTAGAGACGAGTACGATTGTGACGCGCCAGATGCAGATTGGTCATGAGGGAATAGTTGGCGTGAGTCGTGGCACTCCAGGTTCGAATGTCCAGTTCCAATCTCCCGATCAGTTTGAGAAGGTAGTAAGCTCAACCCCGGATCTCTAGGGCCTTGTAAGGTAATCTTAGCGGTCCCCCAGTTTGGGTGCTGGTTTTCGGCGAGCTGATTGTTCATGGACTGATTCTGACGATGCATACGCAAATTGAACTCGGAGAAGAGGCTGCTTAGAAGCGTTGTGACCGAGGGCAGAGTAAGTTGGACATTAGCAATAGAAGCCTGACGAGCGTCCGGTTCAGAATTAGCAGCATGTTCGTGACCCAGGCCAGCCGTTTGTAAGAGTAGGTTATGCGCATGAGAGTTTTGTAACGTTCGCAGAGGCCTTGATGACGCCGAGGAACTGGACATAGATTCTGCGTTACAGTATTGTTGCTGCGCAGGCAGGGGAGTGGGGTCAATGGTGATGGGCGATGATAATAAGCTCATGCATTCGGCGTACTCCTCCTTAATCAACGTTAGAGAAGGGGAACCGGTACCCTTGTTTGACTTGGGTAGATTGGGGTCCGACTCCATAAGCGTCTTGAGTAAGCTACGTTTCGCCTTTCGTGCCTTGGCTTTTGACTTGAGCTGCTTCTTTTCCAGAGAGTCGTTACGGACAGGAGTTAAGTCACCAATCGCAGGGTTGATGAGTGCATCCTGGGGCTCTGCCTTCGCTTCCAGGGTAGGAGTTGATATTGATTGCGCAGCGTTCTGAATCTGAGTCTTTTCTTTCCTTGCCGTTTTGCGTCGTTCGCGAGAGAACCAGTCGGCAATCCATTTGCTCGGGCTATAATCGACTCAGACAAACGGCATCGACCTGAAATTTGGCGCATACATACAGCCCCGTTTGCTCTTCTAATGTCGACAACACTTGTTTGCTCGTAAACGTGTCGAACTGGTACTTGTATGCAGCGCGAAGTATTTTTGCTTGGTCGTTAGATGCGCGTGTACGGGGCTTTAGCGCTGTCTGAAGGAGACTCTCGTCCGTTGTCGACATTATTGGTGGTGGTTCTGATCCAAGAGGTAAATGAATAGGCGCGCCTACACACCTGATGTTATCAGTTTGTGTCATGTGATCATGGCTGAATCGAGGTTCCTTCCTGTCCTCGACACAGATCGGTGAACACCAATTTGTAGACACGTCTAGGTGAACTCTCCTCTTAGAGTAAATCCAGAGAGAGCTCTCTGGAAAGCGTGGAAGCGAATTTCCGTTACTTTGGAACCAAGCGCACTCTGATTCGAACGGTAAGCCGTAAACATAGACACAAAACTGTCAGTCATTTCAAGGAGAAGGTCAGAATGCAGGCCCTAGTTATCAATGTCAACGAGTGAATGTAAGCTAAAGGGCATCGCCCAGTGAAGATGAAGGGGGCAGTACTGCGCGAAGGTTGGATCATAAGGCAGCCCCCTCCGTAGAGATGACACTGCACAGTTCGAAGGCTTTGTAGAGCAACATTAGGTGTCCCTACGGCGAGATGACTTCGATGCCTGTATTCGAAGCATGTACGGCGCGTACGCTATCCTCGTTGGTACGAGTTGAATATCAGCACATAAAAGACTGCGCGTTGTGCGACCGATATGTTTGAGCGCGCAAGTCCTCCTCCTCTGTGACTGGACAAGCCCACCGCCTTACTCCACATATAGCAAAGCCGCGTCATCGACAACCAGAAGCGCAGGTGGTTCCTAGTGATGGTGTGAGCCTTCGGAATCATACATTACGGGTAGTACGTACATATCCCAATTGATCAACCCGGTCAAGTACTTGAGTTCGGACCTTTCGTCGCAGAACTTTCTGAGATTATGATGCTGTCATATCGCTCCCGTAGGGTCTCCAAGGCATCGTTCGTGCCTAGATACATACCTAGTCAGACTCGGCGCAAAGTATTAATATCTAACGGAGAACTTACTGCGCACTTGTGATGAAACGATAGATCCCCAACTTTCTTTTACCAATGGGAGCAAAGCGGAGATCCGGCACAGGTTGTTGGTCGATTATTGGAAGTGAGAGAATATCATGGCTCGGAATGATTCGACCTGATCCTGGAGGGACATCAGGTCTGATATAGTTTCATACTTATGGAACTCACCGTTCGCTCGCAGGTAGGGTATCTAATCTACATACCCTTCATTAGAATCATCAATGTGTCATGTATTCCTCGTATTCAGAAAGTCCCTTGAACCATGGTCGTAGATGATGGAACTTCAGCTTGGCTAGTATTAGTTGAACGTAACATTGTATCAGAGGCCCATATCCTTGTGAGTAGCGTCAGATATGAGTATCAACGTGGATAAGATCAATAGACCTTGCTGGCTATCAGTACCGACTGTCCATGCACACGTTAGCCATCCGTCTGGCCATGCGCCTCTTCATGGTCTCAAGTAGAAGACCGAGCTGTGTTACAATGCAAAGTCAATTGGAGACTCACAACTGGGTGTCCCTCTTGCAGCACTTTGTGAACCGTAACCAAAGCTTTGAATGTCTGTACTTCGTTTGCCAATATAGGTTGTACCCGCAGTCCACTCCAGAATGATATCGACGAATCTTACTGCGGACGTATACCTGTTTGGGCGCAGTCTCTTCTGGCTTAATGGCCTTCTTGATGTTTATTCCGAGCTCATAGTCTTCCTTGTCCTTGTCCAGGGGTCCGATGAGGTGGTGCGTCTCATCGCCATCTGTGTCATATGTTGAATATGTTTGACTCTGACGCGTCTGACCAACGTTCAACCTGGCGGGGAGATATCAGCGAGTGTGAGACTGCAACGACATGAGTCTGCGTACATTTCAGCAATTGTTTAGAGGTCCCAGGCAGTGAGCAGGAAATAAGAGCAGTAGATGCTGCGGGAACCTCAGTGATAACCATGTTTCCGATCTGCAGGGTAAGTTGCGCGCTACCCAGACTGCGCGTAGCAGTAACGCGTTATGAATTATGTATCACGTGCATTCTTGAAGTCCAACAACTGCGAGACCGCGACCAGTTCACCGACATCCAACAGCATCTGTAGAATTGTTCATAATTCTCATTTTCTCATTCGCTTTCCTTTGTTTTCATATCTTCCTCCTTAAGAAACCATGTCTTTCTTCAATTCGATTGGGTAAGTCTTTGGCATACTCATCAGCTACTCATTTTCTTGAGATCGCACGTTCTGCAGGCGTTCTATGACTCGCAATGCCCCGAGGGGGCCTAAAAGATCCCCAACGCCGACATCTGCAACGTTTCCCCCAGCTGACCCGCATCCCCCGAACCCTGTTTCCCCTGCCCCGGTCTCACGGCCTTTGTATCTGGCAAGTCCTTTCGTCGAGGCAACACTTGTGAAGGGCCAATTCAAGACGATCGTTATGCTGCCGAAATATGTGGATATAATGGAATGGGTAGCTGTGAATAGTACGAGCCCTCATATTTGTTCGTTCCCCTCTAGGCTGATGCTTGACACCAGTGTTCGACTTCTACACGAACATAAACGAATTCTATGGCGTTATTGCTGAGTGCTGTACACAACAGACTTGTCCTACGATGTCTGCCGGCCCTAGGTACGTCGTTGTGATCGTGGATGTCAATGATCTCGGTGTTTAGCTGGATCTAGCTTGAACTATACATGGATCAACAATGATCGCAAAAGTGTCAACCTCCCTGCGCCTACTTACATCGACTATGTCATGACATGGGTTCAGAATCTCTTGGATGATGAAAATACATTCCCCACGAAGTCAGGTGCGTCTAACGCTGATCATGATTGTCGCGCTACTTCATCAATGCCAAATTGTGCCAGGCCGTGACTTCCCCCAATCCTTCCCGTCGACCATTAAGCACGTCTATCGCCAGCTTCTTAGAGTCATTGCGCACATATATCACGCCCATTATCCCCAGATACTACACCTCAGGTCTGAGCCCCACTTCAACTCTCTGTTTGCACACTTCCTAGCCTTCGGGCGTGAATACGAGCTACTCGAAGTGAAGGACTTGAAAGGATCGGCATCCGCACCCGTCGGCATAGGCGCACTATGGGAACGCTGGAAGGAAATGGGCATTCTAGAAGGTTAACGTCTGCTATCTACACTTGCCACACCGGATCTGGTTATCTGTGGTATCTTCGCCCGACGCTTTTGTATCTCGTGTATTCGTATTGCATTGGTTCTGAACCAAGCGGTAAGCCCGCGTAAATCTCGTTCTATTGGCTTGGTATCCTACATACATCTGGACTGCTGATCCTTGGGTCAGCCTTCTCAGTGCTCTAGTTTTTCTTGTCCGCGGGCGTCTTCGCTTTCTTTGGCTGCGGTAGTCCGGCATTGATCTTCGCAACCATCTCTGGCGAGAGAGTGAAGCCTGGGGGCAGCGAAGGGGGCGCGGGGGGCTTGGGTTTGGGTGCCGGAGGTAGTCCGGCATTGATTTGCGCAACTATCTTCGGCGGGAGAGTGAAGCCTGGGGGCAGCGGAGGGGGAGCGGGGGGCTTGGGTTTGGGAACTGGTGGTAGTCCGGCATTGATTTGCGCAACTATCTTCGGCGGGAGAGTGAAGCCGGGGGGCAGCGGAGGGGGCGCGGGGGGCTTGGGTTTGGGAACTGGTGGTAGTCCGGCATTGATCTTCGCAACCATCTCCGGCGGGAGAGTGAAGCCGGGGGGCAGTGAGGGAGGGGCAGTGCCCTCCGGCGTTGGAAGTGCAGCAGCGGACATAGCGCAGGCAAAAACTACAGTCAAGATCATTGTGCGCATCTTGTGAACTGATTTGAGTCAGCTACGGTTGAGTATGCTATGACGGTCCTGTACTCACCGAGGAGACAGTAGCTGATGTATGAGGGAGCAACACTGGCCATAGCACTTCCTTTATGATGATTCGTCGCTGGTCATTGCCAGCGGGGTCACTCTAACTAATTCCCTGGTACAGGCTGTAGCTTGGAATAGTGGGCTACCTAGTCGTGATCGCCAGTCCAATGATCTCTAGACTCTGAAAATATTGCTTCCGAAGCCCCTTGTACTAATGGTAAGTGTATTCACCGAACGTGATCCATATTAGTATGAACTATCAGTAACTCACGAATGCGGTCCAGTGTGAGATCTCTGGCATGTTCGTTTTATTGGATGATTAGGTAGGCGCCTGGATAGAAAGTCATATACTCATATATATCATTATATCTACGCAAAACCACTGCTAATCCTGTTTGCTGCAACTCATCTCGTACTTCATAGCGCCGTTCCTCAGTTGTAGGGTTTGTCTCCTACCCAAGCGATGGGAGCCTTGACATGCACTTCTGGGCTATCGGTGTCGTTCTTCGGAATATAGGCATCGTCGATCTGAATATCAGTCTCCGGCCTGAACAAGAGACAATGCGTAGATCCACCAAAGTGGAACATCCCGATTTCCTGGCCTTTGGAAACTGCATCTCCTTCCTTCACCGTCATCTCGCAAGTGGAAACCTCCGCCATCCCAACACCTATGAAGCAGATTAACCCGATTCGAGGGTCTTTCGCGCGAATGAAAATAAGGCAGCGGGTAGCCATGGACGTGATGAATGCCTGGGAAAGGTTAGGACCAGCGGGGTCCGGGCCGTCGCCGTCTATATCACCTTCAAAGCTCTCAGTAGGAGACTCGGCGTAGTACGTCCCCGGGACCAAGACGGTTTTCACTACAACTCCGTTTACGGGACTGTGCCAGCGATGATACTTGGTGGCGCTCAAGAACGCTTGGTAGATGGTCCCACCGACGAACTGAGACGCGTATGGGTCATTATTCAGCATGTGGATGACAGAGTATGGTTGTCCCTTGAGCCAGAATCGGTCGCGAGCTTGGACATGGGTAGCGACACGGTAGACCGATGACTCGCAAGCGCTGTGGACGATAGCGTCGTTATCAACAAGCTCGGCATCGATCTCTCTCTGGCCAGGCTGGAAAAGCCTGGTGAAAAATCCATCCCACGACGTGAATCCGTAATGCCCTGAAGGGTCGTCGGGGTCGCAGACATATGTCTGGGCAAAGTTTGGAAACTGTTCGAGGGCAGATGGGCCGAACCACCCGTTCTCGGCGTTGGTAAGAACGGCGGTGGATGCGTAGGAAGTCAGGTATGTAGTCCAAACATCGAACATCTTCTTGAACTGAGCATTGACTGCAGGGCTGATGAACATTGCATATCCCGCGTCAGTTCCCATCGGCCAGTCGAGGACTGCGTTGATGGGGAAACCGACAAGGTCATTTGCCGATGGGTTCTCGGGATCGTAATGCCATTCTGGCGCTTCGCTGATGATGACATTGAGAAGGTTCAACATCGTCATGTAGTCCTTGATCTGCACAGTTGAATTCAGTGCGAGCGGGGCGGCGAATAGCAGTGTGGGCTCACCTGGGGCGTGCCCGTGGGGTCATTCTCGTAGTCAGGGGGAATCTGAGCGAACATCTCGTGGAATCCTTTATAAATCTCGGGGGTGTCTTCGATTAATCGACGGAATTCGCAGATGACTGAGTTCCAGCTGCCCGAGTTAGCCTCAGGATCACCAGCTTGCGCTAACTTCTTGGTGAGCCACGATGCTAGGACATGCTTGTCTTGGGGCATCCATCCTCCGAATTGGCCGACGCGATTACGAACAAGATGACGAGACATCGGTAAGGGGTAGTTCTGAAAGTGAGTCGCGTCAGTTAGATTTCAAGCACAACAGGTTGAGTGACTAACCGAGAGAAAGCTTGTGGAATGTTTGCTGTATGGCTAGGCTGGAAGACAAGACTCTTTATGTGTTTTGAATGGGTTGAACGAGAAGCGCATACGTGCGACAAGGTGCGCTTGGAATATACAGCACCCTTGAGCGATGCTGTTGTGGAGAAGCGAAAAAGAGTCGGGGGTGGAACCTCGCCGTGGGTGGATACTCATGTCGAAATAACTTTATGTGCCCAAGTTGCCTTTCTATGGATCCCGTATATAGCAACTGAATTGAATTCCGGGGGACTCGGAGTGTTCGAACCGTCTGTAGCGATCAACAGTGACCATATGACACGGAGAGGAAGATCTGATGAGTCGAAACTTGAGATCATGAGAGGCTAGTAAGAGATCAGTGCTCAGACCGTCGTGCAGCTACTAGTCGTATAGCACAGCCGTACGTCAGTAACACGCACCAAGGGCTGGCTTCAGCCTTCAGCGTCAACTGGTGTGTGGCGGAGAAGAAATCTGATCCGGAGTTTAAACCTTAGCCCGATTAGGCTCAGTGCCTTCAACATTCAACGTCAACCTTCAACGGTGTTCACTGATCGGTGTTTATTGGGTAAGTTCTAAACATTAGCCAGTGTTTGTCGTGATGATCCACTACCAAAATTTCCGCATTTCCAGCTCCTCCTTGTATCATTAAGTAATGGCGTTCCCGCATAAACGTTCAAGTCGTGACCGACGTTGTCGCCACGAAACTTTGCGATGCTGGCTTCTCTTCCATCCTAGCTGTGGAGTGGGTCTTCCAACGCGTGGGTCGTTTGTTGTACTTGATACAACGCGGGCAAACCTTGGATTACAAAATCGTCACAAACCTCTGTACAGAAAACGAGGCGTCAGTTCCAATAAGTGGCGTAGCAGATATATTCACCTTGTATGTATGCTGGAATGCACGAGTGTTTCGGAAAGGTCGTCCTCATGATCCAGAATTCGCTTCAGGGTGAAGTCCACATCGAGCACATTTGCTTTCAACAACTCAGCAAACCCCTTCTCCAGATTCGCCACCTCTCGTCCTTCAGCAGCACGCGATTCATTGACATCGGACAAACCCTTGACAATTGCGCCTGCTTCCATTTCCACCGTGACGTTCAAGGTGATGTTCTTTAGGTTTCCATGTTCGCAGACCCGTAGCTTTTGTAGGAAATGAGAAAGCATTTCGTAGTCCGATAGTGTCGGATACAGTCCATCTGACAAGTCATCTTCTGGCATGTAGTTTTGGTTCACAATGTTGATTGTAAGCGCCTGTATGGAACGGGGAGACGGGAGGCGGTTGATGCAATCTTTAACCCAAGTAAAAGGTTCATAGTACGAGTCAACGGACTCCGCTGTTAGACGGATTGTCACCGCAGATGGCTGAATAGTTGTACCGAAGTCAGGGATACAGCCGTCCGATCCGACTAAACAAGTAGTATAAGTAAGATGATCAGATGGTCTGATCAAGACATACCTCGCACTTCGAGTTCTGATAAACTGGCGGGGACCCATGGCGGCAATACCCAAGGTTCGGAATCTTCATATTCGACACACAATCGTTCGAGATTGGGGCACTCGATGAAAGCCTTGGATTGGAACATTGGGTGGAGCGCATATATCAAGTCCACACTTCGAAGATACGCCAAACATTTGCTGTTATTTGATGGTGCGTTCACCCTCGAATCTCGCAAATCTCGCAAATCGATCTCCTCGAGTATCAGTTCCTCGATGGTCGCAGGGAGCACGCTGAGGAGATCAGAGGCATCCGTAGCAAAGAGGCAATCACGTAAAACCAACTTGCGAAGGCGAGGGGCGGCAAGCAGAGAGGCGATTCCAAGTGGCGCCAAGGCCACTCGATCCGGGAGCCAAGCATCAAGGTGCAACTCACACAAGTTCTTCAGCCGCCCGAAACACTCTGGTAACCAATCTGCAGCGGTGCAGCAAGGATCCCACTCAAAGTGAAGTTTACGTATATACTCGCTGAGGTGGGGAGCTTGGAAGTGAAGGAAAGAGAGTGGGGCGGCGGGGTTGCTGAAATCGATTATGCAAATCGTGTGGAAGATGTGCGAGCGGCAGATGGTGTTCCAAGTGTGAGACACCAGAGAACCAGCAGTAAGAGTCGAGGATATCGATGGGCAGCGTCGGTCCCCCTTTGAGCGATGAGCATCCGCAGCAAAACTGATGATTTTGGCAATCAGTTCAACAGGGAGTAGTTCGGGTTTGGACGAGATGCAAGGATTCTCGGGTTCAGTGGTTGTCATTGGCGAGAACGGAGAAAGACCAAGGCGACCAGCGCCTATGGTCGCTCAGCTCAAATACCTCCGAGAAATTATGGAGACGTGATTTCTCCCACAGCCTCCACGTGCAGGCTGCCTGACGTCTATATCATCTCAGTGCAAAACCAGCTCTCATTCAGCAAATTATCATGTTCAGGTACGACCGATTCATTATATGAGAACCGCAGTCGTTGATAACAACCAACCAGTAGCCGACCGAATCTGAACAGTGGCAATCGCGGGCGTAGACGACCGTCTCCAACGCTGAACATCCCCCTTTCGCCCAACCAGAACAGCATGCTGCCTTCGCCAGTTCTTGCTTCGCCTGGGGGATCGCCAGGGGACAGTGCGAACCAGAAACCCTTGTACATGTCTCGACCATTTGTAGACGCAGCGTTGGTGAAGGGGAACTTCAAGACCATCGTCAGATTACCGAAATACGTGGACATAATGGAATGGGTGGCTGTTAACAGTAAGTCTCAGTCTCGTGCCACAATGCGATTGCTGATGTTTGCTTGATGTCAGTCTATGATTTCTACACGAACTTGAACGAGTTCTATGGTGTTCTGACGGAATGCTGCACACAGCAATCTTGCGCCACGATGTCGGGTGGCCCTAGGTATTATATTTCCCCTTCAATCGACGCGCTGGTCGTCTGACGAGTTGTGGCTACTGAAGACTCAATTATACTTGGATCAACCAAGATCGAAGACAAGTATCCCTCCCCGCGCCTACATATATCGACTATGTCATGACCTCCATTCAAAATCTGATAGACGATGAGAACGTCTTCCCCACCAAGACAAGTAAACCATTCTTCCCTTCTTCTCATCCTACCCGCTCACACTGCGACTAGACCAGGAATTCCACCAGTCTTTCCCGACGACAGTCAAGCATATCTACCGCCAACTCCTCCGCGTCTTCGCGCACATATATCACGCACATTACCCACAGATCCTGCACCTACGCGCGGAACCTCACTTCAACTCCCTCTTCGCGCATTTCCTGGCCTTTGGTCGCGAGTACGAGCTTCTGGAAGTCAAGGACATCAGAGGCGATCCAAATACTCCCGTTGGCGTTGGCGCGCTCTGGGAACGATGGACGGAGATGGGTATCCTCGCCGCGTGATAACGTGTACATCGATACCCGAATATTTCCCTTACTCACCATGGATACACATTTACCTACGTAGTTACCACATTTACCTACGTAGTTACCACATTTTGGATACCAGATATTACTCGTCCCTCATTTCATGATTCCAACGTCAAGTATATTTCCTAAACCCATCCCTAAGGCTAGCCAGAGCCCAAATTTAACGAAAGTGGTCAAAATACAGTTTCAATGTCGTCGCCCATCGAGGGGATTCACTTATAGGAACATAGCCAATGCCAGGGTGATGCAAGCAAGTACGCTGACAGCACTGCGATCGATGGAGGAAGCACTATTGCCGGCAGGTGCAGACGCTGACGGTGAAGTACCAGCACTGGTAGCTGACCCGGTTGCGGCAGATCCAGTTGCGGCACCGCCAGTTGCAGCAGCCTGTAAAGGAGCCGACTCAATATAGACAACCCAACAACCGGAACATCGGACTCACCTTGAACTGGTCGAATGTCTTATCAGCCGTCGGGTTGATAGCGAAAACCATGCCTCGTGTGCAATGTCTTGGAAGCGAAAGAAAAGGAGTAAATTCCCTGCTCAATTCTCGTTGCGATGGAGATACTTACGGTTGTTGTGCACAGTAAAACCAAAGAGGGTTGGAGGCGTTGTTGATTGTGATGCTCCATTGCGGGAAGGCAGTGGCCCCAGCTGCAACAGGCATGTACCCGGAATCGACACCCTGGGTGGGGGTGGTCATCCTTTGACAGGGGTTGGCGAATGTAGATTGGGTAACCGTCTGGTAGGGGCGGGGTTTAAGCTGGGGCTAAGGATGTAGAGTCGGCGAAAATGCTCTTACATGGTTCTTCGACACACTGAAATCGTCGTTGAATATTGCTTTTAGATAAACGAGGACCAGAAAACCACTCACAATTGGAAAGCGACGACATCTCCATTCTTAGCCGTGACACTGTGATAGGCAGAAAGAATCAGTGCAACGCTCCAAAATCCTGGGGGTAGACTTTGAAGTCAATTCTCACAAGGGTGGGTCGTAAGCCAGCCCGTTATCTTTGCCCACAATGACGGTGAACTGCTCCGCAAGCACAGCAGTGAAAGAAGCGAAAAGAGCGATAGCGACAAAGAAACGCATTTTCAAGATGAGAATTTCGAAACGAAGGAAATGGGAAGGAATACAATCGAGCCTAGTAGAACATGGATCTGAATCAATAACTGGATGTTGACTTCACAATGGTGAAAGCACTCACGCTGCTCGTTGATGGGGAATCAGAGGAATAAGAATAGAACGAGGATCAGTCTACGTGGCTGTGCCTTCTTTTATCGGAGCAGGTTATTTGGTCTGGAAGCCACTGGCAAGCATGCCCTGAGTTCAGCATAAATGGCGCTTCCCCCATCTACGCTGAGCCCCGGTGGTATTGTCTAAAGTAGTCAAGCCCCTTGAGGTGAGGGCATGTCTGTTGCGAGTGTTACGAAACACAATGCTCAATGTGTCCGACTCTAGAACGAGAAGGGCCCGGAGGACGGCAAGATCAACCAAGAATTCTACTTCACTATTGTGCGCCTTTGACGGTCTTTGGGAATGCGTCGTCGGCCATCGACGATGGTGGTCAGGTGGTAGAGATGCCGAGAACAATAGAAGAGTGCTCAGTCCGAAAACGAAGGCGAGAGTCTGAGACCTCATATCACTTGATGCTTGGCATCTACTCCCAGCCTGTACATGACCCGCTGCACTCAAGAATCCCAGCTAATATCCCTCGCGCGTAGGGGGTGGGATGCTTCGTCGATAGCTAGACAACCCTGCCTTGCATATCTAGATTCCGAACACCCTTCCCTCATCTTCGTGCATGAACATTCTTTCATGACGGTGCATTATCAGGCAATGCATGTAGATAAAGAGGTTCAGCACATTAGCGAAAACGGCGGCGGGGGAAAGATGCAGGAGAAGAAATAAAGTGTACGATGGGGAGACGCGACGCGTTTTGTCAGTTTGACACTGTTTGAAATCAAGCTCGTCAGCATGGGCAAAGGCCGCTTTCTGCTGGAACTCATTGCCAGCCTCATCGCTGCTTGATCGCGTCGGGATATCGATGCCCAGCTACCTGCCAAACTTCTGCACCTCATAGTCGCGCTCGTCGACCGTCAGGGTGCTATTCGTGTCTCGGGAGCTGCATCTAATTGCGGAGCAATTTTTCTATGCTGATATTCACTTCACGAGTATCCCATCTTCTTGCGCGTACGATAACAGAATCCCTTGGTAACCGAATCGGGCGTCTCGTGCAGAGGATTACACTAGCACCCTCCAGCTTCATGGGGGACAAATATCGGGGCATCTACGAACTCATACGCCAACGACTTCCCAACGTGCGATATTTGGATATCGGTAGGGGAGGATATAGAACATCACCCTTCTTATACGAAGAAGACTTTATTTTCGCTGAGAATATCACAGCAGACTATACGAGTGTCGCTCGATTCATGGAGTCTCAGCTCCTAATCGAGCACTTGACTCTTAGTCTACGGTTCGTGGGGGGTCTGCACATCCATCGTGAAAGCCTTCAGAAGCTCTCTCCATTCCGCGTCAAGTATCATACTAGGACGACATATCACACATCTGAGGATCAACTCGAACGCCCAATGCGATCCATTGGTCGAACCTACCAAACATTGACTTAAAAGCACTTCGAAATGTGGTGGTCTTCGCTGTGGACTTCATCAAATTCGACGACTTGGTAAAGTTGGTTGGCCGCAGAACCTAGAACGCCCGCAATCGACCCCCTCCGTGAGTCGTATTTGATGCGCGCAGAACATGATCATGATGCATTGACCCGAATTAGACCGCATCAAGGAAGGTTGCTACACTCACAGCACCGAGGCTCCGTTACCTTCGTTTTGATGCCCAATGGAACGCTTGCCGGAGCGACCCATCTCGTTACCACGATGGGGTCAGGAGCACCTTCGACGCTATGCCAGGTCTTTCCTGCATTAGCATTAGCAGAAGATTCAACGCGAATGTTCCTCGTCCCCCTCTCGACTACGATTTTTTCTTTCGGACGATTCCAGTGGTGAGGCTCCGCTACCGTCATAGACATCCATCGCCGTCACAGTGGTGGGAGGACTGGGAGGCAGAGTATGATGCGGTCCCAGCCGACGGATGCCACGGTGAAGTACTCTAGACTACAGAAGATGATGCCGTTCAGCGTGAATGACGCTTATTTCCATGCCTGTATTTCTTGTCAGTCACTGCATTCCTGGCACCTGCCACCGTACCCTCGTGGAGAAATGACGTTCACATTACTACAGAATCGCCGTCAATCCGAGTTCGCATATCAGTAGCTCATGTACCAAGTTCGAATGCGCCTTCTGTTGCCGTTGCCAAAGAAAAGCACGCAACGGCGAGGTGGGTCTACTACTCATTGACAACGCCCTCGTGAGGTTCTTATATTGACAATGCCCAAATGGTGGCTCTATCATGAAAAATGTATCGTCTTCCATCATCTTGCTCTAGCGGGGCAGATCTAAGCTCTGACAGTTAAAAGTACTTATCCCAAAACCCCGAAGTCCCGTTATTCTTCGCCGCATACTGCTGTATACCCAACAACTTTGTGACCAAGTTGTACAGCTCGACGTTCCGGAAGCCTTCGATGATATGCGTATCATCTGGTACCGCTCGCCATACAGCATCGAGGCATGAGAGGAAGTGATACGCCGACAATCCAGAGCGCTGCAAAGCCTTCGCGACCGTGGAGAAGGGGCCTTGTGCGATGAAGACAGCACGCATCGAGGGTTCCATATTATCGTACCCGTGATTCTAAGCAGCAACGAACAAGTTAGCAGGTTGTTTGATTTGCCTATAACACAGTATGGTTGCATACCCCTGCACTCATCCCAGCAGTCCCTTGCTCATAGGTCGTGAGTGCATACCCAAGTTTCGGCACGACGTAGATCGGCGCAATCCTATCGCTATTCGAAAAGTGGTATCTCTTCGGCATCGTCTTGTGGGTGTACACGTCGAATTTATGACCGTTCGCTTCCGACGCTTGAATCAAGGTTTGCAGGTAATGTGTCTCGTTGGCCTGTGGGCGGAATCGTAAACCCATCGAAGGCCAGCCGTCTTCGTGTTCGATCATTTTTACGCCGTCAGCTCCGAGGATGTCGTCCATATATATGAACTCCGGTTGGCTCGTATCCGCCATGCCATGATCGCTGACGAAAATGGTATCGACTATGTCAGTAAGGTTGCGAGCCTGGAGTTCTGCGTGTAGATCTCTCGCGAAGCCGTCGATCTGTTGCAGCGTTCGCTGGGAGGATTCGTGTAATTGAGTAGAGGTCGGCGATGGTCCTCGAATATGACGGCGAAGCGACTCACGTTTACAGCGACGGACATCGGGCCGTTGGTATGCCCGGCATGATCAAGAGATTGGTCATATGCTAAAGAAAGAGGGCGCCTTAGCGACTTGTTGGTACTGGAGGAAGTTGCCGACGAACCAAGAATGAGCTGAGGTCGCTTGAGGAGCGGGAGATCTACCCAGGAAATAATCTGGTCGAGTTTCTCTTTCAACGGAACATTGTCCTGCAGGGATGTGATACTCCATACCATTGCATACTGATGGAAATCAGTGCTCACCTTCCATGGAACAAAGTAGGTGGACTCAACACCCGAGCTTGTCTTGGTTGGACCAAGCCTGGTTCAGTTCTAGGTTAGAGAAAGGATATGTATGTTGTGCATACGTACCACATGAGGTTCGCTGTGATCAACCCAGCCCGACGAGCAGTCTCCCACATCTACGTAGCGGGTCAAAAACCAAGTCAGGAAGCTTAAGGTCGCACTATACACGCACCGGTTCACCGAACCACCAAGAAGCATTCCGCCACGACTTTACATTACTGTAGTGGAACTCACTTCGGCTTGCTGGGTCCCAGAAATTCTAACTTAATTAGCATCTCGCCTAATTCATTAGTGAATAGTGGACGAACATTGGCAACGATCCCGTGAGATTCAGCGTAAAGCCCTGTCCTACAAGGTCAAGTCAGTTCAGAAACTAGAGAGGAGGCAGGGACATACATGAGCGTCCAGTGATTCCTGCGCGACACATTCGGGTTAAAGACGTCAAGGCCATTTGATGGTGACTTACGGAAACGTTAGCGTCTTCACACAATCTACGTTAATTGACACTTCTAAACAGTTAAAAAGGTGAACATACAGGAAATATAGGGCGCATGAACTTCGCTCTGATTCCCTGCTTGCTGATATTGAGTAAATGAGGCGTAAGCCCTCTATCCAGGTAGTCCGCGCTGAAACTCCCGTGAGTGTACGACCAGAGAACTCAAACAAAAAGAATGCACCGAAAGCCATCGATAGAAATGAGTACAACCGTCCGCTTGAAGTCATGCGTGCCATTTGACCTCAACTTCTCTCCAACGAACGTCTGGTTTGGGTGAGGTGGCAGCGGGATGAAGAGTCTCCGAACGAACACGAGCAGTGTTATGAGCACCACCACTATCCATTTGGTCTTCTTCCAGCATAAGGTGGGTGGCGTTTGGTTGTAGTCGGGGCTTCGAACTGCCTTATTGCTGTAGTCGGCACCGTGCACATCGAGCAGACATTTGGCTTCCTCCCCGTTCCGCGCCGAGTCTTCCCTCGTACTCCACATCGAAGATTCGTGGACATAGGCGCCGCCACACGAACCCGGCATGATCGACGTTCAGCAAGGGAATGAGTAAGTCGTTTCGGCCTGAGCCTGATCCGTTTATGGCGGACATTCACGGCGAGTGAAGCGCAGAGACTGCCGAGCGGTCGAACTCCTTCACGACGACCATCATAAATATCATGCATATAGACCACTGTCGATGACCCACGATGTCTTCTACGACACACCGCGATTCGACCTTTGCGCCTTTCCCTGGCTCCAAGAGGCGAAGATTACAAGGAGCCTGTGACATATGTCGCCATAAGAAGAGTCAGTAGTCTTCCGAATCAGCTCGAGTGCACAGTGCTGATCCAAAGATCTCCATGATCAGTAAAATGTGAATAGTGATGCCCAGGCGTTCGAGATTGAGATGGATGCTCAGATGCTCATTTTGACAGGTGATAGTGCCCTTATGCCGGGGAATCGGTGCTCGAACTGTATTGCGTTCGATTCAGAATGTACTCACAACCTCTCGAAAAAGGTACCTTCTACATACTGACTGCGCATCTGCATTGTGTTTTTATCGTTCGAACAGCAGGGACCGGGGAACAATATACTATCAGCATCCAACCAGTCGTGAGGCTTGCATGTTCACTTTATGCCCCAATGGTACTTACGTCGATTGTTTTAGTTATGTTACGGGCCTCGAAGAGCGCGTGAAGGCCTTGGAGCGTACTATCCAAGAGGTACGCCGGTTTCCCCTCTTCTCATGCCACACAGGCGTAATATATGCTCAGCTTCGCAGGGAATCAAACTCTGTTCAAGAATTCGAGCCTGACAATGCGGACCTGCAAGAGGAGCCACCTGCGGAAGGTGTAATGATGCTCGGTAGCGAATGTTTACCCCGTCCAGTATTCGAGAAAACTTCCTCCGCCTCCCCTCCAAGCCAAGACTCCGACGGCCTAGACGTTGATGAATTGGCCGACGAGCTGAAGCAATTGCACATACTTCCGGTGGCACGGTTCTTTGGGAAGTCCAGTGGTTATGCCCTGCTGAACATTGCGATGGGTGTCAAACAAGAATATACCAATTTAACCAGCGATAATAAACCTGACATATCGCGCGCTGCGAACGTTTATGCAAGTTAACCAGGCCTTTACCCCGTCATATGTGTCGCTGATTTTGCGTAGGATGCTGCAGAGAAGACGCATACCACCACTAGTTATCAGTTTCCTGAGCCAAGTCTCTTAGACAGCCTTGTCGAAACCTACTTCGACACCATCAACCTCACTATACCTTTGCTGCACAGACCAATGTTTGAATCTCAACTTGCGGCAAAGCTTCACTTGCAAGATCATTGGTTCGGTTCCGTCGTATTAGCTGTATGTGCAATTGCATCGCGCTATTCGGATGACCCCCGTGTTATCGACGAAGAAGGAATGGATCCGTCGCTCTCTACTGGCGAGAAATGGTTCTCACAAATCCCCGTGGTGCGCCAGTCCTTCACGATGTCCGAAGCGCCGTCTTTGTACGAGTTACAATTCTATTCCGTAAGTCGAGGCCCAATGATCTTACCATCACGCTTCAATATATTGATCCCTTATATGTACGTCTAGCTTGCTGTTTTGTACTATCAAGGAACTGCGAATCCTCAAGCATGTTGGGTAAGTTGCAGGTCTCTCTTGTTACTTGCGCTCGGGCACTGATGATATTCCTTCATACTAGCTCATGACTGGCATCGGGATGCGATATGCTCAAGAAGTTGGTGCACATAGACGGACATCGAAGGTAGATAGACCCACAGTACAGGACGAGCTGTGGAAGCGGGCTTTCTGGCAGGTTTTGTCTCGCCGAAGAGTTTTCGAACCTCTGAGCCGACGCTCATTATAGGTCGCTTTTTTTCTCGGATCGACTGCTCTGCGCTTATGTCGGGCGGCCGTGTACCATTCACGCGGAAGAGTATGTCGCGGTGCTTATTCTACTTACTATATGGCTGATGGATTGGCCCGTAGCTACGATGTCGAATACCCGGTTGAAGTCGATGACGAGTACTGGACGAATCCAGACCCAGAGTTGGCTTTTATGCAGCCCCCAGGAAAATTATCTAGCATAACTGCGTTCAATCTACTCATCAAACTAGGCGAGATTCTTGGTACTGTCTTGCGGCTCCTAGTACGCATCTTTATCCCGTTATGCATGAGTATATCCCTTTCTGATTACTACCTTTCTCCGCTAGTATCCTACGAACAAGTCGAAATTGTGGATGGGTGTGTCAGGAATGGGTGTTAATACGGAACGAAAAATTGTCGCGGAGCTTGACTCGCAATTGAACAAGTGGTTAGACTCCGTCCCAGAACTACGTAAGGCCTCTTACTTCCAGCGGGGCATTATCCGAGACTTATTGCCCACCATCAGTCCGATGGAAGCCCCAGAGCGATGACCCCGACATTCACTCGTTGTCTGCACATTTGTTCTGCACCTACTACTACATCCAGATCTTGGTGCATCGACCTTTCATTTCGGCTAAGGCCTCAGGCCTTTCGTTCCCTTCACTCTCCATTTGCGTCAACGCCGCTCGCTCATGCGCCCATCTACTTGATTCATACATGTCGTTTGGATTTGGTATCCCTGCACCTACATGCCAGGTGATTCACAAGTCTGTCCGCCCCTCCATTACCTCTTTCTGACCTGTTAGATTGTTGCCTTCACTGCAAGCATCGTGCTCCTCATAAATATATGGGGTGCTAAGAAGTCACATATATCGTTCAATACGGACAAAGAAATGGCAGACGTATATAAACTGATGCATGTCCTCAAAGTGTACGAGACACGGTGAGTCACTTTTAGATTGTAGTTAAGACGCGTCCTTTCCGATCTAATGTGATGCCCACCGCTTCCTAGATGGCGGGTCTCAGGAAGATTGTGGGATAAGATAAACGTCCTTGCTAAAATGGACCAGTTACCCTTCCCCGAATCTAACACTCGCTCCAACAAGCGCCCGCCGCCTGCTCAACAAGCCTCCTACACAACGCCTGTTACTGATGACGGCATCTTTACCATAGCAGACTTGCTAGGCTCTCCGACCCCAACCCTCAGTTCAGCCGAAAACTCTCACATCGATGTTCCGACACCTCTGTTAGGCACACCACAGACCCATTCTCATGCCGATTCCAACGTCTTTTCCTCCGATGAACTGGCTCGATTACCTGTTTTCAATTCTATCACGCTTCCTCGATGGCTGACTTCAGATGCCGTTACCGGCCAGGTCCCCTCGCACGCTGGACAGTACTCCTACGCCAGCCATTTGAGCTCCCAGCCGCGACCACAGGTATACCAAGATGAATATTTCCTCAACACCCCTGTTGCTGCGTACCCTGCACTAGCTGTATCACCAGACGAGACTCCTAATTCGCAGGCCCTGCGGCAGGCGTCTCGTCCAATGATGCCGACTACAGTGTATGATATTTCTCCCCAGAACCAAGCCAAAGTCGCCTCAGAGCCGTTCCATCTGTTCGACGGTACTGCCGGGGGCGGAGAGCTCTGGGCCTCCGCCATAGGCGGATTCGAGTACGTGACTCTCTATCCGTTCGTTGTAAGGGAACTGACACCTGCATTTCGCATAGCCTGGATGTATGGAATGGGTATCTCGCTAGTTTCGATGCAAACCCTTTTGTTTGATTGCGTTGAGCCCTTGGGCAACATTATGTACGCCTCTGCTCCACTCTCGTCTCGTCTCCTCACGCACAAAGTGGCGCGCTAAAAGCTAAATATCTTCGTATGGGCTCCTCTGTGTAGCTTTCGTCTGATTTGTAAGTAGACATATAACACGCTTGTATTGACGCTATCATGGGGTTTCACGCGGGGCCACTAGCACCAAATACGCGAACGGGTGCATAGGCCAGCAAAGGGATAGACGCGAGGAGGCAGAGCCTCACCTACGACGCCTGCAGGGCCCCGATGACACGATGGCACGATGATAACGTGAAGATGGTGGCGCGAACACAATAGCGAGCCGCAGCCACGATGGTGGTGGGTACACCTGACGGAGAGAGAGAACATGGATACGAGTGAAAGAAACCGGCATACTTATCCTAAGAACTCAAACGACGACTTCAAAGGCGCCTCGAAACCACCCACACGGACATAACGTTGACGTTGGTGAGCACGTCGCCGTGCCCGTTCCCCGTCTACTGAGAAAGTGACGAGGTTAGTACACGATGATCCACCAGATTGCGAGATCGCAAGCAAGACAAAGAGAAGATGTCCCCTCGATCCCTCGTATGCACTCGACGAGGGTCAGAACGGCAAACTTTGATGCGAGTGAGCTAGAAACAAAAGGGAAGAGACGGGGTGTCCGCGAACGACGACGAAGGCAACGAAAGGGAATGGTAGCAGAGGACGCTGATCGAGTGAACATGGAAATGGATGGGGCGGGAGGAAAGGAGAGGAAAAGAGGAGGGGGAGAGGAAGCCGACACTGCACAAAGATAGCGAGATATCTTCAAATTTGTCGTGGTGGTCGTACGCAATACCTCCCTCTAATCTAATCGATCGACGGACCTACAAATACACGTACGGCATCGCCAACGAGCCGACACCCTGCAGCATGTGGACGTACTATGGCAAACGGAGAGCGGGCTGTCAGTATGTGGGCAATTGTTCACTTACTCGTCATCTGTTGACTTGGGGCTGTAGCCACTGCAATGCATGGCCTGTACGGGTCCTATTGATCTATAATAGTACTTGGTAAAATAGATAGTCATTGAATCATTGAAGTTAGGATAGGATATGGAGATGAGATCCACATTGTAAAAGAAGATAACAGATGGAAACTGTGGAGTAGACAGTAGCAGAATGAATAGTGGTGAGCATCAACAAATAACAAACTTCCGACCTGTGACTTTGTCTTACATGGACTCATTCAATGATAGATATAGTACAGAAAAACCAGATTGTGAGAGGCCTATTTTGAGTATTATTGCTGTTTACAAAACAGTTGGCACTGGCACCCTTTTGTAGAAAAATGCACACTTGGGTGTGCACATCTTCGGTGAATGATAACTTTGGAACACGGGCTTAGCAGCCTTACATCTACATATATTGCTTGTATATACCGTTGCTGGAGTCCCCCAACAGTTTCCAGGCAGACTTTTATGATCTGATTTTTGGGTGATTTTTTCTATATTCTTACTACCACTGAACTACAATGGTGACACATACTCTGAATGGGTTTGAACAAAACTGCAGCAAAGCATCAACCCAGCAGCATGAGAAACTCTGGAGTACACATTGAACAATCTGTAGCTTGCAACCAGTGTAGCGGACAATTGAGTTGATGTCTAGAGGCATTCCCATGCTGAGAATGGCCCAACATAGGTCAGTTGACATGAAGGAACTGCAGGCCATGGAGTACATAGGTATAGAGAGAGAAAGAGCCTTAGCTCAAGGCTTGCACATTACTTGCTTCCCACATGTTCTCTGATGTTCATAAAAACTCTGGGGGGCTCTAGTGACTGTTATGGGCACGATCAGGAAGCTCCTTAGGGGCTACTAGGGGCATGCTCACATGATACAAGATTGGGACTTTTGGTCTGCGTGTATGCGCGGATACTCAGACTTTTGTACTAGTTACTTACTAATACATATACATATACTGTTACCAGACTCATGTAGGTTTCATGGGCACACAGATACCACGTGCCCTTCAGTATTTAGTTTGTACGAGTAGCTAGTTTCTACTCATAGCTACTCGTACCTCAGTCTGAATATTAGTTTGTTCTTACCCTCTTTGCATCCCTCGACTACTTTGTTGTAGTCTCTCTCTCTTCTATCCTCACCTATTGAAATACAGGGCATGCAAGAGTGTGGGAGGCGCAGTAGTAGCTGAAGCCAAGCCTGTACATACTCGGTCCTTATTTTCTCTTCCTTGCAGGCCGCGTACCTGCGGCGAACATGAGGCCCTCGTACTTGCAAGGACCGTCCTTAACAGTGACAAGATATACAAGCAATATATATAAGTTCATGTGGTTGATGTTTACCCATTCTGTTTGCTCAGTAACACTTTCCCCTATTCCCTTGTTTTCTGACTATCTTAAAGATGTTCTGCTATGTATACAGCTTATTTATCATGAGTCATGACACTGAAGGAAGTGAGTTAATCTGTAAATGTCTATGCCATACTCCCTTGTGTATCACTACAATGATTTAATGGATGTCACATCTGGACTTGGCTATCTGAAGTCTGCTACTTGAGTGTTCTAATGAAGCAATGGTGTCTTTATTGCACCCTAACCATGACTTGTGTGTTAGGCCAACACTAATCCAAAGGTATAACATGGCTCCTACAAGAATACTAAAGAAAAAAGATACAAAAGATAGCTTAGTTGACTTTAGATATCACACTAGAATTAGCAGAATCCCAAGAGAATGAGCTGGCATTCCCTGGAATTTTACTAGTCTTTAAATACTGTAATACATGTGGTACCCTATGTACTGCAGACATGTGTTACTGGTGAGGTTATTACTAAGGATATCAGAATAATGATTAGTAAGAGGACATGACATCCACATTTAGATATGATAGTGAGAAGAGATGATCTTTGGAATAAACTGGACCATAACATTGAGGGCATTTAGAGTCTGATGGCCCCTTTGTTCCCTATTCCATAATTATCCCTTTGCCCCCTTACTAATTCCAATTAAGTCACTGTCCCGATCTCCATGACATCCATCTATCTGAAAGATCCATACTTAATTAATTAGCAGATGTCATATACCAGTCCTCACGCCCCCTTAGGGGTCCCCCCCTACGCCCCTTTCGGATACTCGGACCCTCGGAGCCCCTCAGGCTCCGCCCTTGCGGCCCATGCATGGTGCGCAGTACTTGGATTCACTTGTTACATGTTTCACCTACATGTGTACTTACATACTAAGCCTCACTACATACATGTGTTAGTTAGTATTTATAGTAGCACTAGTAGACATGTATTCCTCACTCTGAATCTTAGTTCCTTTTCCGTCACTTGTCCTTCTAAGTCTTCGCTGCGGGCTCCTCCACGGAGCCCGCCTCTCACCTTGCTCTCTCCGAAATCGGGACACCGCAGGGCTAGGAGGGCGCAGCATCAAAGCTGGAGCCAAGTCCTGTGTGCTCCGCTCGTCCGCTCGTCCGCGCTCCCGCGCCCCTGTGCGGACAAGTCAGGAGGCCCCTCGACACGGTCCTTAACAGCAGACATGTAAAAGTGTACCACACCCTTTTACTTATAGCCCTGTAGCTCACTTTGCTACTGTGATATCTTTTCTTGTCCTTACAGACATGAGATCATTCTGTTACTCTTATAATAGTAGCAGCTAAGATGTGTCAACTCAATACTAAATGTATAATCCTACAGTTTACATGCTACATTTGTTGATATTTTACTTCAGTGTTTTGATGATTTGCTTGATTTGAGTACTTGAAGCCTATTTGTTGAAGTATATTATGCAGAATGAGGAAAGACATGATACCTTTATGGCCACCCTTGACATAATCTGGCAGCATTGATAGTTCAGAGTTCAGTCTGGTAGTCTCTATTCCCTATTACCTATCCATCCCCTGTTTCCCTGGGTGACCCTGAAGTGAGTGCTCATTTCTGATTATGTAACATTAATCTTGATACCATAACAATTTGGGCCATTCTATTCTAATAATATAGATTTAATAGATTTAAAGATATAGACAAATAAAATGACAAGATGAAGTAAAAAGGGAGAAGAGAAGTGCAATAAACATGGGAAGACAATGAATTGGTGCCAATGTCAATTCAATCCCCCAGCGCTAATTTAATTCCAACTTAAAGTTTGATGAGATCCAAATTTCCCGATCACCGGCATCCGGCTATCACAATAGCCACCCTCTTTCTGTAGCGCCCAAGCGTCCCAACTAAAGGTAAGAACGGATCCTTTCATTTCATTCCAGGACCCGTAATAGTTTCCTCGCGGTCACTGATAATCCGTTTTGGTAGGCCATGCAGTTTGTATACTTCTGAGAATATGAGTTCAGCAATATTCTTGGCCGTGTATGTGGTTCGGCTAGGCACCAGATGGACCATTGCGGTTAGTAGATCTATGACCACGGTGATTGAGTTGTACGAAGCGTCCTGATCGCTGGACTCTGGAAGTGGCCCAACGAAGTCAATTCCAATTGCTTCCCAAGGGTGGGACGCTACAGGCAGTGGGTTTAGCATTCCATACGGTTTCTGGTTATTCGGCTTGCTGCATCGACAGGTGACGCATGATTCACAGAAGTGGCGGGTGTCAGAAACCAAGTCTTTCCACCAGACACTATCCTGGAGGTAGTCCACTGTTTTGGTCGTGCTGAGGTGCGCTAACACAGAATGTGCTTCAGATATTACAATTTCTCGGATGTTGCACCCTTTGTGGCTGACCTTGGGGATGCATAGCACAATGCGATCTTTGTCGTTCATGTAAGGGCAACCTCAAGATGGCCGCACAGCGCAAGCCTAGCAGAGGGAGAATCCAAAGATATGAATAAGACTAACTAGAATACATGAGAGAGCTGCTCACCTAGCAGAGGGAGAATCCAAAGAGAACAGGATAAGGATTCTCCATGCTAGGAAGCGTATACTGTAGTTGTAAGGGGACACTCCTATTTTCTCCCATTCCCCTGTCCCCCTCCCTTCC